CCAGTTACATTTTATGTGGGCCGGGCCAGGTCAGTTTTATTTAAATGCCAAGTCTTATTTATCCTGCATAATTAACACTTGACAGGGACACTTGGTGAGTCCATATCCATCATCCCCAGTGACCGGCCAATTACTCAGCCCATTACTCGATTCCAGGGGATAATCACCTTTGGTATGGCGGCCCGTTATTATTAACCCTAAGGGGAATCGGATGCTGGAAAGGCCTATAAATAGGGACCGTTATTCCACAATAAAGGTACGCAATCTTGACTATCATATCAATACAGACATAACCCTATTTTCTGACTTAAGTTTTAGAGTGTCTACCCTCAGAAGACGCCCGAGGCTCTGTTTTGCAGGAAACCCTAGTCGGAGTTTCACCCTACACCGGCGGTATAATTCCAGGTATCGTCACAATCTTCCGCATACATCGGGTGTGTCAACCTAGGAGTCGTCCTTCCCATTTTGATTCCAAAACCAGCTGCCTCATTATTCAGCTTCAAAGTTGCCAAAGACAAAGCTTGCCGCCTCATTATTTACCTTGCTGGTTTTGCAAACCAGGTTGAAGTCACGGAGGTTTGGATTGTCTCCAGAGTTTGGGTTTGCACAAGTTGTGAAGTGTATTGACAACCAACTTCAGGCCACTAACAAATGTTTTAATACTTAGAGTTAGGTGTAGATCATGGATTCAAAATCCAACACTTGCATTGTGCGGGATCTAGATGCATTAAACCATACCAAATTACCAATTTGGTGTTTTGGTGACTGGTACAATATTTTGAGCCATCAGCACAAATTTTGCACCCTAATCACTATTCTCTTTTATCTTTGCATATCAAAAGTCCACTTTATGTGCCAATTCATAATTCTATGTCTTTGCCTAAACCATGATTGTTCCTAAAATGATTTTGGGTTAGACGAATATATTTCATAATAATAGGTATGTCCACGGTTCCAAAACCGGGTTCTAAAACCACGATGATAGGAACCGAAATTGAACCTTGAGACTGCGGTTCCGGTTCTGATTTCGGAACCGAAGATTTCGATTTGGTTACGGTTCCAGTTTCAATTATGACATGTGACGATTTTCATGTGAGTTTTATATTGGGTTTTTGAAACTAAAAGTTTAGATTTTCTATTTAAATGCAATTTTGTGTCGGTGTTTATTCGATTTTATGAGAGGTTTTTATAATTTTAAATTATTACGACATTTTTTTTAATGAAATATCCTATAAACCATAAAGAGTTAAATTAAATCACAAATGTATGAAAAATCTTTTTAGAGAACACTTGTCAACCTATAGTGTAGTATCAATGACCAATAGCACGAAATATGTCAAGCAAGTACATATCATAGTAATTATATATATATATATAATTAATATTAACCGATGATTTAGTACAATTAGAACTGTCGGTGCTCGATTTCCTAAATACTAGAACCATAACCAAACCTTCATCATGTGGTTCTGTTATGGTTCTTAAAGTCGTTAGTTTCGGTTCTGGTTATGAAGCCGTTATCGTCGGTTCGATTTCGGTTAGAACCGTAACCTTGAACATGCCTATTTCAGAAGCTAGATTAATTGCCATAATTGGCAAAATTAATTAATATTAAAGTGAACCTTTTATCTTTGTTATTTACTAATTTTTAATATTTGTGCCACTCAAAGTGACACTTAAAAGAGATGATACAAAACACAATCGCACTTATTTTACAATTAAAAACAGTTACCTGGATCCCCTTCGCAAGGATTTATAGTCCAACTTTTCACCTTACACTGTTTTCCCTCAATATAATCCCATTTGTAATCCAGCTTTTCACCTTACTCCGTTTCTCGTAATATAATCTCTCCAGTCCCCTGAAACCCAAACACTTTAAAAAAAATTGATTCAGCCATTTGCATGTAATTTCCACGGTGATTTTGTTTTTGAAATTGCAATCTTTGTTGGAAATTTCAACCTCTCAGTGACATATTCCTGTCCCCAGGATCCTTTCTATTGTCATTCACATATAGCTCAAAACCACTTTTCTTTTCTGAGGAGTTTCAATGGGTCAGTCCTCCAACTTCAATCTTTGTCAAATAGTCCTTTGCGATCTCTAAGTACACCACAATTATTTAATTACTGCCGTCCTTTTTCAGCCTATACTAAAATGTTTATTGTTTCTCCGATTTCTTTTTTTTTAAGTGAGGTATCTTATCCCAGAAAAGACATTTTCTTGAACTAGTTAGCAAATAATCTTGCATATATAATTTCATAAATCCACACTCCATATGATCCTCCGGTGTCAAAATCCTTTGCCTCAACAAATTCCAGCAATATCATCTGAAATGAAGATTCACCAAGTAGGTTCTCCCTGCAAAGCAGGGTCTTGGATCCACCACACCTCATTAAGTTGGATTATATCATCATAGGCAAATATAAGTTGGGTTATTTCTTTGACTAACTATAATCAAAGAAATGCAAAATGACTATGTCATACTCTTGTCATAATTATCAACACATGACACCCCAAAAAAAAAAGACATAAACGGGACTAACTATAGTGAAAGTAAACAGAAATGTAGTGCTGTTATTTAACTCCAGACTCGTTAGGTATTCAAGAGCAGAAGCTGATGACAACACACACTATATGAGTTTTTCAGACCCTAAACCCAAGTTTAAATCCTAAGAGAAAGGGTATAGTTAAAACTCAATCAGAGATAATGAGAACCTCAATAGCAAAAGTGCAACAAATAGAGAACTAGATTATCATTGTGAGCATAATAGAAATAAAATACAGTTATTGCTAGTCTCCAGGTAATCCAAATAACATAAACAGTCATATAAGACATAAACAAAATTTGCCTCAGCAAAATCCGATAATATCATGTGAAATGTAGCTTCACCAAGTAGGTTCTCCCTGCATAAGCAGAGACTTGGATCCAATACACCTCATTAAGATGGATTGTATCATCAAAGGCAATGCAAAACAAATAAGAACTAAAAAAATGTAAGCAAATTAAGAAGAATAAAAACAAATAGTCAGTCTCAGATAAATCCCTTAGAATGTAGTTACATCATTTGCTGGTGTATTTAAACACCTCAAATACTATCCAGCGTACATTTGTTTATCATCACTGACTATTTCATCAAAAAGATCAAACATGATAAAAGAATTCAATTTGAAATGTTAACGCACACATTAATGAATGAAAAAAAAACGTGCATTCATGATGAAACAGACAAAACAATACTAAGGCTCAGAGAAAATATAACAGCTCTATCAATCAAGAATTTTCTGAAGCAGAACTGGCATTAAGCTGAGTTTTCATCATCACCGCCAAACTGTTTTAACCAAAAAGACAAGAATTCGAAGACAAGATTAAGGAACAAAAGAAATCAGATATAATCAAATAACAAAAAAAAGGACTGAACTTGATATTGGCTCATATCAAGAAATTCAACCATTTTAAGATTTTGCATCAGAGAATGCTCTCAGAAGCGCGGATAAATCCAATTTTAATCATGGCCAACATCACAATTCAATAAATCCCAAAACAAAAAGACATCAAATCAAAGAGAGAAAATTTAGCGGATATCCTTAGAAGTAAAACAACAAAGATTGAATTTTCCCCACGTGTAAACACCCGCAAAAATCAAATCTTTGCCTCTCTGACTAGCCCTTTTTTCCACTGTAATTAATCAATCGTTAACACAAACAGAAACGAGCTAAAGGTGTACGAGGCAACACAAAAAAAAAAAACAGAAATTAAATCAACCCCAAAACAAAAACAGATCAAAAGGGCCAACAAAGAAGCGAATGTTTCCGTTGCTTTGACACAGATAAGCCGTGGAAAGAATGTACAAGAGGCTAAACTGCAACACTGAACGGCTGGGTTTGATCTAGCACGAGCTTTGGGGCAATCATCTTCATAGATTGTTAGATTCAGAGCAGCCCGGGAGGCTACGTGCTGTGTTCATACACATCGAAAATCGATTAATAGAAACTGATAAAAAGGAGATTTTTTATGGATATAATGTTTTGAATCTGGGTGGGTGTTCGTGTGCTTTGCTGCTGTGAATTTTGGTGACGGTGGAATTAGGGGTTTGGGGAAGTCATTATATATAGGAAGAAGGTGACGCCCTAAAACCCTAAACTTTGGGCTTAAAAGGCTTTGATTTTGAACTTGGGCTTTGTGGTAGCTTACTGGGATGTAAATCTAACCGGCTTTCAATCCTCCATATCTAATATTTCGGCCATGTTGAATTTGATTTTGGTCGATCAACAAAAAAAAAAAAGAAAAAAAATTGATTTTGGAATTACTGGACGACTTATTTTGGAAAATAATTGTTGGAGTTGATGACCAAACTACACCAAAAAGTCTAAACTAAACCAAAATCATTCAAAATTCAATCTTCTTAATGGTGAGGAGTGGAATGTCACAGTAAGAAGTTCGGTTCCATCTACCACCATTTTGATTCGTATATTCAGATGAAATTATAACCTACATTGCCATCAGAGGGTTTCATTTTGTGAATTCTCCATAGCATAGCATCGGAACAGTCAAAATGATAGTTGATTGTGAATATAAAAAATGGGTTTCGGATACTTAAATACTCCATGAGGGGAAAAAAACAAAAAACCAAAAAAACCCTACTCCATGAAGGAATGTGGCAGTATTTTGGAATTTGTCTTTTAGTTGTAGAAGTAGACTTAAAACCTAAGTATGCAGAGCAGCATTCTTCAAATACTTTTAGGAAGAACAGTAACTGGAAGTTTAATACTGCGGCATTTAGGCCATTTTACTAACAGGGATGAATCTAACATCCAGCACAGAAGCTGATGTCCCAAGGAAGCAGCAAACAACATGAGCACGAGAAACCGAGAAATTCAAGCACAAACTATTTGTCGCGGCAGGTATATAGGATTCTACAAAAAAGATTGCGATGGCTGTACAACCTAAACAACAAAATTCAAGATCTTTGCAGCTAATAATGGAGGAGCTGCATCTTGTTAGTCAAACACTCATCCAAGTGAGATGCCGATAGCCAGCCCATTTAACAGCAATACGTACACCTATAGCCAATGCAGCACACAGAAGGGGTATTGGAACTCTTCTAACTATTCCAGCATCCGAATCTTCACTAGAAATTGAGGGCTGGTTGAAATGCTGGAATATGGCAAGGGCAAGAAACGAACCAAGAGCTAGAACTCTAATCCACGGCTCTCCTACAGCAGCCAACACAGCTGCTACAGGCATTGCAGAGGAAACATAATCTTTCTTCTTCACAAAACGTGCAAAACAGAACATTCCTAACAGTAATATCCAAAAGAATAGCTCAGTGATGTAGCTCCTTACGGCAGCAAAACCAACTAACCCTGTGATTGTGAGAAGATATGGCTGGCTGTTCACAGAATCTGGAACAGTAGCTTCTGATATTGCAAGCACCGCCGATGATAGGATAATAATTGTTGTCAGCTCCTGAATGGGAGCATAATTTATAACCCATGAGTAGGATGCTCGAATGGCGTAAAAGGTTGTCTCAAAACCTTCAATCAAGGATGTAATAGGATGCCTGAAAAAATAGAGAACAAGGGCTAGGGCAAGTTTTGAAATGTAACCGAGGAACTGGACAATAGCAACTGCAGCCTTCTTCCAGTTAGATAGCTCCCACAACACGGTTCTCCATGCATAAAGTCCAAAAGCCAATGCTGCACAATCCAAGACGAATAATCAGTACTCATCTCATTTACATTCATACCCAAAAAGCAGCCCTACTACAGAAGGGTGAAGAAGAGCAACATTAAGAAGACACAAGTTTGTTAGCTACTGTATCTATTTTCAGTTAATTCCTCTTTACAGAAGAATTATAACCTGTTTGGATAAAGTCCACCTCACCAAATGTCCATACATTTCTAGATTAGAATAAGTACTTCCACATCCAAAATAGCGGAAGAAAACAAAAACTTCATAAACGAGCAGATGAATGGTTGGATCAAGCCAATTAATCAATTTCGTAACCAACAACAACCCCACCCACCCCAACCCGAAATAATAATAATGAGGAAATAAACAGAAGCATCATTGCATTGACCATGCTGCGAGGCTTCTAAATGAAGTTTCTCTGTTGAGCTCATAAACCGTCAACATACACAGAAACTAAAATAAATCTCAGTTCCGCCGCAACACAAGGATCCTTCCACATTCGCTCGTATTTTCAAAGAGCCATAAGTGGTATTATCTCTTATACTGTGATCAAGCAAGCACAAATAAAGTACATTCAGAATTTTAAGAATCTAAAACAAGCATGCAATACCGTATAGCACCCTCTCATTCTCATAGCTGAGACAAGAGTAATAACTGTACTTTAAAGTACTTTATTTGACAATGTTACAGCAGTACAAAGGTCATTGACTCAAGCTATTAATCAACGAAAACAATCTGCTCACTGAAAAATTATTGGAACGCTGTTCCTAAATCATGACAAATTTATAAAATATGAACCACAACATATCAACAGTTAATGCGAGGGAATTGTGGTTGTTGATAAAGCTACACTAGAATGTCTCTCTCTGGTATGTTTATATGACAATTTCCACCTCTATCACAAACATTGAAATGCGCATGTCTGCAAGAGCTCAAGGCCCTTATCAACTAAGAGCCTCCAAGGAAGTTTTCAATACATTCCAAAACATGACATACTAGTCAAAAGTTTCAGATATAACAGATCCATGAAAAAGCGCTGGTCAACTGGCAGAATAAATCACAATCTATTTATGACGTTCAATACGCCCAAACGGGTATAAAGATACTCAAAAGCAAATCACAAGTGCGATTAGTGTGGTACAATGAAAAGCAAAGTTCAAAGTGAAGGAATGTTGAAAGCAAAGAGATTTCCAGTCATTTCACTTCTTTCTCTGGCAGAGAAGCAAAATCAATTGCCTGATATAGCAAAGGGGCCAAATTTTAGGCCTCTTCTCAAATGTGCTCTCCATGTTTTCTCTTATCCGTTAAAATAAAAATTTAATCACAAACAATCAACAACCCAGCAAATCCACCCTCTCGAGTATCCCACAAAAAGCTCATATCAAACAAGTGCGTGTGTGCCATAACAATCACATTGTGCAACCTTTGAACAACAATAACAGTTGGCTAAAACTTATCCCTTTTAACAGACGTAAATTTCTAGATAAAGGAGAACAAGAAAACAAGCTTTAAACAAATTTAGAAACTTTGAAACTTGAATTCACCTATAAGCCAAGGCCACCTAACAGGCTTTTCAGGGGCCTCCTTAGTTAAGTGTCTGAACCTATCAGGCATAGTGCTCTGCCCCCTTGCCTCCTCTTCGGCTTTGTCCAAGATCGGTTCTTTATCCATTCCCCCATCCTTCTGAGCCTTAAGCGAAAACCCAAACTTCCTGCTATGGTGAAATGGGAACCCGGAACTGAAACTCTTCTCATGGAAAGCGGCGTATCCAAGCTTTAATGGGGATGTTTCGATCACAGAATGGCGAAATGGGATTGTCCAGAATTGAGAGGAAGTGCGAAGACAATGAATTTGAGAAGAGGGTATGAATTTGGATGGGGTTTTAAGAGGTAGATTGGGAGAGAGTACTGTTGAGAGCGCCATTATCACAGCATCTGGGGTTTAGGAAGTGGAATGAAGCAGTGTAAAAGTTGGGGCGGGGTTTGAGACTTGAGAGAACCACGACGGGTCCACCGGCCGCCAGCCGTCCGACGGTTTAATTCGGGTGATAGTTCATACGCTTATTTCGTAAATTAAAAAAATATTGGGGGTAGTTTGGCAAAAATAGATGTACAATGGGTTTTTTTTTTTTTTTTTGAAAAAGGTACTATCTGTTTATTTTTTTTTAAATAAATAAGAGGGTCGAAAGGAAATTTAGGTTCCAACTAACTCAAAAACACTCAAGGGGTATACCCAAGAGATAAATTTTTGAATCAGACAGCACCTAGAGGGTCTACTCAAGTGATGGAAATGTATATCATCTAGTTCTCTAGTGTCCTTCCTCCCTTATTTTATTAATTACTAGCAAATAACTTGCCAGTACTTAAAACTTTCCAATATACAAGAGACTATTTATATTGAGTCTGTATGTAAGGAAAGGAAACCTGATCTAAGAGTACAAGTCCCCTAACATGTCCTCTATTTGTTTATTATATTGAAGTACTTATACTATTACATTTCATTTTTGCATAAGCTAGGTTATACAATTCACGGACATTAGTTCTACTTACTTTTAACAAAATGCATGATTGAAATTGTGAAATTAAGTGGCGCAATCGAAATATTACTTCCTACGCTTCTGTCGGGAAATTAGAAATGCGTTGATTCATTGTGATTGTTTAACAGTCAATGTGCACAACCACTTCCTGCAAATCAAACGACCAAGCTTCTTGAAGGGCCATTAAACAGGTTAGGGCCTCTGTTTGGCATGCTGATAATGCTGAAATTGGCACTGATTTTATCTGCATTAGTAACCTTGAAGGAGATACTATCTTCTACGCTCCCGTTGCACTTTTTGTTGTGGAATGAAAAGATCCATCGAAGTGAATTTGTGCTTGATTAGCTGTAGAAGTTGGAGGCGTAGTCTGTTATGCAGGGGAACCTTGACGATATAGTGATGAACTTATTGTCTATTTGTGTTGATGAAGTTCATCCTGTATGAGCCGCCATGACATCACCGGGTCCATAGTTTGAGAACACCAAACTCTATCATTTCAATCTATCCAAATCCTTCGGCAAATTATGAGCAATAAATCGATTTCATCCATGGATGGAAAAGATTGAATCCAATTGACATACGATTCCAGCAGTGATGATATGTTCCATTAAAGATTTTTCGAAAAGTAGGATAGGCAAAACTCTATATCGCTTAGGAGATTGGACACTTAAGGAACAAATGTGTGTTGTTCTCTACCCGTGTGAAACATCTCGGGCACATAAGATCCACCTCAACTCTATATTTGCGAAGACCATGTTTTGTTGGCAGAGCATTGAAAGCAGCCCGCCAAAAGAGGTATTTATGTTTAAGTGGTACTCTAGAATTCCACAGCCATTTCCACGTCTTTGCTTCTTGTTGATGTTGTTGTTATGTTTGGGGTTGGGATGGCGGCTCTATATTGAGTGCTGTGTGGTGCCGCTGTGTGGTACCCTAATTGAACTGTGTAATTGTCATGTAGTGTGTTGGACCAAATGAGTTTGTCCCTCTCTGCGACTCTCAGGAGATCCACATAAATGCCAGAAATTTATTTTATAATGTGGTCCGGGAAGATTGTTCTTAGGAATGAGATCTTTCACTGGCCATTCGGCTTAATAAGATCATTCACCTTTGAGATTGGAGTGCATTGCCAGAAAAGAATTTGGTTGGATCGGGTTTTGATGGTTTGGAATCCAGTTCTCAGCTATGCCTATGTGCCACCCTAAGACAACCTTCCATTTTATGTTATCCTGCCAGAGTCTTGCACCCAAAGTACATTTTTATAGCCCCAAGTGGCATTATTTGGAGGTTTATTCTCGGGGAAGGGTTCTGTTGAACAGTATTTGGCCCAAAACTGTGGATAAGAGGGACTCCAACTGAGAAAAGATCTTCCAAGCATGCTTCGCTAAAAGAGCTTGATTAAACTCCTTTTTGGCTTTTAATCCCAGGCTACCATGTAACAAGGATTTACTGATTTTTTCCAAGATCGTCAGTATATACCTCTGGATTATCACCTTTCAAAATGAAGTTGCCAATAATGTTGTTAGCTTTTCGTAGTGTAGAAGCCGGGAGTTTGAAAACTCCCATAGGATAAACCAGCATGGCTGACAAAGTGGATTTAGCCAGGGTGACTCTTCCTGCAAAATTGAAGAGTTTGGTCTTCTAATCTGCGAATTTCTTGGTTAGTCTTGTAGTTAAGTCCTGGAAAATACTTATTTTTTTCCCCTGAAATCCAAAGAGAGGCCAAGATATTTGTTGTGGAAATTTCCTTCCGGGATATTAGTGGTGGAGTGAATGAGATTTTTTATGATAGGAGTTGTGTTTGCACTTATAAGGATGGAAGACTTCTGATAGTTAACCTTCTGACCAGAGAAGGTAGCATATGTCTCAATGAGCCCTGAAAGTGCCTGGATGGATACTTCAGTACACTTAATAAAAAAGAGACTATCATCAGCATACATTAAATAGCTTATCCTTGATGCATTCCTGTTGATTTTTATCCCTAGTCTTGGAAAAGCATGTATTTCTGATCTAATTGCTGAGGATAAGACCTGTTGACATAGGATGAAGAGATAAGTTAATAGATGGCATCCCTGTCTGAGTCCTCTCTTTGGGGTGAAGAATGGCAATGCTTCTCCATTTAGTTATATGCAATAGGAGACTGTTGTAACACAAAGCATGATGGGCTTGATTATGTTGCTTGGAAATCCAGATTTAGTAAGCACTGTTTCTAAGAAATTCCATGAAACCCGATCATAAGTTTTGCTCATGTCCAACATGATTGCAGCCAGGTGCTGCTCTGATTACAGAATGATGAAATCGGATTGTCCTGAATTGAGAAGAAGTGCTAAGACAATGAATTTGAGAAGATGGTATGAATTTGGATGGGGTTTTAAGAGGTAGGTTGGCAGAGAGTACTGTTGATAGTGCCATTATCGCAACATCTGGGGTTTTAGGAAGTGGAATGAAGCCGTATGTGATGGTTTGGGGGATTTTGAGAGAACGATAACGGGTCGACCGGCCGTCAGCCGTTCGACGGTTTAATCCGGGTGATAATTTCGTAAATTAAAATAATATTGGGTAGTTTACATTGTTGTCAGGCTCGGATCGGAGCTCGACTTGGCACGGGCAAGGGGTCGAGCGAATCGGGGGTCGACTCGGAGGGTCGACTAGGATGACGTCATAATGACATAATAAATATTCATAAATAAAAAATATATTTTAGTAAAATTTTATAAATTTTACATACATTTGTTTATTGTTAAAATTATATTAGTGCTTCATAACTTTCAATTGAGTTTTGATAAACAAAATTATGACATTAGCTAAATTATTAGTTTAAATTACCTCTTGTTATAATTAAATAAATAAATAAATTTGATACATTATTGACTTTTATCAATTAAAAAATTACATTGCCTGTTTAAAAAATATATTTGGTTATAATTTTTCTTTACTTTAGTTTAAAATGATCAATATTGCTTGAGTTGTAAATATTTAATTTTTGTTCTAAATAATGGTTATAACTCAATTTGATATGTATGATGTGGGATGAATGATTAATCCAAAAATTCAGACTTACAAATTTAAAATTAAGATTTTAAACTTACATTTTTTGGATGTATAAACAATTTAAACTTTGAAAATCAAATTTTCTCTTCTCTTAAACTGTCTCGACCGCCCTTCTCTCCCTCTCCAACCCTAAAACCCTAAAACAAAAAAAAAAACTCCATCTTTTCCCCCATCTTTCCACCATGGAAGGATGGGGCGAGATAATTCTATCCCGATCCTTATATTTTTTATTGTTGTTTAATTTATTTTCAATAAGTGAGATTATAATCTCCTCTACTAGTTAGGTATGGCGGCGACTTCCTTATGAAAGTTCGCTGGTGTGGTGGCGACTTCCTGGTGATGTTCGTTGGTATGGCGACATTTTTGTCGGTGATGTTTGCAGGTACGGCGGCAGGTTCGTTGGAGTTCACTCGTATGGTTTTAAAAGATTCAGTCATCATAGATTTAGTTGTTAGATCTATGATTTGAGAGTTTCAACTGATTTTTAGTATTGTATCTTTGTTTCGGCACGTGATACAACCACTGCTTGATAGGGTAGATCTATATAGGTTTATCTATATGAAACACAACAAAGGCACTATGATTATGGCCAATTGTAAGTTGTATTTTTCTGACTGTATCTTTTCTTATCAATCGCTACTGGACGGTTTCCGGTAAATTAATAAATTTTATTTCTAAAAAAAAAAAGATTTTATACTTACAATTATAAAAGTTAGGGGGTCATTAAAAGCGTAAAGAATCTAGTTGAGGACTAAAAGTGAAAAATCAGCTTCAATAAACCTCAAAAGTAGTGCAAAAAAAATTTTAAAATTTTAAAAATAAGCTCAAAAGTCAAAACTCGGTTCCACCCAGGTTAGACCGATTTTTGGTTTAACTAGAATCTTGACCGGTTTTGACCGAGTCTTATTTAGGCGATTTTATCACCTGCTCGGCTCAGCTTGAGGTCCAGTTCCCCGGTTGATCCGGTTCAATCGTCCGGTCCGAGCCGAGCTTAACAACACTGGTAGTTTAGCAAAATATAGAAGTAAAATTTTTATTTTATTTTTTTGAAAAGGGAAGTAAAATGTTAGGTTAGGTCTTTTTTTTTAGTACAATGGAACAATTTTAGTCCTTTAAAGTTGACCTAAACATCTAAAATCTATTATATTATACTAATGGAGAAACGAGTGAGAGAAATTTAGGGATAATATAACCGCGTAACATAGGAGAAAATCCTACGTGGCAAATTCTAAAAAAAAAAGTTGAAAACTAACTTTTTAAATTTATGAATTAGCCCCTACAAAATACAATAACTACTAATATTACAAATTAATGTATTGAAAGTTCAAAATCGGAAAATAAATGTCCACGTTAGTGAACATATACATAACATAAACAAGTATTCGAATTCCAATTATAATATAGGGATCCTAGGTACACCTAGCAAGGTGTACCTAGTGTGTAAGAAACGCGTCTAAAAAATGGGGACTTCCAAAAATTACGTCACTGCCACCCGAGTGAAAAACACGTGCCCATTTAATACCCCTTTATGCGCGATTTTTTGATTTTCAAATCTTGATAACCACCATTATCTCCATATTTTCAGCCATTATTGATGATCCAACATTCCATTCGATCTATTCCATTACTCCCCAAATCAGAAAAAAAAAATGAAACCCCAAAAAATCAATCATGCGGCGATACATTCAGAGAAGCTACCGTCGGCGGGACTTCCGAAGTCTGAATCGAATCGTTCATAAAAAATGGTAATTCTGATTACAGGTTACAATATTGAAGATGAGGATTAAGGTGTATTCTGGTCAAATTCATCGATTTTTCTGTGTTTATCTATTGTTGTTTGATTCTGGTTTGATGAATGTTGTTTTTTCTTAAAATATTCATGTAGATACCTATGGCTGAGGATTCCGAACCGAGTATGAGCAAATCGGAAGATAAAGGGGAAGCGAGGTAATACAACTACTCTCTTCAATCATTGGTGTAGTTTTTTTGTTTGAGTTATGTAGATCTATGGTATGTTCACTCAATTAACAATGTTTGTTCATCAATTTTAGAGATATGTTCTTCGATTTGCTTTTTCTTTGGTAAATTAGAAGATCTGAGAGTTATTCATCAGTTTGGTATAATTAGTCATTGTTGAAATTATCAGATTCATCGTTGTCATAACTATTTAAATTATCAGATTCATCAATTTTAGAGTTTTGTTCTTCTATTGGATGTTGTTTTTCTGGTAAATTGGTAGATTTGTGTATTATTCATCAGATTGGTATAATTATTCATTGTTAAAATTGTAAGATTCATTGTTTACCATAACTATGTAGTATTATTTTTTTTTTGGTAAAGTAGTAGATCTTTGTATTATTCATCAGTTTTGGTATAATTATTCATTGTTGAAATTGTCAGATTCATCGTTTACCATAAGTATGTAATATTGTTTTTTTGGTAAATTATTAGATCTTTGCATTATTCATCAGTTTGGTATAATTATTCATTGTTGAAATTGCAAGATTCATCGTTTACCATCACTATGTAGTATTGTTTTTTTTTTTTGGTAAATTACTAGATATTTGTATTATTCATCAGTTTGGTATAATTATTTATTGTTGAAATTGCCAGATTCATCACATCTGACACGTTATTCATGGAATTTGTAAATATATTATAGCATGAGTGATGAAAATCAGACAGAATCTGAAAGAAACATGAGCGAAGAACAATATTCAGAAGCCAAAAGAATCAGGATATCTGCATCTGCAAAAAATCAAACTACAATAAATGTAGATATTGATATAGAGGGTTATTCATTAGTTTTGTATAATTATTCATTGTTGAAATTGTCGTATTCCTCAGTTTGGCATAATTGTTCATTGTTGTATCGCACCTATCTCTTGAATTTTTTACTCCTTGTTTGCTACATGCAAATTGTTTCCAATATACAACATCAGATTTGGACATTTTCCAATCTTTAAACTTGTTTATTGAAAAAATCAATGCGCTTTGTGTAAGAATTATAAGCAATAAAAGTCTCTTCTTCATAGTTGAAAAATCGTCCAATTAGCAAAACTTCTGTTATTCATCAATAACAACTCATTATTCATTAGTTAACATAAGATATTCATCGTAAAATCGTAATAATATAATACATCATCGGTCAAAAAACAACAATGAACACCATGTTCATCAATAACCATACATTACGCATTACCTTACGCATGTATATTCATCAATAAAATTATATTCAAAAGTTTAGATGACGAACCATATTCAATTTTACCGAAATAAAATCAACACAGCATTGTCAGAATACCCATATCAACACAGCATTGAAGTTATGAAGAATCTCATAAAATAAAATAATATAAAAGCTAACATGATAAGCATTAAAAAAGATAACATTTGAAATTAAACATGTGTTAAAAAAAGGGATAAAATTTGGAGGAATTAATTCACGTAATTAAAATTTGGAGGAAAAAAAGGGATAACATTTGATCACGTAATTAAACTGATGATTTGCATAATAAATGTGCGTGTGGATTCTTTTTTTTCGGACTCAATTATTCCAATTTCTCTTCCCCCATGTGTGGTTCACGCACTGCCTAGGTACACCTTGCCTAGATACACCAGGATCTTAATATTATTTGCCTTCGAATTCTACCACAAAAGAAATTATTAGCATTAGACTTTTTTTTTTTTTGAAAAATTAGCATTAGAGTTAATAATGACATATTTGAATTCAATAATCTTAACCACAAAAGAGATATATAAAAAAAATATAATAAGATTTTCGACCAAGTTATTACAAACCAAAATTTAAAATTTAAAATGATGGCTCTAAAGAGACTATATATATTAAGATAAAGTCCCCACAGAGAGTTGCATACCCCTCAAAACCCAAGCAACCAGAGAAAATATATGCCATGATAGCCATCCGTAAAATCCAGGCCAAAATCGGAAACATGGGAGGATTATGATCAAAACTATATGATGTGCTGAGGAATTATTTTAATGCTTTTTTTATTTTATTTTTTCCCCTTACATATTAACATTAGACTCTTACCTCAATGTTAAAATTATGCAGAAAATCATATAAAGATTCGTGTTGATTCAATTGTTGCCTTATTGTTACTCTAACACGACCATTTTTTTTAAAAAAAAATTCATGCGAACATTTTTTATGATTTTATAACAAGTTTTAATTTGTAAGCAAAAGTGCCAAAAAAAAGAAGTTCTGATTATATGGTAATAGATGGGAACCAGGTGCGAATGGGTTACATATGGGAACCAGGTGCGAATGGGTTACATCCATGAAGTTAGATTTATGTTTGAGAACTTTTTTTTTTTTTTTTTTGAATGCATGGTTTTAATCCTATCGAATTCTTATTATTTTCTTAAATTATTTTGCAATGAAATCTTATGAAATTACATTGACTTTGATTGTACGATATATGGAGATGAATTTCCATATGTGTTCAAAGGTGGATCAACCAATTTTACGAGTCCTGCAGTGCTAGTGGATGCTAGAGTAGAAGAGATTTTGATAGGAGGGAGAAATTTATTGGAATGGCAAAATTGTTTTTTTTTTTTTTTTTTTGGTGAAAGGCAAAATTGTTGATTATAAGTATTTACCGGTGGAGAGTTCAATTCTCAAAGGAAAAAAAAAAAATAAAGGAGATTTGCAAATAGTCAAGAAAATGGCATCCAAGATATAACGTGGAGCTTCTCTCACTACGAGCAAGTCGTGTTTACATTGTTGAGTATGATGACTTTGAGTAACACCATCCACGAAATCAACACCAATTGACTTGCTTTTTCTTTTTCGTTTTATTTCTTTTAAATCAACTTATGCGAAAAGTCCTTGATATTAAAAATCTTAGTAGATTATGACCATATTATTTTTAAATAAGAAGGTATCATTGATTCGGACGGTTGATAGCTTCTCTGATTTAGTTAGTGTTGGTGGATTAATCCGAAATTCGTGGTATGTGGCTAGGTGAGTTTGCTTTGAATATAGAATTTTGTACTATCACGGGGTTCATTTAAAATATGGGATTTGGGTTTATAAGAAATTAATGGCGAAGCTAAATTACCTAAGTGTTATAACAGTAACAGCGGATACATACAAGATTGGTACAGAGCATCAAGGAATTGATTAATAGGAAATGAGAGGTGGAGTCGAAATATGTGATTTGAGAAATTAATTTTGCTGCTGATTCTTTATTATTTGCAGCAATTAGTCCTATAGGGATTCATAGGCTTGATAGTGCATGTTCGCGGTTGGAACACGATATTTTCAGAATTTTTCATCCAAGCAACATTGTAAGGCATTTGCCTCTTCTATTATAAAAGAAAAACTTTCAATTGGTTTACTTCCTTTCTTATATTGAGAATACCATTCAGAACTCTCTAAGTAAGCATATGGTTTTTCATGAAGAAGTAAACTACATCATATGACTGGAAGATCCACCATGTGGATGGACATTATAGATGATTTATAATGTAGGGCAGAGGGGATTGTTGTTTTACTTCTCTTGTTTACGATCCAGCAAGAATTCATCCTACATTCACGAAGTTCACTGCCTCACTTAGTAAATATGCGAATAAACTAATTTTAGAGTCCAGCCCGCCAAAATTGAGCATAAACTCAGTCAAAGTCTTCTGAACAAAAAACCGAAAGACTGCAGTAATTGTAGAACAATGAACAATGAAAACATCATACTTGGCTCCCTTTTCCAAATTGATTTTCAACTTTCTACTACTGATTTGCTGCTGAATGTAAAACAAAATTGACCATTCTCATAAAAAAAAAGAACAAATGTGTCTTCTTCATCAGTCGCTTAAAAATGTTTGAAGCATAATAGTCAATGGAACATAAAAATCAACAATGATAGAATATAATAGACAATGGCAACCAGGAGTCAACAACAGATTGAATTATAAATTCTGGGCTGATTGTACTGAGCTTTAATCATCATCATTCTCAAACACAAATATAAATACTCTTCACTGTGTAAACGATGAGTATGATGATGATGAAGCTTCAATTCTGTTTAGCCCTTTTACTGACTACCTTTTCATGTGTTGCATTTGCATTACGTGCAAATGAGCAAAACCAACAAGAAGCTTTCTTAAGCTGTCTCCAGAAAAAGAACTCAAAAGACAATACTATTTCCACCATCATTCACACTCCCAAAAACACTTCATTCAAATCTGTTTTGGATGTTTACATTCAGAACACACAGTTTTTATCCCCCGAAACTCCCAAACCCATTGCGATTTTGACTCCAGAAACCGAATCCCACATTCAAACTGCCATCTACTGCGGTAAGAAGTATGGATTGGAAATGAGGATTCGAAGCGGAGGCCATGATTTTGAGGGAAACTCCTACATTTCTCAAGTACCCTTTTTCATACTCGATATGTCCAACTTCAGGTCAGTCTCTGTCGACGTCGAATCAAAAACCGCCTGGCTTGGATCCGGCGCGATGCTTGGTGAAGTCTATTACGGAATTTATGAGAAGAGTAGCACCCTGGCTTTTCCCGGCGGCTATTGTCCGACCGTCGGAGTTGGTGGTCTAATCAGCGGTGGAGGCTACGGCGCATTAACCCGAGAATTCGGCCTTGCAGCAGACGCGGTGGTAGATGCTCGTGTGATCGACGCGAATGGCCGAATTCTCGACAGAGAATCAATGGGTGAGGATCTGTTCTGGGCAATTCGAGGCGGGATTGGTTCCAATTTTGCAGTCATTCTTTCCTACAAAGTCAAATTAGTCGAGGTTCCAGAGTACGTGACAGGATTCAACGTTCCCCGAACCATCGAACAGGACGCAGTTAAGTTGGTTCATAAATGGCAACAGATTGTTGCAAAGTTGCCACTCAAGCTTACCCTTTCCCTGGCGGTTTTCAGCAGCGTTTCGCCTCAAACCGGAAAGCCGACGGCTTTAGTTATCTTCGCCGGCGTTTATCGGGGCGGAGTCGACGAATTTCTTGCCATCATGGATGAAAGATTCCCTGAATTGGGTATAACAAAAAAAGACTGCAATGTAATCCGTTGGATTCAGTATATCCCTTTCCATATGGCACAACCATATGAAAATCCTAAGGAATTCTATACAAGCAGAGTTCCTCCATTTGTCTATGCTTTTTCAGGTAAATCTGATTTTCTCACAGAACCCATACCAGAAGAAGGCGTGGAAAAGATACTCAACAAGATTTCAGAGTTACCACCATTTAGTGCACAAATGGAATGGACATGCTTTGGAGGTGGAATCATGGAGAAAATCCCTGAATCTGAAACTCCATTCCCACACAGGAAAGCTTCCATCATGTTGTTTGAGATGGCTAATTGGACTCCAAATCCAGATGATGGCAGCAGCTCTGATGTAGCTGAAGCTCGTAAGAAATGGGTGAAAGAGCTTCACGACATTGTTGGAGATTATGTGGAGAAAAACCCAAGAGCTTCGTATCCGAATTACCGGGACTATGATTTGGGAATCAACAATGCCAATGGAGAAACCACCATTGAACAAGCTAAGAAATGGGGAATTCCATACTTCAAAGACAACTTTGATAGACTTGTCAAAGTGAAAAACAAGGTCGACCCAGAGAATTTCTTCAGGAATGAACAGAGTTTCCCTGTCCTTCCAGCTCATTCAGAGTTATAAGATACTATATCAAATCAAAGCATTGATCAAAATTGATTGTGAAAAGATCGGCAGGGTAGGGTCACTTCTCTACAGTGTTTCTTAGGAATTTATGAAGGATACAATAAAAATGTCCAAAGAGTTTCAGTAGGTTACGCAAATTAGGTAGAAGAATATGGTCCACAACAATCAAGTTAAATGTATGGTTGAAAATTCAAAAAGATTATCTACACGTTTTCTTTGTCAAATTTTGCCAAATTTCAGGCTTTCAGCATCATCATACTATATAAAAAGCACAAAATTTCATTTTTGAGCTTCTGCAACTTTCTCGGTTTCTCCACACACACACACACACACACACCAAAGAGGAAAGAAAATGACAAAGTTTCCCATTCGAGTTGCAATTTCTCTTGCTGTTTTCTGGGCTGTTTTTACTTTTGCATCATCAACTCAAACTCAATCTCACCTTCCTGAGCAAGTTTTTCTACATTGTCTCAAGAGTTCTAATGATCCCAACATCACTGAAGTTGTTTACACCCCGGAACACCCTGATTTCCTCTCAGTGCTAAACTTCTACATCCAAAATTCTCGCTTTCTTAATAATAAACAAACTCCAAAGCCAAAATTGATTGTGGCTCCATCCAAAGGATCTGAAGTGCAAACAGTGATCAAATGTGGTAAAATGTCCAGCTTACAAATAAGAATCCGCAGCGGAGGCCACGATTTCGAAGGCAGTTCCTACATTTCCGATGTCCCCTTCTTCATTCTCGACATCAACAAATTCCGTTCCATTTCCATAGATGACCAGAAGAAAACAATCTGGTTCGGCGCCGGAGCGACGCTTGGCGAAATATACTACGCGATTTACCAGAAGAACAGTAGTCTCGCCGTGGCGTTGGGGAACTGGCCGACGGTTAGCGTTGGCGGGTATATCAGCGGCGGCGGCTACGGCGGATTGACAAGGCAGTACGGCATGGGAGCAGATCAGGTGATTGATGCCATCGTTGTGGACGCAAACGGAGAAATTCACGACCGGAAATCCATGGGAGAAGATTTCTTCTGGGCAATCAGAGGTGGGATTGGTTCCAATTTCGGTGTAATTCTTGCATACGAATTGAAGTTAGTTGATGTGCCGGAAAAAGTTGCTTCTTTCATGGTGAGCAGAACATTGGTAGAAAACGCAGTTCAACTTGTTCACAAAGCTCAATCAGTTTCTCTCACTCTGCCATTAGAGATTTACTTTTCAATCAAATTCATGACAGTTCTTTCAAACCAAACGAATAAACCCACCGTAGAAGCTACATTCGTCTGTACTTACCGCGGTGCCGGAGGAATCACCGAGCTCTTATCGATAATGGATCGGAAATTCCCTGAATTAGGCGTAACCAAAGATGACATCTTCGAAATGCTCTGGATCCAGTTCGTCCCTTTTCACAACAGCTACCCAATCGATGATTACGTGCATTATTTGACCAGCAGAATCCCTCCGTCCAAACCATATTTCTCAGCAAAAGCCGATTTCGTCCGGGACCCTGTTTCGGAAACAGGGGTTCAAGGCCTAATGAACAAGCTCCTGGAAGTGCCACTAGGAATTGGCCAAATGGAGTGGACATTCTGGGGAGGAGGAATCATGGACAAAATCCCTGAATCAGAAATTGCGTTCCCACACAGAGGGTACTTGTTCATCGTCTTTGAAGTGGTGTATTGGAACAAAGATGATACATCAGCTACGATTGAAGAGCGCATCGATTGGTTCAGAGGGTTTCGCAGGGAATTTGGGAGATATGTTCCTGAAAATCCAAGGCCTGCTTATGCAGATTATCGTGATCATGATTTAGGCCTAAACAGACCTGATGGTACAACAACGGTTGAAGAAGCAAGAAAGAGTTGGGGTGGACCTTACTTTGGAGGTAATTTTGATCGGCTGGTTCGTGTGAAGTCTGTGGTTGATCCAGAGAATTTATTCCGGAATGAACAGGGCTTCCCGGTGATCGAATTGCCTTCTTCACAGTGTCAATTGACATCATAAAGCAAAAAGTGGAGGATAATTGATATTAGTATTTTAAAGTATTGATGGTGGTTAAACCTGCATTATTTTGTGATGGTTGAGCTAAACTTTAGTGACTAAAATTAAGTTATGTCGGCTAAACAAACATTTTTGAAAATCGAGTCTCTTTTATTTTCTTCTTTTTTTCTTCCTCCTCACCTTTAAATACGAGTCAAAATATTCACTCTCGTAAAATTAAATTAATTAAAATAATTAGATTAGTACACAACATGCAATAACTGGTACACCTACCAGTCTACCACCACATTCATTAGCACACAAGACAAGTATTAGCTCTACAAAACAAGCTAAAGATAATTTTAAAAGGACTCAGAAACTATAAGGCCTCAAGATATTGTTACAGCTTTTCCTAAACGGATATGTCTCTGAGCTGAATTTTTTTTTGTTTTCCAAGGTATCCCTCCCGCGGATAGCGAGAAGACTAATCCTCCGTCCCTACGATCAGTGCACTAAGCAGAAGGGGACTGGCCAAATAATTTGCTCCATTCACTGGCCAAATAGTTTGATTTCACTACAATAACATTTATTTTCTAATAAACCTCTACTACTCCTATCCTAAAATATTGTCTAATTTTTTTGTATTATTTTTAGTACAATAAAATAAGTTAATCATTTTGGGACGGATAGAGTAATTGAACCAAATAAATCCATAGACAATTATAAACATGAATTATAACTTTCCAAGTACTAAAGTAGATGGTAAAATGCTCTCAGGAAAATCAATACACGTAAGCAAAAAAGTGACTACAAAGATTACATCCACAAATTCTAATACTCTGTTTTTGGACGTTATTCCATCCTTTCTAAACACTAAACATGAATAACCAGCCATCGATCTTTTCCTATTCATTGATCCAAGCTTTGATGTGGCTTATAACTCTGAATGAGCTGGAAACACAGGGAAACTCTGTTCATTCCTGAAGAAATTCTCTGGATCAACCTGATTTTTCACTTTGACAAGTCTATCAAAGTTGTCTTTAAAATACGGAATCCCCCATTTCTTAGCTTGCTCAATGGTGGTTTCCCCATGGGGATTGTTGATGCCCAAATCATAGTCGCGGTAATTCGCATACGCATATCTGGGATTCTTGTGAAGAACGTATTCCCCAACAATGTTGTGAAGACTTTTGACCCAATTTTTTCGAGTTTCAGCCACATCAGAGCTGTCATTTGGAGCCCAATTAGCAGACTCAAACAGCATAATCAAGGTCTTCCTGTGTGGAAATGGAGTTTCAGATTCAGGGAATTTGTCCATGATCCCACCTCCGAAATGGGTCCATTCCATTTGTGCGTTAAACGGAGGTAACTCAGAAATCTTGTTGAGGATCTTCTCCACGCCTTCTACTGAAATGGGTTCATGGAGAAAATCAGATTTACCTGCAAAAGAGAATTTAAATGGAGGAACTCTGCTCGTTAAGAACTCTTTAGGCTTATCGAATGGCTGAGCCATGTGGAAAGGAAAATATTGAATCCAGAGCATTTCGAGTAAGTCCTCTTTCTTCAAACCCAATTCCGGGAACTGGTCATCCATGATTTGGAGCAATTTTTCAGCTCCACCATCGCGGTAAACCCCGGCAAAGATCACCAGAGCCGTCGGCTTGCCGGTTTGCGGCGAAACGCCGCTGAATATAACCAGGGAAAGGGTCAGTTTGAGTGGCAATTGGGAAACAACATTTTGCCATTTGTGAATCAATTCAGCTGCATTTTGTTCGGTTGTTCTGACGATGTTGAATGCGGTTACGTACTCTGGAACGTCAACCAATTTCACTTTGTAGGAAAGAATGACTCCAAAATTGGAGCCAATCCCACCTCGAATTGCCCAGAACAAATCCTCACCCATTGATTCTCTGTCCAGAATCCGACCATTCGCGTCGATGATTCGAGCATCGACAACGTTGTCAGCTGCAAGACCGAATTCTCTGGTCAATGCACCGTAGCCTCCACCGCTGATAAAACCGCCGATTCCGACGGTTGGGCAATAACCGCCGGGAAATGCCAGAGTCTTAGCCTTGTCATAAATTCCATAGTACGTTTCACCGAGTGTTGCACCGGCTCCGATCCAGGCAGTCTTGGATTCGACGTTGACGGAGATTGACCGGAAGTTGAACATGTCGAGTACGAAAAAGGGTACCTGAGAAACATAGGAATTGCCCTCGAAATCATGGCCTCCACTTCGAATTCTCATCTCCAATCCATGCTTCTTACCGCAGAAGATGGCGGATTGAATCTGGGATTCAGTTTCCGGGGTGAGAATCGCAACGGGTTTTGGTGTTTCCGGGGCAAAAAATTTCGTGTTTTGGATGTAGAAATCCAAAGCAGACTTGAAGGATGTGTTTTTGGGAGTGTAGATGATGGTGGAAATGAGTGTGTTGTCTTTTGAGCTTTTCTTCTGAAGGCAGCTCAAGAAGCCTTCTAGGTGTTGTTGATCATTTGCATTTGATTCAAATGAAACACATGAAAAGGTAATTAAGAAAAGGGCTAAAGAGAATTGAAGCCTCATCATCATCATCATTAATGGGGGAATGTTTTTTTTTTTTTTTTGGTTTGAGTTGAGAATGATTCTGAAAAATCAGGACAATCAGCTCAGAATATATATAGCGCAATCTGATGAGCAAAGCAACATTTAGAAAAGAATAATTGAGTGTAGTTTATTTTTTAAAATACTGTCCCAGTCCAAAAAAAAAAATATTTTCATAAAGAACACAAAAGATTATGTGATTTATTTTCTTTGATATAAGGGAATTTTAAATTGTTGTTTTATTGACTATTATAGAGTTTATAGTCCAAAATAGACAGTCTTTACTTTTAAAGATGAATGAATGGTCACTACTCAGTAGTAGTTCAAAGTTGAAAAAACATTAAAGAAAAACAAAATCCCTATTTGACCACTCTGTTCCATCCAACTACTTCATCCTATTTGGGCTCCTTTACACATGGAGACGAACATTTTATCACTGCAATTTCACTGGTGATAAACTATATATATACCTCTTGTCTTAATTACAATATATAATAAATTAACATTCAAATTAATTCAAATTTGTGTATATAATTAAGACACTAAGTACGTGTGATTAATAACTTGTTTGCATGATAATATTACAATTTTGTTCAGTAGGGCCCTGTTTGATAAACCAATTAAGCACTTAAACTTATTAATTAAGTACCTAATTAATTAGTAATGTTTGATAATATAATATCATAACAACTTTATTGATTAAGAAATTAATTTATTAAAAACTTAAATTTTAAGTGCGTTTGATAACTCAAAGTAGGACGTCTTAATAAATTAAGTGGGTCTGAAATGTTAGAACAAATGTGAGCTTAAAAATAAGTGATAAGCCTATCACTTATGTTTGAACTGAATTCTTGAGACGATTTTTTCTATTTATTTATTTTTATGTTTATACTTTTGATATTTTATCTTGAAATATTTTTATTAATCATGATGTCTAGTTCTAAATTTAAATTTATGTAAATTATTTTTTATTTAATAAATATTTATTTTTATATAAAAATTAAAATCCATTAAATTCCATGACCAATATATATTTTCCATAAAATATGAATTTTTTTTGACAATGATAAAATGTGACATTATTATTAACTGAAAAAATAATAACATAATAAAATTTAAATATTTTTATTATATTATTTAAAAATAATAATATTATTTTTATTATTATAGTTTTATATAAATCAATTTTTTTAGATAAAATTATAAGTCGAGATACTTTAAATTTCAGTGTTCTGACTTCAGATTTCAGATATTTTATTCAGTGTTTAGATTTTAGTTTTTATCAAACACGACAAAGTTAATCAGTTCACTACTTATGATTCAGTCTTCAGATTTCAGACTTCAGACCCAAATTAAGTTTTATCAAACGGGCCTAACTAAATGACTAAGCCCGGTGTGCCTTGAGCCTTTGACTGATGGTTTTACACTCAAAATTGGCGAGCTAAAGTAGTGAGTGTTTTATTCATTCCAAAATGATTGGTACTATATTAAATTTATTTTTAGTACTTCTACAATTTATATTAGAAATGAAAATTTAAATTCCACAGACATTTCGGAACAATGGAATATTAATTTTTTTTCATTCTTTTTGAATTGATGCTACAAATCAGAGAAATATTAATAATTGTGTCAATAATAAATTTTCACTTACTTAAAAGTCATAGTCAATGATTTTTGCTCGGATGATTTTCAATTTTGTCGCTAAATTCTACGTTTTTTCTCCCTCTATTTGAAATATATGTCGTTTTAGGGTTTGGTGATTTTTTTTAAAATATAGGTCGTTTCACAAATCGAGGCATATTTGACCACTTTTTACCAAAATTACCCTTGCATTGGAAATGAAATAATATTTATAATAAATTTCTATTGGTTTGTGATGAGTTGTATATACAATTAATAAGGGTGTTTTTGTATTTTAACTACATTAATTAATGTTTTATTGATTTTGATGAATTCTCTAGAAAGACATATTAAAAAAATGGAGGGAGTATTTAGTAGTAATTGCATTGATTTCATTTCAATCATTTCATTGATCAGTTTAGTCTTTGATTCAACATTTTAATTGCTTCTTTTTTTTTTTATTGGGTTGTACTTGTGCATATGCAGGCTTGTAGTCAACATATTCAGATTATTAAATTAGTTAAGTTAATGAATACGAAGAAAAAAGTGAATGATAATAAATTAACCACCTTATTCTTTTTTCTTCTTTTTCAGTCTCTCTTGAGTGGGAATTGAAATTGACTTAAAATTAAAATAATTGTTTTACAAGTCGCCAGCAATTTTTAAAGTGGAATGTAACTGAAGTAGGACTGATACTATAATTGGTGAAGTTTTAAATTTGGAGGGAAATATGTGTATTTACTAAATACGGGAACCAAAATGTGATACACAATGTTCCAACTTATGCTGTGGGATACAACTTGAGTCATATTTGGTTGATACTACCGTCCTTCAAAAATATAATTTTATAAGTTGAAATTAACAGTTTCTCATTATTCTTAACTTCTGAAACTAGAATTTCTAAAAATCTGCACAAATTTTTAAAACAAAAATATTAAAAATGAAAAAAAAAAGCCGACTGACGACGACTAAAGTGGTGGAGCTAGCTAACCACATTTTAGTTGTCGCCTTGCCTTCAATCCCATGCTCCAATACAATTACTAGGAACGTCTCCATGTTGAGAGTTTTTTTTTTAGAGGATATCCTTTGTATATGAAGAATTCCACATGACTTTTTTTTCCTTTTATTTTTTATTTTTAAATGTTTATGAGATGAAAATGACCACAAATTGACAAGCTAAGCATTAGACTTTTATGTAGCAGATAACGACACTATGACATGGTGATTTCCATTCTATCATACAAAATCTAAAAATTTAATGTAAATCTTTTTTCAGAGAACAATCGTTTTGAAACATATGACATGTAATAATTATGTAAAAAAGCAATTGCTATTTGCCTACACTTCTTATCAAATTGTCTTAAATAGTACTCCTTCTATACTACTATAAAAATAGTATAAATTGTACACTGTATTTTTTATATAATTGGACAGAGGGAGTATTTATGTGTATGAAAGCTAGTCAATAAAACCGCAGTATTCTAATGGTAGGAGACTGTGTTGTACTGTTGTCAAATGCTTGGCATTTAAAGTAAGTCAACGAGGAGAAGGAAATATTTGGAGAGTCAAGACGTATATGTTCCGCAAATAAAATATCCACTTTCGTCAACTTAGGCAACTAATAAGTTTAGGATGCTTTTGTGGTTCACTCATCCTAAAGCGACTGAAATAGTTTTTACTCTCCTTTTTTTATCTTTTTTTTTTTGAATTAGAAAAGTAGTTTAAAACATATTACTTTCATCCCAAAATTATTGTCCAGTTTGAAATTTCACTTCTAGTACAATTTAAACTACAAATGAAAACTCAAACTGGACAATAATTATGGGACGGAGGGAATATTTCGAATGAAACTCTCCTCGTAAACTAGAGTTAGAATCATGTTTATTTTCTCTCTTTGGGACTGAAAATTCATTTTGACAGGAAACATGTGATATATATATATATATATATATATGTGGTTCAAGTTATAATACAGATTCAAAACATCCTCTCTTTGCCTTTTGCAATTTGCTAGCCACCCACCTGATTCATATGATATTACGGCAAATCATTTCAATTTTCACGGTGTCGCTTTGGCTTGATTCAGCTGATAACCATTGGCCCCCGGCTGTACAAGCATGACTATAGCTACCAAAAGTCAGATGACTATTGAAGAGCCGAACACTTTGACGATTTGGTCCAGCAAAAGACAACCGTGCGTAATTGTTGAATAACACGATAATATTGTCCACTGGAAAATGATATAGTCCGAAAATATGCACCCTTAAACATCATATATAGACATATGTGATAATAAATAATCCCTCCATTCTAAAAATAAGTGTCATTTTAATAAAATGAAAAGAATTCAAAATAAGTATCAATTTTTTTATTCTAATGCTTATTTTTTGTCTTAAATTTCCAACACTACTCTCAAAATAAATAATATTATTGACAAGAATTTATTCTAAGGTTTGGTTGATGATATTTTAGTAATTTACCTAGCTCATTTATTATTTATTTTTTAAAAGACAAAATTGTATTAATAACTTCACAAGAACTTTACATCATTATGTACAAGGTCTCAATTGGATCACACTATGGCCTAGCTTTTTCAAAAAACTAACATCACTGTTTTTTGCATTTTTACACATGAACTCTAACTTCCATTTCAATTCTTTCTTGATTAGTTCAAACCTTGCCAATGCAGCCTGTTCAGCACCCCCATGTTTACTGGCATTCCTTTCCAACCAAATATGATAAACCACAGCATTCAGCAGGCATATACTACAGCTTTTCTGAGTTTCCTGAATCTCCAAATTTTCAAAAGTTGCCTTTTCCTCAGCCCAACTATATTAGAGTGTAAACCAAGCCATCTCCTCAATCCTTGTATCATCTCCTGTGCATAAGTACACCTGAAAAAGAGGTGATCCAGTGAATCCTGATGCTAAGTGCATAAGCAACAACTCAAGTCATTTATAGTTAAGTTCATCTGTTGCAATCTGTCCACTCTCATCAATCTTTTCTTCCAGGCTAACCAGCTGATGAAACTATGGTCAAGCTTAGTGTTTCTTAAACTGTGTGCAAGTTGTAGAATGTCACTTTTTTGGAATAAAGGGAGTATAAAAAATATTTAATCATCTCTTAATTAGTATTTTCTTTTTCATGATTCTGTTATTTAATTTCACTCTAAATTCTAATTACATGTATCGTCAGCCATCAAAAAATATTTCATTATATCTTAATATGTGAATTTTTTTTCCTTCATGATTTTGTTATCTCATGTGACTGTAAATTTTTAATTACATGCCCCGTCATCCATCAATCTAAATTTTGACCTAGTAGATCCCACTATAAATGTTCATGGGAAAACCTCTCTTATATATTCTAGGTAGGAATAGATTTTTGAACTTCTAGAAGATCCAATTATAATTTTACCATCATTTGAATACCTCATTCTCAATAAATACTTTTAATTTGTAACTTCTTGGCGATACATGAACAAATTAAGTCTAATACTTTGGAAATAATAATCAAACCTTTCAGTTATATTGAATAATAATTTATATATTTTAATAAAAAAAGTACTATACCCGCCAGCCATTGCCTGTTTTGCTAAAAAAAAGAATAATAATTTATATATATATATATATATATATTGTACACCAATACTATAGTAACTAAAAGTTTAATTTGAGTCAAATCAGAATGACAATCAGTATTGTTTCTATCTCGAGATGTTATACAATATTTATAAGGCTAGCGATATTGCCAACGTAATTTTTAGCTTCCAGAGCAAATTTAGCTTTTGTTTTCATGATTGCCCTTAGTAAAAGTCAAAGATTTTTTTTCCCCCTTTTATCTCTCCCTTTAATTATTACTCCTTAATCGTGGTCATCAAAAATTATCTGTCACACCTTTCCTTTTGGTCCCCCTTCGTCAGCTTTCCCTCCATCCTGTGTTATCAATTTATTTATGTTTTTTGAAAAGGGTGTTATCAATTTATAATCAGAACTCTTTGTTTTCCTAATTGGTGGCATTATAGTTGGGTTTGGAAAATTTATGTTGTATGTGATCAAAATTAAACTGTTGCTTGGCATCTCTTATGTCTAACTGGGATAAAAAATCAAATTGTTTTGTGTAGAAAAACCTTCTTTTACTTCAATTTCAGTCGTTTTTCCATTGAATGAAGAAGTAATTACAATCTTATGATAGCTATGTGGATTTCAAGGCAAAATTCTTTGATAACAGTATTGTGATTCACATTCCTGGTGGTTTTGTACTCCAAAACCCACCTTTGCTTTAGCTATATATATATATATATATATATATATATATATATATATATAAACTTCTTATATGCTCTATACTTTAGGGAAAGCCCCCTTTCAGAAATAGACAAATCGGAACAAAGTTCCGTCTGTTCAAGTTGATTAAGAAGAACTTAAAAAGAAGTACTCCCTCTGTCCCAAAATTATTGTCCAGTTTAAGATTTCATTTTTAGTATAATTTGAACTAGAAATGAAAACTCAAACTGGACAATAATTATGGGACGGAGGGAGTAATAAATTGAATAAAACTAGTTCTGATAGAAAACTAATTTTGATTGGTGCTGAAATCTTTTATCAATTTTTTTCTTATTTTTTTTTAAAAAGCTTATGTTGTTTGATTGAAGTCTTGACTCTAACATTGGAATGAAAAATTAATGAAAATTCTTTGGAGAAAATTGGGACAAAGGCGTCACTCTAGTCCAGTAATTAATTGTTTGTCCTTTTTTTTTTCCCTCCATATATTGCAATAATAATGGATGAAGAGGGATTGTGGGAGAAGATTATTCTTTGACCTCAAAAAGATCAATTTTGAAAACAAAAATAAATTTTGCCTGGAGGCTAAAATTTGCATTGACGATATCGGCAGCCTATTTATATATACAGTATTTTTTAGTATAATAATAGCACAGAGACAAAAGTAGTACTCCGTATTAGGAAAGGGAAATGATTTTCTTAACGAACCCTTTTCAAGAATTATTCACGAATCCGATGTGGCAAGTTGAGTTGGCATCCAGCTACCTGCTACCCCAACTTCATTTTCTTTCTCTTTTCTTTTTTGATGTTCCATATTGTTCAGTCCATCTCCTCCATCCTTCCTGTTCTATTCTTCACCCGTTCTACCCCAGTCCTCCTCCAATCTCCACTTCTCTCCATCCCTCAATTTGAAATTACTCCTTTTCAAAAGCTCCTGCAAATGGGAACCAAAACCAGATTATCCATCAAATATGCTCCAGATCTCCGCACACTTTCGTCTTTATTTAGTGTTCTAGATCTGATACTGATCCACCCGTTTGATAACCCCTTTGAGGAGGTTCAAGATTGGATTTTGTTCATGAAATGATGAATGAAACAATGGTTCCAGATTTGATCATGTTCATCTAAGAAACAATGGTTCAGAATGAAAACCGCTCCTTCTACTCCTCGACTCATCAAACACGAAGTCCATAATTAATAACTAATTCTGTGAAGTTTATGAAGAAGAATACATAGCAACTGATACCCAAGTTCCAGCGCCGGCAATCGAAAAGGATTTTAAACTAACTTCAATTAAAACATTCTGTTAGGCTATAAATAGTGACCATGGACTGTAATCAGAATTATCAATGATTATAATCTTGAATTGGAATTTTCCAATTTTCCCTTATCTTCTTCATTCTTCCCAACCGGAACCCTAATTTTTCCCAATTCTACTCTGTTTCTCCCTTTGCTGTTTTCGGCTACCCCCGAAAGGCCCCCGAGTCGTGACATTTGGTATCAGGCCGACTCTGTATCGGATTTCACCGATTCGATTCTTCCTCTTCTTCCCCTTCTTATTTCGCAACCCTTTGACCTGTGAAATCTCGTTCTTCCTTCCTCGATTATGAATTTTGTGCTACTTCTCCATTTCTTTGATACGCACCAAACCATTACTTCGTTCTTCGCCATGGAATTTATCAAGTCCGACGAAACCCAGCGCCCAGTTCAATACCTGCTATCTTGTCCACCATCAAAAATCATTCGTCCTGATTCGGCACCGTACGATCTCTCTGAACCCTCGTCGTCCGGAATTCCCTTTCTTTCCGGCGAGAACGTCACCGAATGGCTTGACCGAATTGATCGATTTTTCTTTGTTAATCGCGTCTCACCTCCTTGGAAGCTATTTTCTTCTTCCTTCTACATGGCCGGTGAACCGTTGAGGTTCCTCTACGGATTGACCTATGTTTCCAAATTATCAACTTGGGAGGAATTTGCGTATCAGCTGGAGGTTCGATTCGGCAAATACATCCGTCCTACAGAGAGGATTAATGTTTAGGAGGCATCAATTGAAGAGGTTCCAGTCACGGAGCCTTCATTTGAGGAATGCATCGGGTGTAAATTAGCTTTGGAAGATGACGAAGGAGCTCATTCACCAGTGGAGGAATCAACTAAAATTTCGGCTGATGTGCTCCAAGACCTCGACTCTGAGATGAAGTAATTTGATGAAAATGGTAATATTTCTCTACTTTCATACTAAAAGGTAGAAAATTCAGAAATAGAGGTGAGAAAATCTATGGTTGTGGTTAAAGATCGCCTTGTTCATGAATTGAATGATAACAGTGCTACTTTAGAGTTTTTGGTTCAAGATTCTGAAAAATTGAATGGGGTTGATGATAAAGGAAAACATCAGAATTTGTTTGCTATTGAACCAGGTGGAATGATAAATTCGTGTTTTGGAAAAACCATTAGTAAAAGTATGCTCTCTGTTAATGATGTTTTGATAGAAGAATTGACAGTTGATTATGAGGTTTTTCAAGAAATATTGATTGATAATACTGTGAATGTGAAAGTCAGTGAAGGTGATTTTGTGGTTTTAGAAAATGTTATTAAGGAACCTGTTGGTACGACGTCTTTAGTCATTGTTGTTGTTAATTTTGGTTCCCATCATAGTGGTGAAAGGATTTTAGATGACTGTTCTGTGCCATTGAATGATGTTTTCGCAGATATGATGAGTTTGGTTGGTAAAGATGGTGTGATAATTGTTAGTAACTCTGTTTGCGAGGAACGAGAAGGTTATGTTTATGTGGTGTGGAATGTTTTGTTTAACTCATTTTATATTGATCCTGGTGCTCATTCTTCGGTAAATTCTGTTAAAGTAAAGGAAAATTTCGATAAAGAGGCTACTTCGTGTGAAGATTCTGTTGATTTGTTTAGTGCTTTTAAAGGCAGTAATGATATGCTTGTCACGTGTGTGGATCATGTTGTTAATCAGTCTACTGTTGGAGAATCTAGATTACTACTAAGTGGATTTAAGGGAGAAACTACAAATCTAAAAGTGAACTCGGACTGTCGGAATCATTTGGTTATTACTTCTACATGTGTAAAAAGGGAAAATGATAAAAGTTGTTTTGGTTTTCACTGTTAGTGAAGTCACTAAGTATTATCTAGCTACCAGGACCTGGAATTTGGATGACTGATGGTGGATTTCATGAACTAAAGGCTTTTTCCATATCGCATTGAAGCAACTACCAACCTTAATATGAAATGGTTACATCACCCGAATCATTTGTCTGCTTACATTTTTCTCTCTGGCTGGAATTCTAACTCACTATGACAGGCTACAGCTCTCTTGAATTCTTATGTTTGGGATCGCAGAATAATTACTGAAGGGAGGCATGCTGGAATGTCATGTAAGGCCGCGAACCAGGAACACCAACTTAGGACTCTAGTTGCTAAACTTTCTTTTATACCCTGGGAACTGATCATAGAATGGATACAAACTGATTTGAGCTGTGGCAAAGCTGGAAATACTGTATCATTGCCGCCAGTAAAGGCTACTGACCTTGACCCATCCCAGCAAGTCTATTGACAGACGGTTTGCTCTACCTCGTGCAGCATTCGTGGTTGCCCAAATTTGTTCAAAATGGTACTTGCTGCTGGAAGACAAACTTTTCAGCAACTTGCACTCCAAGTCCTGGATTGTATTGGTAACTTCTTTCAAAGGAGGTACTATACTGAATTTCAAGCTTCAGTATGGTACTAAGAATACTATGCAAACTCGCGATCCTGGATTGTAGGATCGTCTGATCCTACGATCCCAGATACCTAAATCGATCCTGGATCGATCAAACTCGAATTTTGCAGTGGGATCGGTCAGGATAGGTTATGATTATACATGATCGGTCAGGATCGCAGGATCGGTTCGAGTTTACTATTCATTAATTACAAAAAATTAATTGAGCTTATTGAATTTTTTCTTTTCTCTTATTTCTTTTGGTCTACATTCAATTGAGGCTAATATTCACTGAGAAAACTTTTATTGCTAAGAAAAATGTATTTTAGAAAGTTTTTCTAATAAAATGAAAAGAATAACTATAAGAGAAGAGTTTTTATTAAAAAGTTATGAAAAATTCACATACGAAAATTGAATTTACATAATTCTTTTTGTTTAAATGTTAAATACTTTATTTAAAGATAATTGAAACCTAATTATTAAAGCAATTAATTATATAACATGTATAATTAATTTTACGATCTTATTATTCCGATCCTACCGATACCGTTTACGATATGATCTTATGACCTCTTTTGTTCTTACATAAGATCGCGATCCAGCAAACATTGAAACTAAGTCATGGGACAAAGTTGTGACCATTTTCAAATGAGGCACACTCTTCTTGTTGAATTTGGTGAACAAATCAGCAGATATTTACTTAGGATTTTTTGTTGGCATAATTTTGTTTCATTTTATGTTTGTTAATTATTTAGAAGTCTTGGGGACAAGGCTTGTTTTACAGAGAGGGTTTGTCACGCCCTTGGATTAGATAGTAGAAAATAAGAAATATATATAGGGACTAATTTGTAATTTTAAAATTCTGCTAGGCTATAAATAGTGGAGTTTTTTCCTTAAATATACATGAAAAAAAAACCTAGACAAAAATAAAGCTTTTTAAAACCTTGTGGACAAATTTATATGCCCCGGATTTAGGAAATCCGAATTAGGGGAAAACTCGGATTTCGGAAATCTGACCCCAACTCAACTCGGATTATTAAAATCCGACTTTGTATTACGTAAATCTGATATTAAGTTAATGACAAAAATTAGTGTAATTAATCTAAATCCGGATTTTATAAATCCGTTTTTATCAATAAAATATTAATTTCCGGATAGAAAAAAATAATGTGTTGAAAAATTAAATTTGGGCAGAACTCGGATTACCGAAATCCGAATCTGCTCTGTTTTCTGAAAAATGGTGATTCCCAATTGGCCACGGACTCGGATTTCCGAAATCCGAATCCTTTACAAAAAGTCTGGGTTCGGAGTTCGCAAATCCGAGTCTTTGTCAGAACTGAAAAAAAAATTGGACTGATTTTCACCAGTCCTAAACATATTTACAGCACCAACAACAATGAAACATTGGAAAATAAGAATTTAATAACAACAAAACAATAAAAGGCATTTGATTAACAACAAAATAAATCAAGTTTCATAAAAAGTTCAATACAAAAACTACTATAAATGTCCAAAATAATGAAATGTCTCATTTTTTCCCTTTTCCTTTATTGTGCGCATCCGGAGTGTATTTGTTTGGGCCCTGTCGGATCCTGTCTCCCCTCTTAAGATATGTGAGCATTGAACTTTGGTGTGGTTGCGACTGTCCACCAAACTGAGCCTCGATTTGGGGTCGAGATTGGGATTCCCCCATGGTGATAAATTTGACTCCCGGTTGTGGTTGCGACTGTCCACCAAACTGAGTCTCAGGTCCACCAATGTCAAACTGAGTCTCGGGTCCACCAATGTCAAACTGAGTCTCGGGTCCACCAGCTTCTTCAAAATGAGTCTCGACCTGGATGCGCGAGCCTCGAGAGGAATGTGCTTGATCCTCATTTTGTTGACCCTCAGTTTGTTGTTGCGATGTCCGAGGGGGGATTGTGACCTTTCTCTTTCTTCCTCCTCCAATCTTATCTCTTGACCACGGTTTCGCTTTTTTACCCGGCGGAGGTTGTGAGGGAAAAAATGGATCTTCATCAACCAGGATTTGGGTATCATCCACCTCCATCTAATCATTTGCGCCCAAGGTTAAAGCAGCATGTGTTTGATTGATGATATCGTCCAAATGCTTGTCAAGTTCTTCGTTTAGGAGATTATCATCTTCTCGTTTTTCTCTAAACCTCTCGGTACTCACGCGAATGTTGTTCAATACTTCACCCTGAAAAAAAATTGGGATGTTAATTAAGAGAGTAAAGTTCTAAAAAAAAATGAAAAAAAAATGGAAACATAAGAAATAATAAAAGAAATCTACAATTAACTCACATATAATTTCACGCGGCTCGAAGAAGTCTCGTATCCTTGAGGTTCATAATTACCGGGATTGGATATCAATCTGACAGTGTTCACCATAAACCATTCATAGTACCCCTCATATACGGAACCAGGATCTCCTTCCTCCAAATCTCGTAGCACGAACTCTTCTCTCCTATTCCAATGATGGCGTACTGCGAAATAGTGATCCTCCCAATTATTGCTAGGATACCCAGACATACTGTGGGCGTGATCGAGAAGGAATGCTGCGTTATCTTTAATCATGGGGCGCTTGGGAACATCCTGTATGTATCCAAATTGTCTTACGACTCTGCCCGACTCGTGGGGTTCCCTAATAGCCCAACAGAACATCCAACACCTAGTCGTCCAAATGGCTTGGCCTTGTGTACAGAAATCAGGGAGTCTATGGAGGACATGTGCATATGGTTGCCACCGAAACTGCACGAAAAAAATTTCATTAGATGGTACAACCGAAACCAAAAGAAAGGGGTAATTGATCTCAAAGTAATTATAAATACCAAATTACAAGTACTTACATCTTCAACACGCACACTTGTTAATTGATCTAAAAGGTGGAGTGCTGCTCCTTGGGGCGTCGCCGTACGTGTACCTACATTCCCACCTTAATAAACAAAGGGGTACATTTGAATTAGTGAAATAAATGAATAAGAAACAAATAGAATTAAACGTTGAGTTATTTTGAACTGAAAATACGTACCGCTGAGCTAATGGAGCGGTCTCATCAAGCAAATAATGTACTCCTTTTCTTTGGGGCGCGATCCTCTCGATCCGCTCATACGCCCATACCTAGTAAATTGCAATAATAATGTAGAAACTTCAAATTATAACGTCGAAAGTGCAAAATAATTAAACTTCAAAATGAAAACTAATACGTACCTGTAGCAAATATAGACACCCGGTGGCGTCGTGCATGGTATACTGTGATGCCTCGCATAGGCCAGAGTACAACCCAGCCAGCAGTGCCGATCCCCAACTGTATCGACTATACTGATCCAAATCCTCAAGCTGGGCCAAGAACTGTAGATTGACAGTGTTCTGCGTCTTGTTCGGAAACATGAAACTGCTAATAAAATGCAGTATCAGTGTCCTGGCCCTTTGCTCGAATCGATGGACAGTGGAATTTGAAGGTAGTGCACGACCCATCTCATCTTCGAAAATACCAACATTGACACATTGGCCATTTACAGTCGCCGGCCGGAATCCCAAATAAGCCTCACATCGATCCCTCCATTCATCTGGAGTCCGGCTAACTGTCGTGCCGTACACTGGGTCACCATCCACCCGAATACCAAACAGGACCTCGACGTCCTGTAGCGTCACCGTCGCCTCTCCGAAATTAAAATGGAAAGTGTGGGTTTCTGGCCTCCACCATTCCACCAACGCGGTAATGAGGCCTAGATCAACTCTTTTGTACCCTACCTTCATGATCCCCTCAAAACCGGCTCTCCTAATGACTTCCTTAACCTCTGGTGCCGTATTTTTATATAACGCCCAAAAATCGCTGTCGTACCTACGGCCCTTGAGGCGGAATGTCTTAATGTCCGGTATCCTGTTCTCATAGACAGCTTGGGACCTATGCTTTGTTTGACGATATAGCATTTTATCTTGTATAGGTCCCGGGTGAAGATGTTTAGGTTGATAGTCATATTGGGAGCCCAATGCCGGCGTCGCCATTTCAATCCTACACAAGGTATGAATGATGAACATTCGGCCAAATAAATCAACCAAACCATAAACATTCGGCCAAATAAACAATACTAGCAAAACCATAAACATTCGGCCAAATAAACAAGACTACCAAACGATGTACACTCGGCCAAAAAAAAAAATAAATCAACCAAACTTCAAATTATTCGGCCAAATAAACAAGACTACCAAACTATATACATTCGGCCAAATAAACAACCTAACAAACGATGTACACTCGGCCAAAAAAAACAAATCAACCAAACTTCAAATTATTCGGTCAAATAAACAAGACTACCAAACTATATACATTCGGCCAAATAACTATATCAACACCACATCTATAAGCAATTCACAATAGACACAACTTAAATTCAACACAACTTGTTTATTCAAAAAAAAAAAAAGGACTCGGATTTCACAAAGAAAAAAAAATTTTGACAAAAAAAATAAAGAGAGGAGCGCCGGCCAAAACTTACAGTGAGTAATGGAGGAAGTCGGGAGGAGTGGAGGAAGTCGCCGGAGGTGGAGATAGTCGGAGGGAGTCGCCGGATTGCAAGGAACCTCGCCGGATTATCCAGAGGGAGGAGAGACGCCGGATTGTGCAGAGGAAGGAGAGACGCCGGATTCTGGAAATTGAGTCGCCGGAATGCAAGAGGGTCGCCGGAAATCACGGAGGGAGTGGAGGGAGTTGCCGGATTGAGTGGTGGGAGTCGCCGGATTATTGTTTAATTGGAGTTTAGTTTTAGGGTTTTGTTAATTCTGGAATTGGGGGAAAAATGGGAAGGGAAGAGTTGACCGAACAATATATAGTCCCGTCAAACTCGGATTTCCTAAATCCGAGTCTTCCCTGTTTCCCTCAAATTTCAACTCTCGGATGGTTTCACAAATACGGATTTCTGAAATCCGAGTCCTTTGTAAATTAAAAATAAACTCTGCGTTCGGATTAGCGAAATCCGAGTTAGTACTGTTTCTTCCCAAATTTCAACTCTCGGATGCTTTTCCCAAACACGGATTTCCTAAATCCGAGTACTTAGTAAATTCGAGAAAATCTCTGAGCTCGGATTTACAAAATCCGAATTTTCCCTGTTTCTCCTCAAATTTCAACTCTCGGATGCTTTTCACAAACACGGATTTCCTAAATCCGAGTACTTAGTAAATTCGAGAAAATCTCTGAGCTCGGATTTACAAAATCTGAATTTCCCCTGTTTCTCCTCAAATTTCAACTCTCGGATGCTTTTCACAAACACGGATTTTCTAAATCCGAGTCCTAAGTAAATTCGAGAAAATCTCTGAGCTCGGATTTACAAAATCCGAATCTCCCCTGTTTCTCCTCAACTTGCAACTCTCGGATGGGTTTCACTCATTCGGAATTTCGGAAATCCAAAGTCCTTTGCAATTTCAAAAAAAACTCTGAGCTCGGATGTCTAAAATCCGAATGCTTCACAAAACCTTACAATGATGAGTATTTTGCACAATCCGATTTTGATAATGAAAATAGTACATATTTCATCACACTTTACAATCCGAAAAATTCAATGTTCACATTACAATCTGAATTTATCAATGTTCACATAAATTTATCAAACACTAAATAACTTGCAAGAACAGTAAATTACACTCAATTCCAGCTGTCATTCACAGGTCTTCTATCTACTCCTGGGTGCGAGAACGGACATGAATTGGCATCATGACCTAGTTGTCCACATCTCCAACATTCCCCCCGGCTCCGGCGTCCCCTGTAATCCATTTGCATTCTATGTCTCCTTTTTTGTCTTCGTCCCGGTCCCGCATGCAACACAAGACGCTCATAATTCGGAATGATGTTCCATTGACCATCGGCCATTGTTCCTCATCGGGAACCGGAACAAAGCCCGTGTAATGAAATTGTCGCGCCACGTTGGAAGGCGCCACACACTATGGTATAGATCAATAGGCCGATCCCCTTTTCTCCGACAAACTTGGAGTGCGTGCGTACAAGGCAACCGGTACTCTTGCCACTTCCCGCACGAACACCTATGTTCATCGTAGTTCACCGTATGCGAGACCCACCCTGCCACTTAGGCGTGTGGCGTAACAACACGCCACATAGCATCATCACCATCGAAAGGGTGGCTTCAAAACTGGCTGCTTTATCATTCATTTTCTCGTATTTTTCCATAACTCGGGAGGGATCGGTGTCATGCAATTTCTCACGGACAATTGTTCTTCTCTATAGAATTTAACAGTTTTGCGAAAGGTTGCATCGATCAAGGCTCTAATTGGTAAAAAACGGATCCCTTTTAACGCATTGTTGTAACTCTCAGAAATGTTGGTTGTCGCTATGCCCCAACGGCGAAGACCGGCTTTCAATCGAGCCCAGTTACTCCCCCCAATCCCTCGAAGATACTCCCATGCAGCAGGTTTGAATTCAATAAGCTCGCCTCATACGGTTGTATTTCACTCTTGAAAGCGTCGTGCCCATCTTCCAACATAACCGCTTCACCTTTTTGCTATTATATCGCGACACAAGATTGCTGCGAACGTGGCGGAGGCAAAGAAAGTGCCCACCATCACCTAAATCACGCCATTCATCCATCTGTGACATTGCGCTCAACAACCCTGCATTCCGGTCGGATATCACACTTACGATTCTATCATACACAACCCACAACCTCAAATTCCTCATAAAAAATGTCCAACTCTCTACTATCTCCTCATCAACAATCGCAAATGCAACCGGTAAAATGTGCTTGTTTGCGGTATAGACCACCGCAACAAGCAATTTACCCTTGTATCCACCACGCAAAAAGGTTTCATCGATACAAATGACCGGTGGACATTCAAAAAACGTCTCAGCCACCGGTGCAAATGACCAGAAGACGTATTTAAATGTCTGCTTTCCCTGTTCCAACCTTCTTGTCCCTCCTTCCATTCCCACTCTACTACAGTCTCAGGATTAGTAAACTTAAGCGCAGCGATATACCTAAACAACAACAAGTCATTGTTAAAATATTTCAATACATGTAAAAATAAAAATACTATAAATATTTCAATACACGGATAAAAGTTGATATTTACCGTGGAAGTTCTTCGAAATTGGAGGTCCAATCACCATAGACCGCTTCTATGGCTTTCCTCCTCCCGTGCCACGCCCTTTTGTATGGCACATCTACTTTCAATAAGGTCTTCACATCTTTCAGTGCCGAGGCTACCGTATAATCTACGTTGTCCTCAACCTTTCTCCTGATGAGTCTAGCAATCAAAGACGCGTCCACACACCGATTGTCATTATCATTCACAGGAGTCATGCAATTATGTGCATCATGCCATCTCACAATTTCATGAAGGTCGTGAGCTTTCAATGACACACGCATCTTCCACTCACATGGTGGTTCACCATCCTCACTTTCCACATTAAATATTCTGCACCGCACAGCCCACGTCCTTGGACTACACGCGGCGACCGTATATTCCTTTTTATGATGGATATTCCATAATTTCACAGCATGCTTTGCTTCTGATTGAGATTTGAAACAAACGCCAATGTCCATTCCTTCGGGCGTCTCATCCCACATCTTAAGAGCAAACTCATCCTTGTCTACACATGAGGCATCCCAGTTCCCCATCTTACTATATACATGGCGTCGGGCGAATAGATTACAATCCCTTTCTTCATTTTCCAACCTTTCATCATCACTTTCTTCAAAATCACTCTCTCCGGAGACATCACAGTCTTCTTCGCTTTCACTTGGAGCTATGTAGTCGGAATCCAGCTCTTCCCGGTAGTCATTTTGTGCAAATAAAGGTGTCTCCTCTTCATCACGGTTTTGAGAAGTACTAGCACGTTCCCCCTTTCGAAAATCACCAAATGACACGTTTTCCAAACTCGCTTCTCTTTCTTCTTGAGTGATATCTTCCAAATCTATGTATAAATCCAAACATGACATTGGATCTACACGGTTCATGAACTCTACATGCGAATCATTCTTGATATTCACTACACGCCTACCACCGGGACTATCGAAAATCAAAGAAAGGTGGAGTTTCACGTGTGCTGGATCCCAACCAAGGGTCATACAAATCTTACTAATCAATCCCTCATATGACAACCTTTCTTCGACAAACAAACCATCATCCGGCATATTCGAAAAAGTGTTGATGCTGCCGTTCTCTATCACATACTTACTTGTATGATACAAATTAAGCATGTATGATACATTACGTGCCATTGATAACTGGTTAAAAAACCATCAATAACTAATCATTTCTTAATAACAAAATCAACAAAATACACCATACATTCTCTAAAATACACCATACACCATACATACTCCAACAAATACACCATACTAAAATACTTATAAATCAACTTCGATATCTCATGAACAACTATGATTTCTCATCTCTAACCTCAAAATCAACACCTAAAACATCCAAACAACCAACCAACATAAACCCTAATCTATCATACATCATTCTAACAATCAAAATAACACAAAAATAAACTAAATAACATGGTTTTGCAATCTAACCTCTTTCAAATAACGATTTCCACGTATCTAGAGGCAAGAATGCATCAAAAACTTCAATTCGCCCTTGTTTGAGCTGCAAAAACAGAAAATCCAACTCAGTTCTCGAATGAGAACTGCCTGAAATTTTTTTTCTTTTATAGCACGTTAAACTCGGATTTACGAAGTCCGAGTCCGTAAGTAACTCGGATTTTCGAAATCCGAACTATGTTAGATTCGGATTTCATAAATCCGAATTTAGTCAATTCAGGATTATTTTATTAATTTTTTGGTCCTCCAATTTAAGGCACATGCCTACTTCCACCAACCAAAATTAAAGGCATCCGGATTTCTAAAATCCGAATTCGTCAAACCGGATTACGGACTTCCGGTTTTTTGGATTCAAAAATTTCGCGCCGCGATTTATTAATTTTTAACTAAACTCGGATTCTACAAATCCGAGCTTTACTGTTCATTTAAGAACTAAAAAAACTATTATTCAACAAAATTTATGAAATTAATATTTTATTATTAAGTATGAATCCGGATTTGCAAAACTCGGATTTCAGAAATCCGAGCAATATATTTCTGTCCACAAGTATTCTGAAAAATTTAAATTTGTCCACGTTTATTTTATTTAATTTTTTTTGGGAAAAGACCCATAAATAGTGGCCAGAGACTGTAATCAGAATTATCGATAATTATATTCTTGAATTGGAACTTTCCAATTTTCCTTATCTTCTTCGTTCTTCTCAACCGGAATCCTAATTTTCCCCAATTCTACTCTGTTTCTCCCTTTGCTATTTTCGGCAACCCTCAAAGGCCCCAGATCGTGACATATATACTGTACGATCCATTATGCTCTCTCACATAGCAATTGGGTTGATTTTTGTCAAGAATTCTTCTTTAACAAATGGCATTATTGTATGTAATGCTCATCATCATCTCAATTAAGGATTTCAACCAAAAAAAAAAAAAGAAGAAAAAAGATGATATGCAGTTATACACATATTATGAACTATTGCAAATGCATTAGTGACTAACATCCAGGTCATAACCATTGCAATTTTTTCGTATGTAAAACAAACGAACGAGATTTTCAGATTCAACAAGATGTTTGAGATATGTAAAATTTGCAGTGTTCGAGATGGCTTTCTAACATGATGATACTGGAGGGCGATTCCTTGGTTTCCACGGAGAGGGAACGTTACCCTAAAGTTCTTGTTTTATGCAGGAAAAAACAAATAACCCTTTAACATAAAATAATTAAACATACAACTTGGGAACTGCGTACGAGGATAAACTCAAGCCATTTTTTAACTAATTCTACTTTTTACATAAACAAATCAATTCAGTGAACTAAGTCAAGATCACAACGGAATTATCTCTGATTAAGATAAATATGATTCAGTTTAATTAGTGGGTAGGTTATAAGTTAGTGCTTTCACCTTATTGATGAAGCACAATAATTTCCTGCAATTTGCAAGGTCAATAAAAGTAACAGAGTTCAACTGTGTACACGATAGAAAAGTTAAAGAATGATTCCTTTAAAATCTCACTACGATTAATTGAAAAGACTAATGTCATCGTTTACCAATTAAGTCAACGGTGCAAAGTGCTTTGTTCTTAATTTACTTATATTCAAGCTGACAATTGGGCGGGTAGGGCGAGTATTTAATAGGCGGGAAATTATTGGATATGAGATATTAACTACCTATTTATTTTACACATAATTAAGTATGGGTGGAGATTGGGAAACTAGTAACCCAGTACCTATTGGGATCCCATGAAATACAATTATTGGAATCCCAATGAGATTTTTTCCATTTTCATTTTTATCTTTTTTAGTTCTACAATAATTTGTTTTTCTTTCTCATTATTATCATTTTTTCCCCTTTCGGTTTGTCTTTTTAATTTGTCTTCTTCTTTCTTTCTTTTTTTTTATTAATTAGAATATTTTGACCTCTGTCACTAATTATTAACTACAAGATAAGTAGGAATTTTTTTTTTTCAAAAATACTTAATTAGCTAAGATTGAAATGTACAAATCTCTTAATTTTCATATGATGAGACCAGAATTGCATAATCGACTTCATTAAAATAGTTTAATTAATTATGATAAAAGCTGATGTGATAGAATTGGTTTTTTTTTCGGCAAATATTATTGTTGATTATCAATGGTTATTTGCATAATGATTTTTTTTTTTTGGAATAGAATGATTTTGTATATATAATTAAAATTTAAAGAAAACGGCTCATCGTAAGTTATTTTCTAGTAGGTATATTTAATGAAAAAATTATATACTACATAGTTATTTTCAAAATAGCATGTGAAACTCTGAAAATATTTTTTGATTCATGGAAAAAAAATCCCAACAAACCAATCAAGGAGGGAATTTCAAACAACCATTCTTAAATTTGAGTAGGATTTTCTCATTACCGTGGCTCAATCTTGTTCCTATGGGCAAGGACTGGATTTTTTGGCAGAGCCATCAGCTTCTCAGCTACTACCATTCTAATATAGTTTTCAAAATACTAAATGAAGGTATTAACATAAAATAGTTGCCCATGAAAAGAAAAGGAATATATATATATATATATATATTAAAATGAAACAAAAAAATTTCGAAATGCAATAAAACAACTTTTGTTCAAAAAAAAAGAAAAGAAATTTACGATTTAGTGTTGTCAATAGATTATGAATTTAGTCCCGTTAGGTCTCAAAAGGGACCCAATAACCCGCCTATTTATATCCCGCCTAAATTTAACAATACCCACGTAGTGCTTAATTTATAAATGGACGGGTAATTTGACTAATTTTCTTACCAATAGAGGAAGTCCCGATAGGTACCATTGCGAATGAGCATAATTGCCACCCATAACTTATATGCATGAAGTTCCCCTGTGATTGACATTACTCAATATACTTGATTTGGCTGTTTGGTCTAGTTATGATCTCTAGGATGTACGTATTCTCTTGCTCAAACAATAATTTACAGTGTTATTTAGTTCAACAAAATAAGTTATTTTTAAATATAATGTCTATATTTACACATAATTAATTTAGATTGGATGCCATCACATTAATCTGTAGCAAGTTTTTTTTTCCCAAAGAATTTGGTGAACTGCATCATTGCTCGCTTGCAAAATACCTTTTTTACATGAATTTTATTTCAATATAACCGATCAACCGTACGTTAAGACCCAAAATTGGCACGAGAAATATGTGTACATCTAAACTCTGAATTAATTATCTGGCAGACTCCATTTTAGTTTATTATTTCTCTGATTGATACATTGGCATGTGCATATTAGATTTAAGTATAATCAATTCTATTGTAGCCAATAATATCGGTGGTTGGTCTGGAGTATAAAAAGAGTTCATGATGATGATGTTGATCGTGATCTCTTCACCTTGTGTAGTGATTGTTCGTTATTTTCCACTAAGGAAAACTAATTGCTCAATCTTTTCTTTTCCGATTCCCGGAATGCGATTCATCAATATATAAATAGCGATAACATAACTTCACCTCTCATTCAATTCAATCTTCAAAAACCAAATAACAATCAACCATATTCAAAGTATGAAGCTTCAACCTCTTTTTACTCTTTTATTGACCTTTGTAACATTTGTCGCTTTTGCATCTTCTACTACACCTAATGAAAGAGCTTTCCTTAAGTGCCTCTCAAAAGTTGACATTACAATATCAACCATCTTTTACACAACATTTTCAACAACCCTGAATTCCTTGATCCAGAATGTGCGTTTCGCGGATCTGGAAACCCCTAAACCTGTCGCGATCCTCACCCCGACTCGCAAATCGCACATACAAACCGCCATCTTTTGTGGTAAAAGGCATCATTTAGAAATGTGAATCCGAAGTGGAGGGCATGACTTTGAGGGAAGCCCTTACATTTCTCAACTCCCCTTTTTCATACTCGATATGTTTAACTTCAATACGATCTCAGTGAATTCGGACACTAGGAGTGCGTGGGTCGGTGTTGGGGCGACTCCAGGTATGACTTATTATGCAATTTATTCGGCCGATAGTTCACTGATCTATCCGGCCGGATTCTGGCCAACTGTTGGCATTGGTGGACACATTAGCGGTGGAGGATACGGTCCTCTGGTTAGGCAATTTGGCCTAGCTGCGGACAATGTAATAGATGCTCGAATCATCGATGCCAACAGAAGAACTCTTGATAGGAAATCCATGGATGAGGATCTCTTCTGGGCGATTCGAGGTGGGATGGGAGCAAACTTTGGTGTCATCCTTTCTTACAATCTGAATCTCGTCGAAGTTCCTCAAAATGTGGTAGGTTTCTACGTCAACAGAACTCTCGACCAAAATGAAATTCAGCTCGTTTACAAAGGCAACAAATTGCAAAGAAACTCCCACTTGAGCTCAGCGTAACTGTTCAAATTCGGAGTCTTGTTAATGTTTTCGGCAAGAGCATCATCCAAGCTGAATTCATCTCAGCTTACCGTGGCGGATCGGTTTCCGATTTGCTCTCAATAATGGGGAAATGTTTCCCCGCATTGGGCCTAACCAAACAAGATTGCCATGAAATGAGTTGGATAGAAACTTACCCTTTCCTTCTAGGGATATCAATTGATAACAATTTGGACATACAGAATTTCTTAACCAATAGAACTGCCTTAGGTAATCAACCGCCTTTCTTCAAATGGAAAGTTGACTTTTCCGTTGACCCAATTCTACCCGAAGGCCTAATCAAGATATTCAAAGAGCTTTACAAACTTCCTCCATTGATGGGACAATTAGGATGGACCATTTTCGGTGGAGGAATCATGGACCAAATCCCTGAATCCCAAATCCCTTTCCCACATCGAAACAAACTGATGATCATGTGACATATTGTGTTCTGGAACCAGCATCCAGAACGAGGATGCAGTGGGGGCCAAAATCTATTGCCCAAAAATATACTATGCGCAATGTGAGTTTTCATAGTTTGATACCATGTATACTCATGTTCATATTAAATTTTAGTACGTTATAAATCTTATTAATATATAGTCATGTTCATATTCAAGAATTTTGAATTCAAAAATGTAAATGACTTTTCACCATTTTAGTTTGAAAAAATCTTTATATAATGACTACATGTCTATATGCATTTAAAAAAAAAAAATCACAAGTCCTTTTTGGCACATATTGTATAAAGATCTTAAGGAATGATACAATAAAAATATATTACTATTGATTTTTTCTAGTTGCAATGTTTATAAGTACATAACAATATTAGTTGAATTGGGTTTTATTTTTTGAAAAAACAAACTTGCATTAAGATTACTGAAAATGGTCCAGCACCAATTGAGATACAAAGTTGGGTGGGCTATCCCACAATGATTCGATTACATCAGTATGTTTGGCATATTTTGCTAGGGCATGAGCAATCGAATTTTCTTGACAATCAATCCACACTAAGTGTTTAACAGGCAAATCATGGTATATAAAACTTATGTCTCCAGAATCGGCTGACAAACTAGAGGTCCTTCCATTTCTCCAGTAGCTGCAAGGAGAATAAGCTGAGAATCGCCAAGTATGTTAACCTCAGAGAGGCCCAACCTTCTACAGAGCAGTAGAGCTTCTTTTACGGCTAGTGTTTCCGCTAAATCAGAATCCAAAACTCCAGGGAATTGACGAGCCATGCCATGGAGAAAATCACCCTGTGGCGAAGTTATCAAGATTCCAGCTCCAGCACATTGTTTTGACATGGAGATTGCACCATCAAAATAGACATGGACAGCTGATCCTAAGGGTATGAAAACAGAAGGTAACATAGAAAGAGAAGTAGCGTGTCGTTCCCAGATTCGATTGGACCAGTTAGAAATGACTTTAGAGCATAATTTATAAACAACATTACAGAGGGAGATTGGACGGAATTGAGAAATCAATTCAGGTTGAGAAACCTTTGGAATAAGCACAATATGAGTATAATTCATTTTACGATCAAATATTCCAAAGTTTAAAAATTAAGAACAAAGGAAAGAATGTCAGACCCAACAATATTCCAAAATTTTTTAAAAGAGACAAGGCTCATACCATGGGGTCCAGGAGATTTGAAAGATGACATTTCCTTTAAAGCCTTTATAACCTCATCCGCCGTGTAGGTGCGCATTAAGTGGCTGTTCATATCCTTGGTCACTTAGGGACTAAGCGGCCAATTGCCTGTTGAATTTTCGACTCCAATGGGCTTGAAGAAGTAAAGAGGCTGTCATAGTAATTCATGATGGTCTTTTCTAAATCAGCTGTACTATTTCTCATAACTCCCGAAGTATCGCGTGAACCAGAAATGTGATTAATGGTTTTCCTCTTGCTAGCATAAGCGTGAAAAAATTTGGTATTTCTATCCCTTTCCTTATACCAATGTTGTTTTATCCTCTGCTTCCACTTAAGATTTTCATGCTCCAAGAGGATGTCAAGTTTGCGTTCTAGGTCACCAAGCTTTGATCTTCGAGAGTCATCAAATCTAGCCCGCTGTAAAACCAAGATCTCTTTCTTTAAGTCCTATATGCACTTCAAGAAATCAGTTTTGTGGTGTTTGCTCCAGTTCATTAAACCCAAATGAACATTTTCCAGTTTGTCACCCAGTGAAGTAAGACCTGTATCCCAACTTTCGTCAATCACTTGCGCACAATCCGAAGTTTTGATCCAATGCGCCTCGAACCGAAAAAGTCTTCGGCGCTGGTCATTTGGGGCAGTAAAGATCCTAGCTCGTATTTTTATGAACAACATCATATGATCAGAGCAAAAGGAGGGAACATGAGACACTTTACCCCATGGAAACAGATCATAAAAGCCTTGGTTGCATGAAGAACGATCCAATCTAGCTCTCTGAGTACGGGGGTACTGAATTAGACGCTTCCAAGTATATTTGTATCCTTAGAAGCCCATATCAATCAAATGTAGATGCTCCAAAGTGTTTCAAAAAGCTGAAATTTGCCAATTCACTCTTGGACGACAACTAGCGAATTCATCCTGCTAGAGAACTTTGTTAAAGTCTCCAAACATAAGCCAAGGTTGCTCTAACAAACATAAGCCAAGGTTGCTCTAACGGATCATACAGGGAGGAAAGATAGTTCCAAGCATCTCTACAAAGCGAAACGTCTGGCTCCCCATAAATACCGGTGATGCGAACGCTTGATCCTAGCAAAACAACATTAGTGTCAATGAATCGGTCTGAGAAAGAACGCAAATTCACGATCAAATCTTTCCTCCATAACATGGCAAGGTCTCCTGAGGAACCTTGAGCTTCAACACATAAACCAAACATACCCAATTTCTCTTTCAAGTGATCAAATTGCCTCTGATTACTCTTGGTTTCACAAAGAAAGATGAGGTGCGGGGATTTAGCTCGGACTATTTCGTCCAGCTCCTGGAATTTCCGAGGACTCCCCACGCCTCGCCATCCGTAGAGATATTCTCTGAGAAAGAAGGAGAAGAGGGACTACTATCAAAATGAACCTTTTTTCCAAGAATTTCAACATCAATTGATTGCAAGTCAAAATCTGCCAAATCATCCAGCGCCAACTTGCGTTTTGCACAACTTGAAGTTGTTGCCTGAGCAGAAACTGTTTGGAGAGCTTTTTGCCGTATTGTGGTGAAGCGATGTGCAGCTTTTCAGGCTGGGGTATCTAAAGTCATGGGGATAGAAACTAGGAATGGACTGAGGAGGTTTGGATCATTAATTGGATTATCTTTTGGCTGGGTATCTGACTGGGGATTCTGGTTGCCATTATGAGTGGGGAGAATAGATACAGGATCAAGAACGGGTGGGGAAGATAAGGGGTGATAAGGTTCTGGGGGAGAAGGAAAACATAGCTGGGTAGGGTTCGGGTTTGGGAGATTATTATTTGAAACTGGGGAAACTGGAATAATGTTCACATCAGGTTCAGCAGATGAAAGAACTTTCTTTTTGCCTTTCTGATTTTGAATGGGTGACGGATTAGCGGGGCAAACATTTTCAGGTTCAAAGAATGGAAAAGATGATGGAGGATTAGATGGTTTAGTAGGAGAAACGATAATGGGAGCAGGTTCATCTGATACGGCTGAAATTAAGGGCTGAGGGAGTGGGTTGGATTACTTGCTGAAAGGAATTGAGGGTTAACATATCAAGAGCTAGTGGGGGCTAGAAGAGGAGGCTGATCGATAGTGAGGGGAGCAGCATTAGAAGGGGAAGGGTCGACTGGGATATTGCGGTTTTGGATTGGTCTAGAAGCATTGGTACCTTGATGAGAAGTTCGATTACAGATGAATGATATACGATGAGCTTGACGTTTTCTCCATGGGGCTACTTCCTCATCAGATTCATCTGGAACATGAAACAAATCAGGCTCATTCACTGGACGTTTCGAGACAAAAGGGTTCCAATAACCTTTTGCTTTCAACCAACTTCCATATTTTGGTGGATTGGATGAACTCCCAGGGGTTGTTGTCAGACAACTCCTCTATACATGTCCAATAAGACCACCATTATAGCACCATTCGGCCAGTCTTTCATACTATAGAGGGAAGGAGTAATCTTGACCTTCATGCTCGATTTGCAAAACTCTCATGAAAGGCTTTTTCAAGTCGATACTCACCTTAATACGAAGGAATCTCCCAATACAGTTACGATCTGTGTCCCGGTACACTTATACAAACTTGCCAATCTTATTCCTCGCAAAAGCAGTGAATTCCTCATTCATAAGATTCAGAGGACAGTTATACAGATGGATCCACCAAGGGCATGACTCAAAATCCACATTAAGATCATCAGAAGGTTTTAAGACCAAAGGATACTTCCTACCAAGCAACCAAGGCTCACCATGCCAAACCCTAGCCCGATCTATGTGATCATTGTATTTAATATGAACCAAATTCTCACCCAAAGGCCTTACTGCAAATCCACGCCTCACAGACCAAATATTACGGCAGTGAAAGGCAATGGAGTTGTGCGAAACTATTCTTGGATAGTGGTTTTTTGCAACAACCGTCAGGAACGGATCAATCCGAGTGGTATTCAAAGAACTCGTGGAGTATCTGGTGCTTTCGCCTTCCCTCAATGGCAATCTCCCAATGATGTTTGCCAAATCTTTGTCTGTCGCCATAATCTCAACAAACAAGGCTAAAAGTCAACCGCGAGTGAGGAAAGGATATGAACAATTGTCAACACTAATTACACGGCTCAGAAGAGATCTGTAAAAGCAAGAAATTTGAAAGAAAACCACAAACAAATTAGAAAAGAAAAGCAAGATCATACGACTCTTGAAACAGAAAAAGGAAGAAGAAGATGAAGGCGAGGAATATGGATCTGGATAATGGTAGTAACCGTTTTTAGATTTGTCAAAAAACATTTTTTTTGACAAAGAAAAACGAGAATCTTGTGAAGCGGATAGGGATGTTTAGATTTGATAGAAAAAGGAGGAACAAGTTGATGCGAAAGATCAAAACAGGATGAAAATCAGGGTTGAAAGGATCAATCCATGAAGTTGGATTCCATGAAGTACTCGAGTTGGAACGAGACTCTCAGAGCAAAACTCCCAGGGAAAACCGCTCTGGCACTTTTTTAGTGGTACGAAGCATAGTTGAATTGAGTTTAGCATAATTAGTTTGATTATAGTTAAGATAACTACAAACTTTGATTTTTAAAATATGATTTAAAGTTTCACATGGGATTTGAATTATTTTGATTGGACCAAAAAATAAACTTCGAAAAATAAACTAGACATTTAGCCCAAATCACATAAACTTAGTAAATTAAGTAATAATTAATTAAAAATTCTAATTAAATTTAAATTAATCTTAAATATATTATACGATTGGGGTGAGGCCAGTGGGGGCCATGGGACCATGCCCTAAATCCGCCACTGTCTGGAACACGAGTGATTCGTCGAGGGTAGTTCAATCGCGTATCAATTGGGTTGGACAGCTCCGTAATGTGATCGGATCCTATGTTCCGAATAACCCGAGAGCTCAATACACCGATTATCGAGATCTTGATCTGGGATCGAACAATGTTTTTGGTCGGACCAGTGTAGAACAAGCAAGGGTTTGGGGATATCCATATTTCAAGGAACATTAATAGGTTGGTGAAAGTGAAAACTTGTGTTGATCATGAGAATTACTTCAAGAACGAACAAAGCATTCCAACTCTGCAATACTATTAGTGAGAGATATTCAAGTTAAGAGAATCCAAAATGTTGTTACATATCTCTTCCTGTGAAAAAATAATCTACTATGTACGTACTTAATTTCTTCGTCGATTAAAATAAAGTGCTAGGTTATTTTTGAAGCTTATAAAATTAAAGCAACATGCACTAAATGAAATATAACAAGGACTGGATATACTTTTCGTCCCCCAACTTTTGAGCGTAACAAGACCGAGTCACCATGAATTTTCAATTGGCAAAAACAGTCCCCTAAAATATTTTTCTCGTCAATTTTATTCAATTTAACAAAAATTTTACAAAATTGACGGAAGAAGTCAATTCTCCGTTACTAAAAAAATATTTTATTAATTTTTCTTATTGTGAGCCCCATATTCATTTGACTTTAAAAAAAAAACTCAAATAAATAGAAAAACAATTTCTTTCCTTCTTCTTCCTCACAATCCGGCCACACCACCACAACCACCAACCGCCATCTTTCTTCTACATCATCCATTTTTTCTTCCTTAATTTTATAAATCAATTAGCTCTTGATATGTTGTTCTTCAACATCAAGAAATGACCGACGATTCATTTGATTCATCATCATCTACATCAGCAACTGAGAGGTATTTCATGGCTGACCCCCATTGAAAAATTGAAAATTAACCAGGTTGATGTTTTGGGTTTAAGTTATTTCTACAAAATCACACTAATTAATAAGTGGAGTAAAGATTAAATTGATGTAAAAATTTGATGTACAGTGGTTGCCAGGGATATGGGAAAGAGGAAATGGAAAGGGGATATAATGGTGAGGGAAGAATTCAAGGCGGGATATCTACAGTGCCTGGTTTTGGTTGGTGGCCAATCAAGACTTACAGACCTTGTCACAGTTACGTGGCAACTGGTGGTCGCTACTGGAGGACTGGTCAGAGCATGGATGAAATCGGTTTTGGCAGAGGCTTGAAATTATCATTGGGGCGTGAAGATGGGCTAGGTTTTGGCCTTGAGAGAATAAAAAAACTGCACGAATTTATCACTGGGGCGGGGATAGTCATCGGGGAGACCTTCAGGGATGGCCTTTAATTGAAAGATGGGATAATGATTAAACCGGTCTTGGATGTTGGTGTAACGGAGACGGCGGCCATGGATGTGTTCAGTGACTACATAGGTGACGTCTATATCGGCGAGGCAGAAGAGGTGTTCCAAAATCCAATTGGCGGCGAGGTGAGAAAATGGGGTTGACATAGTAAAGGAGGAGATGGGAGCGGTGGTGCGGCTACGGGTGGTCGGGGACGACGGCGAGAAGAAGCATGGGTGGCGAGGAGAAAAGAGTAAAGGAAAAAAGCTTTTTGATTTTTTTAATTATATTAAATTTTAAATTAAGAGAAATAGAAAAAATAAATTTTTTTTGTTGGGTCAAACTAGTGGGCCCCACTATCTGTAAAAATGATAAAAAAAATTATATACTTAACAGAGAAAAAATTTTGACCGTTACATTTTCAAAAATTCTGTTAAATTAACTAAAACTGATGAGAAAAATATTTTAGGAGATTATTTTTACTAATTAAAAATACATGGTGACTCGAGCTTACTTCCCCCAAAAGCTGAGGGACGAAAAGTGCATTTTGTCCATATAACAATAACAACTGTATTCTTCACCAGGCAATTAGTAGCCGACTCTCTTAAAATTATAGTCACATTCGCGAAATTACTGTTAAAGTTTCTTAGGAATATTTATGAATTCAACATTTATATTCCATTAATGTTCAGCATTCAAAATTATAAAAATTAATTTTTATTGTTCATGTCTTTAGTTGTACCTTCATTTTATTTTAATCGTCGATTTCTTGTTATCTTTTTTTTTTTTTTTTTGGTTCTAATTTCAAATGACATGGGCATAAATTGCGAGGATTTGTCTAAAAATTTGATGGATTTGGGATACATGTGTCCAAGAGTCCTTTGACTAAAAGTTGTTGAATAAAATAATTTGCAAGTTTTCGAAGGAGATACAGTTAATAAAGTAAGTAATGTGTGTACGCGATCGGCGGGAGCTTAGGTGTTTGGATTGCAATCTTAGACCTTGAATGAATTGTTAGGAGGGTATCACAAAATAAATTTCCTCAAAAAAGGAACATCTCATTGAAAAATGGCATGTTTTCATACTTCATTTGACAAGAAGCTAGCTAGGAAAACCTTTTTCCAAATTAAGAACAAAAAAAAAAAAACACCTACATGATGAATGAGATACTATAGATGATTTTCTATGGATGAGGATGAGAACCTATTATTCCTAATTCTGTAGATGATTTTCGGAAGAGAATCACAAGTCTCTTCTAGAGTCAATTCTATTTAGTTTTAAATATCATTTTTAAGTATAATTTGTACTAAAAGTAAAAATTTTAATTGGATATGTATATTGAGAGAGAGAGATAAAGGTAAGAAACGGGCGAGTCTTGCATATCAAGCGAGAGTTAAAAATTTTTTGACAGTTCCATAATAACGTCTGTCTCGACTAGTTGTAAGTACTTCAAATCTATACGATATCCACTTTTTGATATCAAACCTTAATTAAAATATAATATTATTGGTATTTCTTATATAACGTTATCTAGTATAAAAACTTTCATGTTTCTGATTTTTCAAAGTGAGAAACAGCAGACACAATAGCTAGTTCACATTCTTAGCAAATAGTCTCTAATTCATATTCTCTCCGTCCCATAATTATTGTCCAGTTTTGCTAAGATCTAAAATTTTATTTTTGTCAAATTTAACCATATTTTTATTGAATTTTCCAAATATACACCTGCATAAATGCTTTAATCGGCAAAAAAACCCATATGTCCAGTCAAAATTGAATGATGCTGAGGAAAAGATCGGCAACAGCTTCCGATTTAGATCAGCTCCTGTCGCCGTCCGGCGGCCACGTCCGTTTTCTCCGCCGTACTCCAACGCCGAGGACAACACCGGGTGTTGATTTTAGAGCCACTGCTGGTGGCGTTGGTGATGGTGGCACAATCCTCGACGTCGTTCCCAACTACTCCACCACCACCACCACATCTGCCACCTCCAACGCCAGTTCATTGAAAGAATACGTCCTTGTAATCCTAATTTAGCTCCACTTATTGATTACTAGTTTTGGTCTCTCAATTGCTCTCTGCTTCCTGAATCCCATGTTTTCCCTCCTAATCACCACTTAATAATTACTATTCCCTCCCGGTCTCAAAATCCGGCGGCCTTTGGCTTCAAAGAACTGAAGAGATGTGGATGAAGGTATATTTAATCGACGATGGATTGAATTGATGCGACACCGGATTCGGAATCGGCGGTGCACGACAAAGGGTCAAGGGTTTGATAGAGATGATTTGCAGATAAAAAAGAAAAATACGCAAAAGAATATCCAGTTTTATTTTTGGAGATGAAACGATGCAATTTAGACAGAACTGGACCGAATACATTCTCAAGGCCATATTGTGTAATTTAATCCATAAAAAGTCAAATTGGACAATAATTTTAAGACAAATTTTTTTTGTCAAACTGGACACTAATTATGGGACGGAGGGAGTATTAAAAAGAAAAACCAAAATTAAGCATTAAAAATAACAAAAACAAAAACAAGCATATTAATTTCAACATCGTTTTCAAAGTCACTAGACTTTGACTGTAGAAATTTACCTCGTCTAATGCCGCACGATTTAACAAACATTAATTGGAGACTTCTTTTTGAATAGTTTCTTTTTCTGGTTCGAAATTGCTACAAGACCTTTTCTTTTGAAATGTCTAAATTGCATGGGAATTAAATTTAATTAAATATTCTTCTTTTTTAATTTTTTTAATTAAATCTTCACGCCTTAATTGAAAAGTAATAATTAGATATTACTCAATATTTTCCTGTCTATAATTTCCTAAATTAATGTATTGAAACTATGGAGAAATATATAATATATTCAATTTCCAACCATGATTGTTTCAATTAATATTTATGTAAATTTTTAAACGACATATAATTACAAAAACTAAATAGAAAAAAGAAATGATAATAAAAGTTTTTTAAATTTTTTTTATACGTATTTCAAGTATCGAAATCATTACATGTGTGAGTTTACTAGAAAGGAGATATTACTATTAGGACTCGTCCAGCCGTTGTTAGGAGATACTATTACTATCGTGAGCGATTCCATATGTGTATATTCTTTTCGCTCATCCATCCAGTGTAAGGAATACTATTACCGAGAGAGATTCCACGTGTGTATCTCTTTCTGCTCTTTTATCTTGAAAAGTCTTCTAGATGTATCCTACAATAAAGAGCATTTAAACCTTGTACCAAAAGAAAAAAAAATCATTTAAACCTTTTTGAGAATCAAATCCTCATTATCACTGTGGTTACCTTGGCCTTGGTAAAAGGTCACTTTTCCAGGAATGAAACTTTTTTGATAAACAATGACTAAAGAGTTGAAATGTGCTGCATTTTTATTTAAAATTTATTTTCTTCATAACAGTCTATCAATCATGACTACGTATCTAGAAGGAAAATAGTGGTGGAGTAATTAGCTCCACGGATTAAATTTTCTTTGTAAAGACCACAAAAATTGGATGTCCAGAACTCTAGGGTTTTTGTCTTTTTTTTTTTTAAATGAAGAAAAAGGCAAGATATCTAAAAAATTTAAATTAAAAATATTCCAGTAATAACAAACACCAACAACATCGTGCTCCAATCAAACTTTCACACTAGAAAGTGGGTCATCAAGATTAAATAATTCACTGTAAAATTAAATTTGCAAAAAGACATGTATAATCTTTACATACTAATCCCGCCGTATACCCCGTAAAATACTCATTTTAAAATATATACTACAGTGAAACGTTGGTAAATTAATAATCGATAAATTAATAACTTCTAGCAATTAATAATTTTCTCCAGTCCCAACTTGGGACCAATACAAAAATTGACAAAAATCGATAAACTGATAAGATAATAATACTTCAGAAAATCCCCTATATATCTATAGGTCCCAACAATACTGTAAATTAATAAATATATTAAATGCCAAAAAAATACTAATATCTAGGAAGATAGTAAAATATGAGCTTATTGATACTTTTTTTTTTCTTGAAATTTAAATTCAATGAAATTTCATCATTGTCTCATTGCCCTTGAGAGTTCTGGTGTTTTATTTTCAAATTATAACAAGAATAATACTGAAAAGTTATTGCTGATTTCAGTGTTTCTTTTCGTGTGATTAGTGTCAAAGGCAGTAAATCATCATCACCTCCATCCCCAATTGAATTATCTTCAAGTACACTAGTTATAATATCCTCAAATGATTTGACTTTTGCAGATTCATCATTTTCACTTGGATAATCCACCAACTGATTGACATTCATCTTATTAGGTTTGAGTTTATTATTAAAAAGAGTTACATTCCTGACTTGTTTAGGAATGTAAAGAAATAATGAAAAATTACGTAGTATAATAGGGTCTTAACGAAAAATTCTTTAAATTAATAATTTATTAATTTATCGATAAATTAATAATTTATTAATTTATCGATAAATTAATAAATTATTAAATTATCTATTATTTAATAATTTACTAAATTAATAAAATTTGTTGATCCCAACATTATTAATTTATAGAACTTCTACTGTAGTATGTGTATTTGTAACGATGATGTCTCTTACTTCGAAACTTACAATTAGTGAATGAGTATATCCCAAGGAAAATGCTTGGAGTCTCAACGTAAATAATTTAAATAAATATAATTATTTTCGTTTCAGAAGAATAGTCCAAGTTTTGTAAATTATTTTTGTAGGACAAAGTGAGTATATAACTTATTTTAGTTTCTTTTCTTTTAGGATCGATGATTAAAATTTCTGAACGAAAGCACTAACTTGAAAAACTCGACGTATGTGAAATAACACAGTTGTTGTGAGATTTCATTGTGAAATTAAGCCTGAAAGGTGAAACTTTATGTAAGCGTACGTGAAACTTCCTGGTTCAAACTTCAAACCAAAAATTTTCTTTTTTACCCAATCCTAATTTTCTTAGAAAAACCTCGCGCTATAACGAACCCACGTACTGTTACGATCGTTACATATTTCTCTTTTACCCGTAGCAGTAGTGGCTTGATTGACAAAATGAAATTTGGTAGTCATTTGCCAATTTCCCGTAAATTTGTCTTTCGAAGAACATATTCATTCCGAATTGAAATTATAACTCCGTTTGAGTTTATACAAAAAATAAAAATCAAATTCAAAAGGGAAGGAAAATTTATTATACATTAATCTATTCACTCAAAATTCCGTCAAAGCCATCATGCATAGCTAAATAAAGATTGATGAGTATAAAACAGAGCCCTACAAATAACAATAGGCCGAACGACTTGCGGGCAAATCCCAATAGCTTCCTGGCATAAGCTAATACATTAACATACTCTTTTTGTTCCAAGAATGGTATATAGATTAGTAAAATTATCAAATGACGATGTGAATTAATTTTTAAAAATAAAGGAAGTTCTATTTACTATGCAAATAAGTGCTTTAATTAATGGTCACTAAAGTCAACCTTGTCGTTCTTTGAGATATACTTTCTTCATATGAAATAATTGTTTAATTTAGATTTTTACTTTTCGAAGTACGATAAATAAAAATTTAAACTAGACAATGATTTTGGGACAGAAAATATATACTTGGGTTTTTCAAGGTTTTCAACTTGCTAGGGCCTGTCCATGATGTAATAAAGTTTAAAACATGATGTTTGTTTTTTCCTTGTTGTCCGAGGTATGTTAAATGGGAAAAATCCATGCATGTTTTAGTCCAAAGATTGGGGAAAATCATAAACTTAAAGGAAAATACTAATTTTCATCACTTGTCCAAAGTATTTTGGGAAAAAATCCTAACAACTGAATAGTTTGAGACTATGATTTCCTCAAACTTATGACTAATTAAAACATTGGTTTTCCCTATGAGCAAATAAATATGAATTCTAATAAACTTTCACTCTATCTGGTTTGAAAAGCTCTCTAAATTTCACACAATTTTAAAGTTTCTGGTGTATATATAATATCTCAACTAGTGAAGTTCCCAGTCCCCACGTGCCTTGCGTCCATAGAATCTAGAACACAAATATTTCATCAATCCCGAAATTATTGTCAATAGGAGGAGTGACGGAGGGAGTATCTATTTTTGTCAAAAGAAGGCATCAAATTGGTTGTCCTTTGTCTGGATATAAGAATTCACTACTATATTTATAGGAGAGCTGATCAGGAGCCTTTTGGTATCTCATCTAAACTTCATTCAGACCATGAAGAACCCGAAAGCCATGATTAATCTTCATCAAATACTACCTCTTTTTGTCCTTGTACTTTCCATTTCCTTACTTGCTTTTCCATCCTCAGCAAAACCTGATGATAAAGCTTTCGTCCGATGCCTTCTGAATCGTGAACCAAGTACATCAACCATTATTTACACCCGAAGCAACTCATCTTTCTTATCAGTCTTAGATTTCTTGGCCCAAAACGCACGTTTCCTAACTCCGGAAACTCTCAAACCCAGAGTCATTCTTCGTCCACATAAAGAATCTCAGATCCAAGCTGCATTTTATTGTGGCAGAAAACATGATCTCCAAATGAGGGTTCGAAGTGGAGGCCATGATTTCGAGGGTGCTTCTTATGTTTCCAGGAAACCCTTTTTCCTGCTCGATATGTTCAACTTCCAATCACTCTCAGTTGATTCTAAATCCAAAACTGCATGGATTGGCGTTGGCAGATCATTAGGTCAAACATATTACGACATTTATACTATAAACAGTTCGCTGGCACTGACGGGCGGATTCTGGCCAACTGTTGGAGTCGGCGGCCATATTAGCGGCGGAGGATACGGTGCTTTTACCCGGCAACACGGCCTAGCTGCTGATAATGTTCTCGACGCCCGAATAATCGACGTCAACGGAAGGATTCTGGATCGGAAATCCATGGGGGAGGATTTGTTCTGGGCGATTCGGGGCGGGGTGGGGTCCGATTTCGGAGTCATTTTATCCTACAAAATGAGACTCGTTGAAGTTCCTCCAACCGCTGTGGTTTTCCACGTGAACCGAACTCTGGAACAGAATGCGGTTCAGCTGGTTTACAAATGGCAACAAATCGCCCGGAGTCTGCCGGTCGAGCTTACTCTCACGGTCCAGCCCCGCTGCGTAGCTCAGGCCGGAACCGGAAATGTAACCGCTCAAGCCGAGTTCATCACGGCTTACCGCGGCGGCGGAGTTGACGACTTGCTTTCGGTGTTCGGGAGATTCTTCCCGGAGTTGGGTTTGACCCGAGAAGATTGCCACGTGGTTACTTGGATCGAGGTTTACCCTTTTCTGATCGACGTGAGATATGATAACTTGAGGGATATTATGACTAATAGAAATCCATTAGGAGGGAGAAATCCGTTTAAATGGAAAGTTGATTTCGCACAGGATCCAATACCGCCGGAAGGGCTTCAAAAGATATTTGACCATCTCTTCAAAATCCCTCCTCAGGCTTCCCAGTTGGGATGGACTATCTTCGGAGGAGGGGTGATGGATATCATCCCGCCTTCCAGGATTCCGTTCCCACACAGAGGTAAGCTGATGATCATGCGTCAGATCGTGTTCTGGAATGCAAACGACACTAAGGAAGTGGTTCAGTCGCGTCTCAATTGGGTTAGAAATCTCCATGACATCACGGGCGCTTATGTTCCTAGTAACCCAAGAGCTCAATACGCAGATTATCGCGATTTTGACTTGGGAGTCAACAAGCTTTATGGTAAAACCAGCCTTGAAAGAGCTAGGAAATGGGGTTTGCCCTATTTTGGTGGAAATTTTGATAGGTTAGTCAGAGTCAAATCTTTGGTTGATCGTGAGAATTACCTCGAGAGTGAACAAAGTTTCCCGGTTCAACCGGCTAAGTTCAGATTTTCGGAGAACTCAGGCGTTGCGGTAGAATAAGATTGTCGGGATCGATCTTATACGACTTTACAATAAGGTGCATGTTTTGCATGCAAGATATGATTAGCTAATTATGTATTTTCATTATCAAGCATATTTTGATATCTTTTATAATAATATTGATTCTATGTTTTTTGGGTTCATGTTGTTATAACTTATAACAAAACTTCCATTTTGCAATCTACTAGAAAGACTATAGAGGGGTAAAGTTGAAGAAGAAGATGAAGAAATGTATTAAACTTTGATGTCCCTCCGATTTCCACTAGTTCTGCCCGCAAAAAAGAATTCTAGGAATAAATTATTACAGAGAGAAAAGGGTCAAACTTCCACGTATAAACAAAACGCCAGTGAAAATGGTGCACGACTTCCACTGAGACATATTATGGATTTTGATTTTGACCCGAGTGTGGTTTTGGATCTTTCAGATGGAGAAGAGAATTAAAGCACCGCACCAAGAAGATAATGGCTTATCCAAAATGCTAAAACATAAATTTTGTCCAATATTAGTGTCTGTTTTATGGCCAAAATCATCGTAGATAAAAGCTAATTGTAGCTAGTTGGTTGTTAGTTTTCAAAGTTGCTTTTGAGTAGGTTTTTACTTTCATTTGGTATGCACTTGGTAGCTAAAGTTATTGACTTTAATATAGTCATTGCTTTTGCTTGATATTTTTAGCTAATGCATGTATGAAATGGTGTTTAATTAATACTTTTTCCGCTCAAAATTATTGTCTAGTTTGAGTTATTATTTTTAGTAACTTTCAAACTGGACAATAATTTTGGTTTGGAGGGAGTAATTCTCAAACTTGTTTATGAATCATCTGTGGTTTATTAGTTTCCCTGATAGGATGCATGATTAACTTGAAACAATGAATTTCATTTTATTTTTTTCAACTAATTACCTTGTTCTTCTTCTTCTTTTTCTTTTTCTTCTTTCTTTTTTTAAGTTTTCCTTTTATCCCCCTTTTTTTGGGGTTTAAATCAGGTGAAATTTTGGCTTCAATGCCCTTTATCTAGCTAGATCTGAAAGGGGGTTAAAGTTGGAGCAAACAACTTTACGTTGGAGAATGAAATCATTTCGGACGTATGGAGGGAAATATATTTGTCTACAACATTGTTTTTTCTGTCCTCATAAGAGAAAATGATATAATGATAATATATCTCAATATTCAAGGGGGGGAAAATAAGTAATACCAAATGCTTTCCATTTGCCAAACTTAAATGAAGATTCAAAGAAAGGGGGAAAAAGAAATACAGGATAGCTTTTACAGAATCAAGAACAAAGGAAACAGGCTTTATATTTCATATTGCATCCCAACTTGCAAGTACTTTTCAGGAGGAATTTGAAGTGATGAAAGTGTTGATCTGCTGTTCTTTTGGAAGAATCTGTAAAGGTAATCAATAACAATGTGGGAAAGCCATCCATTACTCTCTTTCGACTTGAGGATTGTCCTCCCTGCAACAAACAGAACTCCTTTCTCTAAAGCTTGTCCAAGCTTTTCTGCTTCTTCTTCTGTTTCTGCAATTTCACGCAGTTTGACGATAATGGAAGGCACGATATCGCCTTCCTGAAAACTCTGACGATCTTTATAACCAAACTGAATCAAGCACCGATAAACGCCATCAGTTCTCATCTTCCCTACATCAAGACGCTCCTCGGGCAGAACTGTTTTGATAGGTAATGTCCTTATGGTGACAATAACCGTGATTTCGCTGAGAGACTTGGTGCTCTGGATGTAATGGCGGACGATTGGTGGAATCCCATTGACAAGATCAGAGCAAAAGAAGCAAATGCCAGGAGGGCGATGAAGATCGCCTGTAGATGTCATGTTATTGAATTCAGATATACTCATCTTCCTTTCTTCGTCGAATGCAGTCTTTTGGCTCCTTCCATAAGTCCAGGACACCATGATTACCAAGAAAAATGCAGAGATTGCGAAGGGCACCCAACCACCTTGAGGAATTTTCTTTAGCAAGGATGTCATGTATGTGCCCTCGACGAATATGAAGGGTATAAAAAATGCAAGGATGAGAGGGAACTTAGTATCCCAAATCACTAGCATTACTAGAGTTACCAAGCAAGTTGATATTATCATCACCCACACCACCGCAACACCTGAAAATATTTTGGCAAAATAACGTAAAATTTCATTCCATCAAAAGCTAAGAAAGCTCACCGGAACAAGTTGAATATTGAAGAGTTTTATACCATATGCATTTCCGATTTCAACACCTTGCTTGAATATCAACACAAGGCCAATGCAGATAACCATGATAGCATAATTGATTTCCGGGCAGTATATCTGTCCCTCATGCTTGGACGACGTATGTTTTATGTTTACACGAGGGAAGCAACCTAATGCAAGGGATTGCTTCACAACTGAAAATGTGGCGGATATCATTGACTGACTAGCGACAATGGCAGCCAAGGTAGCTATGACAAACATTGGCCAATATACAGGCTTCGGAATTGCACTGTAAAAAGCAGTTGGTATATGATCTGGATGCTTGGTTAAGTACGCTACTTCACCAGCATAAGAGAGCACCATGGATGGATATACAAAACAAGTGAATGCTAACTGCAAAAAAGCACATGTTTTTCGAATCAATCATGTTTATCAAATGAAAGAATATGTGTTTACAGCTTTAGCAGCAGCTAACCTGAATTGATCTTTTGTTGAAGTGTCCAAGATCAGCAAACATCGCCTCACTACCTGTTCAACAGTATACGACACTGGTGAATGTGTCAGCAGTTTAAGTTGGTAAGCAACAGGAACCTATGAAACTGAAACTTAAATTAGTACTACATCTTTAAAACTAAAAATTTTCCACACACAATTTCTATACAATGTGGGATGCCAACTATGTCATTGACAATGAAATACTCTAATAGATTGATCGCTACTGTCTGAAATCACTGACATTTTCTTCACAACTGTAGCATAGAGGACATGTAGAATTTTTAGATCTTACATGATGAACTAATAATCGAAACTGCGAACACTCGAGAAAAAGATTATACCTGTTGTGCATAAGAATACTGCACCTAATATCTCCCAGCCAACCACACCACGTCTTTTGTAGAATTTAACTATATAGTACGGTGATATAGCTTTCAAAATTGATGGATTATAGGCAATGATATTGTATATACCACACCCGACATTTGAAGCAAGCCACAGAACCATGATTGGGGAGAATGAGAACCCAACTTTGCTGGTACCACAATGTTGGAAAAGAAAGAGAGCCAACAGCAGAAGAACAGCCATGAGAACCACATAACCTGAAGGAAAGATCTCATTCTTTATATAATAACTCTCAAAACGATAATTGGTATGCTTCAGGGGAAAAAAAAAGTTATATCATAAGCTTCATACTCACTGTTCTTTTGTAATTTGTACACATTGTGACAATTCAATAATCTCTTATAAATAACAAAACTTCCATTTTGCCGACTTAACGAGAAGCTGACACCCATAAACCCCAAGCTCAGTAGTATTTTTATGATTGCACATAAGCTCAGAGATAAAAGGCATATTGGCAACCAAAACATTTTACCCAAGGGTTGAAGGTACATATATAATGGTCTAGTAATAGGTTGGTAAGTGCATTGAGGTCAATCTTACCCGTTGTTATTTTGGATGACAGTGACTGAATCCCGGAAAGCGCAGAAAGAACTGCAATTTACAAAACCTTCAAATGTAAGAAACCAAATCGAACATTAAAAGAATTCAAACTACTCCTACCAATTAAAAACTTTTGAGATTTCCATTACCGCTTGTGGCCGGTGTTAAAGCACCATCACCTATCACCATGGAAGTGCCTAACATAACAAAAAAGGTCAAAACACTTTGTGCTGCTTGGCTTCCCTCAATAAAGTTCTTGGTCCTAGACTTTATGGCACTCCCTTGGGTATAATATCTCATGCTGGCATCCGATTCTAATCTCGTGTTTTGAATGGTTAGCTTGCTTTTAAAGTTTATGTGCCTGCACAAGTATGAATACAGAGCAAATGTTCCGCCTTCGCCATGATCATCAGCATGAAGGATAATGAATGAATACTTGACCAAAGGGATTATTGTCAGAGTCCAGAAAACAAGACTCAGAATCCCCAGAAAATCATCTTCCGTAGCATCCTTTAGCCCGACCGAAGGCAATACGTACAGAGGCGAAGTGGCCAAATCTCCATACACAACTCCAAGAGATTGGTAAGCCAACAACAACGTTTGCATTGTAGTATATTCCTACACACACAAAAACAAGAAAATTCCCCATACCCAAAAGAAAATATAAATCAAGCTATTTTGGTGCTGAATTAGTAGTTGAAATTTACCATAAACAGATTGATGAGAAAAGAAATTACCTTTCTTTTTGGCACCCGAGGCAGATACTTTTTGGTAGCCAAATCATAAGCAGACGAGGGTTCATCACCATCACCATTACCACCATGAACCGGTTCATTCGTTCTTCCAATATTAGAACCCTTCTCAAGATCTTCTTCCTCTATGATATCCGCCATGACTGAAATTTACAAATCAAATGACTCCCCTGTTTCGGAAAACCAAGAAATATCCCAAATCAAATCAAATATGTGTATAATATTCTAATAACAATAAAAAACAACATAAAAATCTAGAAACCCTTGAAGCAGAATGTCGAAAAACATATCGGGATGCAGGATTTGAGGTGATTACATAACTAGTAGTACTATAATTACTACCTGATAAGAAGAAAGATTGTGATAGTCTTCTTTCTGTTTCTCCATCTGTTTTTTTTTAATCTGGTAATAAATGTTAATAATAATCAATTGTTATCTGGAACACAACAATCGCGTGCAGTAACTAATGTTGATTACAGTATGAGGTTTGAAGTTGGATAGGAGTGGAAGACTTCCAACTCCGGTGGAACTCGTTCTTTATCAGATTTATGGAGGGAAAATGGGGGTTTTGGATTTTTATATAAGTAGGAGTACAAATATTGCTTAATGTGTAACATCTATCACTTTGACATTTGTAATATTCTCAAATTTATCTCTAAATTTGATAAAAATTACCAATGCATCAGTATATTTTTGAAGGAAAAATGTCACCTGTCTAAAAACACAAAATTGCCTTCCTTCGTATAAAATACTTTTCGTATTCATTGGATTCTCTCGGTCCTGAAATAACTATTCGGTTTGGATTTTTGTTTTTCTTCTCCACTGGAAAATTTGACGCCGGTATGGATTCCACGGAGCTCTTCCACTGTGAGGCATTCGGTCGTGCCAATCGAACCAAATTTTTCGATGAAGTATCTCGAATTTGGAGAATCTTCATATTCTAAGTTTCAGTTTGGAGTCTATGAAACCAATTCCTCATTTTCACCTGAGTGTTCCTCACTGGTATCGATTGCTCGGAGTTCTTCAAAAAAGGAGTCATCATTTGTTCCAGATGAACGGAATTTTCAGATGAATTCAAACTGTTTTGGAGGAAGTTCTTACTATGAGCTTCAATTTGATGTTCCTCCATACGATTTTGATATCTCGCCGGGAATATCCTTTGAATCGATTGACGGCGATTTCGGTTCCGACTTTGATGGAGTTACTTCTGAGGTATCAGATTACAACTTTGAATCATATGAAACTACTTATTCTGATCCATATGAATCATATTTTCAAGAAGATGAGATTAAGAGGAATCTCACGGATGCAGAGAGGAATCAGATTTTGGGGATGCTTGAGATTGAGTTCCAGAAAGGAAAACCACGGCATGGGACTTTTGTGCGGATTGCTGGTTATTTTGGTGTAACTGACCAGACTGTACGAAGGATTTGGGCGCGTGCAAAACAATGCTTGGCTAATGGAGAAAGGATTGAAGTTGAGCGTAGATCAAAACGGGCTGGCAGGAATGTGTTAGATATAGATTTTGAAGAGATTAAGAAGGTTCCTCTAAGACGTAGGAGTAACATCCGGTCACTTGCCAATCAAATGGAAATAGCTCGGTCGACACTCCACCGGCGGATCAAAGCAGGTCAGATTATTGTTCACTCTAATGCAATTAAACCATTTCTCACCGAAGATAATAAGATAAAGAGGCTTCAGTTTTGTTTGTCAATGCTTGAAGAGTATACACTGAGTAGTTTTCCTATATTTAAGGAGATGTTTAACATCTTTCATCTTGATGAAAAATGGTTTTATTTGACCGAGGGGTCTACGAGATTTTATTTGCATCCGACTGAACCTCCGCCTGATAGATTTTGTAAGAATAAAAAGTTTATTCAGAAAGTGATGTTCCTGGCTGTTGTGTGTAGGCCTCACTTTGATTGGTGGGGTAATTGTGTGTTTGATGGAAAAATTAGAATATTTCCATTCGTAGAGAAAGTTCCAGCTAAGAGAAACAGTAAGAATCGGCCAGCTGGAACTTTGGAAACAAAGCCGATTTGTCCTGTCAATAGAGAGGTTTATCGTAGATGCTTGATCAACAAAGTTTTGCCAGCCATATGTGCCAAATGGCCGAGGGGATTACCTGGTTCTATCTTCATTCAGCAGGATAATGCCAACCGATGTGGAGTTTATTGAAGCAGTTAGGACATCGGGTATTGATATTCGTTTAATGTATCAGCCCCCAAATAGCCCTGATCTTAATGTTCTCGATCTTGGTTATTTCGAAGCCATCCACGTGCTACAACACCAAGAAGCACCGAGAACAATTGATGAATTGCTTTTAGCGGTGGAGAAATCCTTCAATGACTTGCATTACAAGAGTCTAAATCATGTTTTCTTGACCTTGCAACAATGTATGGTAGAAGTCATGAAAATTTTTGGAAGCAATGGTTATAAAATACCTCATTTGGGAAAAGATAAATTAGCAAGAGATGGACAGCTCCCGACTCGAATGGCTTGTGACAGGGAATTTGTTCAAAAAGTGAGGCAATATTTACATGATTACTCATAGAAGGTGAGAAAAGTATTGGTTTTTATGATTACTAGATAGTTTTGCTTGTAACTTATTAATTGGTTCTTAATTGTGTAATGTTTTCAATGCAGGAGAAACAAAAAGATGGCGGAGAAAAGATTATATCAATTTTGCAGGCTTTTTTCACAGTGGCTATATAAGGAGTAAATGTTGTGCATCTTATAGAAATCATGGTATACTGCTCTACTTGTAAACCTTACTGGAACAATTGTTGTGTTGTAAGGCATTAGCTGGCAGATTTGAAGTTGTTTCATATGTACTCTGAAGCTGGAATCTGATGATATAGTTCACTGCTTCTTGTTTTTGACAATAAAGAACGCTATCTTTTAGTTTTGTCCATTTCAGTTCACTACTTCAATTTAGGATTCTTGATTAGGCCAATTAATGGCATAACTTGTTGCATATTTCATATATGGCTTCTGTTGTTCAACGCTTGGGGTCCTGTAGAGTGTGTATAAGCTTGTTTTGTGGATTTATGCATGGTGGTTTCATCCACGATGTGAAGAGGAAAGCAGAGCTGAGATGGAGTTCAAGGGCTGTTGTTTCGACCGTTGGATCGTAATTTTTGTTACATCTTTTGGCATGCATCATTAATTAAAGACATCCAAAAGCTTTGAATTAGTTGCTGTCTGATTGTATTGTTTAAGACATGGGACATGGTTCTTGTTTTTGTTGTGCTTTACATTCCAAGTCTGCTTCTATGGCTTTCAAATTTGTGATTGCCGTGAAAATTGAATTGGGTTCTGTCTATTTGCATTTCATAAGAGAATGTACTAAACAAACATTGCTTTTCACGTAGTCCAATTTGAATTGTACCTAAAGTACTACAAAGAAAGTAATTAAGCAAAGATGGTCTGCCTTCATTTGTTCCAGTAGTTTCTTTCATTTTTGTTGGGATGATATGACGTGGTCAGTAATTTCTTGTGGTCTCAACTTCTTATTTTCTCTGTTTTGTGGTTTGAGGAAGTTCCGGATTCCACCCTTGTAGCCTAACCAACATTTCCATGAGAATGATCAGGGTTTGTTTGTCTTTCTGTCATTTAGGCACAAGCCTGTCTCTTTTCTTTCTGGAATTGTTTGTGTTCTTGAACTTGTTCTCTGTTGAGTGAACCCCTTGAAACTTTGGATAGCAATTATTGAAGTGTGTAACTTGTAACTTGAGATCCACTTTGGGAGTCCTTTTAACTCGGGATTCACTTTGGAATCGGTTTTGAATTTGACAGAGGATTCGCATACCTATTTCTTGGTCTCCATCCTAAGAAAACTTTTAAGTTTGAATTTTTTTTTTTTGCTCTATTGGTGATGGTGTTGCCTCTCTGTATTTTCTGTTTTTTCTGCTTTTTAATTACAGGACATGACTCCACTGTTGGTAGTGAGAATTTATTGTGCCAATGCTGTCCATATCTGCTCTAGCTTATGCGCTCCTTACCAGTCAGAGTATCTCTTGCTATTGATAGAACTCTAAGGAAGTTCGAATATTCTATCACGGCATGTTGTCATTTTAGCCTTCTGATTAAGCTTTCTTAGGCAACAGACTGTTTTTCAATGAATTCAATAAAGAGCTTATATATACAAGTAGAAGCCAAAAATGTCTGTTGGTACAAGAAAAAAACAGCAATTCATTAGTGTCAGTAACCTTTCTAGAAAAGAATCTTTAGAACATTCTCTTATTGGAGGTGTTGGCTTTTCAAGATTACGTTTTCACAATGAACCCGAAAAATATTGAAGCAGTTTCTCTAAATTACAGAAGTAACTATGTGAGAACTACCAGCACACTACTTTAACATTCCTGCTAAAATCATTGTTAGCAGTTCAGAAGAGCTGCAAATGTGTTCTTCCTTTTCTCTGCAAATGCGTCCACATCTGAGGGGTTCCTTTTCCTGAAATCAGATCTTTGTTCAACTTTCTGATCAAGACGTCTAGAGCTCACGTACTTCTCTTCAGCTGCAGATCCAGGAACAATGACTTGGTTTTCTATAACTGCACAAATATTCTGCAGATCCAGGAACAATGGCTAGTGTTAATGCCACATTGCAGAGATTAACGTAAACTGTCAAGAAAATCGCAGCAAAATAGATGATCAATCATTTACTACCTTGATGGAGTATGTTTTTCGCGTTCAATCATGAAATTGCAGAACAAAAGCTTACACGATGAATATTCATAGAGACTGTAACTTAGATAACTAGCTAGGAATGCATTGGAACAAAGTACTAAGATAAGTACTACTCCCCTACAAATTTCGACACGCGTTAGAAGCTCAACTAGGGGCGGGTTAGTGCCATATATAGCCAACGGTGCATCATGGGCAGGTGCAGTGGTGCTACCAACACTTCTTAAACTCTACAATCCAAGGAAAACCAACAAAAATTTAGTTGATACAGATTCTGGCCCTTCTATTCCTAAAGCTACTAGGATTACTATAGTAAGACAGAAAATAGTGACTAGGAGGAAAACTTAAATGAAAAGCGAAGAATAGTTTTTTTTAAAAAAAGGGAACTAAAGGCTGATGTACGTTCCTGCACAAATCTGCCTTCGAAATTCAACAAGGAGAAACAGAACAACAAGACCAACCCTAATTCCAAACACGGAAAGAGATTTTGAAGGGACAAAGATATTACCTAGAGGAGGATTTAGGTGCATCCATCTTTCTCTCCCTAAATTCAATCAAAACAAACAACAACCATGCAAAAGAAAACTAGACCAAAATTAACAGTATTTTGCATGGTATATGACCAAAATGCCTGTGGAAGTTCTCCTTGCCCATACATGGGATATATCATTGCACCAGGCGCATTAGGAAATCTATAAAGGAAGTGGTGCAACAAAAGTGAGGAAACTCAGACTCATCCATTTGGATGAGAAAAGGATATATTAACAGACAAAAACATAATAACAGAGAACTCGGCTTCAACAAACAGTAGCTAACTAGTAATTGCAGGCAATGTACCAAGGACAAACTGGATGACAGATGCATCTCAACTAAAATGAACTTTATTGCACGATATTTCAAAATAGCTTGAAGGGGAACTGCTCCTTACTAAAAACAGAAATAATGAGACGCAGAGAAAGTAAAATCTGTAAGACTAGATCCACTTGAAACAAATCAGCAATAAGAGACGAGAAGAAACAGTCCGGTGGTTTCAATCTTTAAGGACTATTCAAGAAATTATCAACAGTTAAAACCAAGTGGAGGAATTCAGGTAAATTTGTTGCATAACAAAGATACTGAAATTTAAAACTGAAAAAGGTAGAAGAGCTATTAGGATCCATTCTGGTGGATGAAAATGCATCACGAACTGAGTGCCATTATTTACTTTACCTATCCACAAAGAACCTTATTTTCACATTAGTCCAATTGGCTTCCTAACCAAAGTCACTGAGACATTCATTGGTAAAAGCGACAAGCAGATGCCCAAATCTCTTCACAAAAAACCAAAATTTTCACGAATTCAAATTAACTGGAAAGTCCGATTTCATCAATAAAATCCCTAATTTCATTTAACTTCATTTTGAACACTAACTCTAACCACAATTGAAATTGAAAGTCAGATTTCTTCAAAAGAAAAAAAAGAGAAGCCCAATTCCAGAAACGGTAATGAGTTGACAAATATCCAAAACACAATCAACGTCACTGTTCTAAAGATGACACCCAAATTTAACAATGAAAGTTTTCAATTTTGAAAACCAGAAGAACACTAACCAAATCTTAGATATTCAAACGGTCGAGAACCACCGGCCACCTCGTCCTCATCGCCGCTTTGCGCCGTCGGAGTATGGGCTGCTCATCGCCGCTTAGCCGTCGGGAGTATGGGCTGCTATTGCGTTGTGTTTACTTTACTGTGTGTTGTGTTATGTGTATAGCAAACTGGATAAAATGATAGACTAAAGGGCAAACATGTAACTTATTTCATAAAAAGTCAAATTGGACAATAATTTTGGGACAAAATTTTTTTGGCAAAGTGGACAAAAATTATAGGACGGAGGGAGTATTTATTTTATCAAAGTGCATATTTAATCTCTCCCAAACACCATTAACTTTTTTTTTTTTTGGGGGGAACCAGAGATTTCGCCCTGTAACTTTTATTAATAAACAAAAACAAATTACATATAAGTAATGAAAACTACTTTATTCTCCTAACATATGGAAATTGACTTTGATCCAATACAACTAGACCTTTTATATGATTAGGCAAGTCATTATGAGAATACTGTGTAGAATGTAGTAGTTCGGACTTCGGAGCGAACTTGCGAGCTAAATTTGGATACACACTACAATTCGACATTGATGAAAAGTGTTACGAGGTAAATTTGGATAGTACACGTTATACATACGATATTGATAAAAATAAAATATTATTTTAGGCCACTTTTGGATACGCACCATAAATTCAACGATGATGAAAAATAATGCAAAGCGAATTTGACAACGCTTTACAATTTCGGATGTCCTATCATTTCATAAGTAACTCTTTCTACTGAGAAAATGTAACATCACTAGTCACTACTATCTCAATAAAAACGCAATTGATCAATATTATTGAGTTGACATTGACAATGTGTGTTCGGAATGAATCATGTTCGAATGGTAAATGGGTATACCGTCTAATTCATATACTTACTATAAACTAGATTAACATGTCCAGATTTTGGGGGGAATGGTAGTTATATGGGATGATTAGAGGTTTTACATTGGAAAATCGTTGTTATCACGGTATCAAAATCGATACCGTCAATGTATTTTTTAACTTAAAAAAGAATTATATTTTTAAAATTGATACGTCAATGTATTTTTTTACAACCTACTGCAGTGGACTTGAATTTACCCATGCCCGACGTTACCAAAAAAATTCTGCAAATACTGAAAGTACATTACTTTATATATCTCCTATATGTTACTACAAAACACAATTAATACACGAAAGAGATGGAAGAGAATCTGAAATGGATCACATATTGCATTGGCCCGAATGAACAGGCAATCAACATCAAACTAGCCTGGCACGTTCTACACAACCTCCAATCTCCACTGACACTAAATTCCCTGGATAAGAGATCATCAATGGCTTCCCCATATGCAGGACCAAATTCAACCTCTTCATATTCGAATTCCCATTGCAATTCAACTTGGTCAAAGAAGAACCACCGATCATACTCAAATCTTCAAGCAATGGACAACCCAGTAAGATCATCTCCATCAACTCGTCATTCAATTCCACCCCATTGAGAAACAAGATTTTCAGTGATTTCAGACGAATTTCTCCTCCTCTTCTTCCTCCCCTATTTTGGATATCACAATAGGCCAGCCTTAATTCTACCAAGCAATCGCTTCTGAAAACAGAATCCGGCACGGTGTAATCCTCAACAAGCTCGAATAATCCACAACCCAGAAAATCAAGATCGAGAACTTTCACTTTCCTGCTCAGAGCGTAATGAACCACTGAGTTGATTTCAGCTGCAAAATCCTCCAAGAGCAAGTCATTCTCGTCACGGCCCTTGTAGAAATGCATCTTTAGGCGCAGTTTCTCGATGGTCATGCTCGAATTCAGCTTGATTACTTGATGGATTAGGTTGATGAATTGCTTGTTGTGATAAGGGCCGTTGTGACAGACATGATAACTGCACTGATCAAGATCAAGAACAGGAATCCTACGCCAGAGGCTCCCAAATCTTCGGAACAGAGCAGTTTTTGCTGCGTCTTTGATGGGTACGATGGAAAGTATTTGCAACAATATATCATCTGGCAGGCCGCTTAGCAGGTCATGGTCGTGATCCTGGTGAATCGAGTTCATATTTCTGCGAAGAAGTGCGGAAAAGAAAGAAAGAAAGTCTTAAAGAAATGAAGCAGAGGAAGGATGAAAAAGAGTATAGCAAGCAGGAATTTTTTCTTGAGTTTTAGTAGTGTGGGGAATGTGGCCAAAAACGAGAGAGTTCAATTTGGCCAATTCGATTGAGAATTCACAATCTTTTAGCCATTTCTGGAATTACGGAGTGATTCAGCCACACAGAAAGTTTGCAACAGTTAAATATAACAATCCATGGCAAATAGGAATGTTGAATTTCTTCTTTGCCTAACAAATTTTACCTTGAAAAGGCAATAATGCATGCTAACTGGTCAAGGATCTCCTACATCAAAATTTTATAATATTGTTTTTAATCATCACACAAAATTTATCACATTTTTGTATTTAAATATTGCTTTTCTTTTTAATTTTTTATATTAACATCATAAATCACAGTTGGATGAACCCGTCAGATTCATATGTCAAAATCTTAGTGAGTATAGAAAATGGTGTAAGATTTTATGGTGCAATAAATTTTTTTTGTCATAATAACTAGCAAGTTTCGCCAAACCAAGGACCAAAAGTTTCACCATATTTTATATAAAATAAAATTATATTGAGTTTAAAAATTTATACTCAATAATTTGTTTTTGGACAGAGTGAGTACTTTTCAAAACAAATACATAATGACAACATGAAGGTTTTACGATTTTTCCCAACTTCCAAAAGTTTTTTTAAAAAAAATTTTTGGTTTTTGTTTTGTTTCTTTAAGGAGATGAAAATAATGCAGAAGGATTTTAGTTCGTTAACCGGCAACACATATTATTGGCAATTACTACTTGCTAGTAGTTACTATTGCCGGTCATTAGCTAGAAATAACATCGACAGCCAGCCGGCCATAGATCTCCACAATTTTACAAAGATTTTATCATACACATGAGTGAAAAATTGATGGAAAAAAAATATTGTTTTCTCCTTCATGGAATAAAAACTGGACAATTAATCATTTGGGGACCAAAAATGGAAAAATACATGTTTGCTAAATTGCTGTGAAAGTGAAAGCCAATAAAGGGAGACGGAGGGGAAGCAAATTATTTGTACTAATTGTTTTTCATTTCATAAAATACAATTATGTAGTTTGAAAGTTTAAAGGTCAAAGGCGGCTATCTCTCTCACGTAATTAAATTCCTGTTGTTCGTATTATTTTCTGGTGGCGAAACTCATCCAGCAAAGATAATCAACAAAACATCCTTTTCATTTGCCAGACAGCATCCAAACTCCAAAGCCCACATGAAAAAAAAAAAGAAAGAAACTTATAGTATTTGTTTTATAAATGAAATAAATACTTTAATTTGTTATTTTTCATACTTATATGGTCACTGTTTCTTCTCCTGAAGGAGGATAACAATGTGTAAGATTTTGATTGAAAACTATAAGTATATACTATAATAAATTGGAGTAGTTTAATATGCTCTCTTTTACTAACGTTACATTTGGATTCATCGCAAGCGATTGCATATGCTGGTTGAAAAGCAGTTTGTTTCATTATTCATTAGGACAATATCTTGTGCAAGCTATTACTTTATCCGTTGTTTTTTTAATTAATTATTTTTATTTTTATTTTTTTTGTCAATCGTTAGAAGTCATAAACGGGTGAGAACCTATATTTATTACAGTTTTAACGTTGGCTATTTATACCGTAGAGTTCAGATACCTTCTTAAATTGCAATAGTAATTATATCGACCCTGGTTACATATCGGTTCAGTTAAGAGCATTCTTAACCCGTTGGGTAACATGTAGTAGTATATAATAGTCGCATCAACATTTCACAATAATTTTACTTTTATTATACTTTCTACAATGGATTAATATGTATCACTAACTATTGTTATCATGTACTACCTAAGTGTCCTCCTACGATTTGTACACAGTTTAAAAATCACTTAAATATGGTAGTAAAATTACTTGAATATCCTCAACCAACCCGTTAAAACAAATGCCCCCCAATAGTATTATTTCTTTTGAGGATGATTTTGAAAATTTTGAACAAAAAATGCATAAAAATGTGAGAACGACACTTATTTTAAAATTTTCTTATTCTATTAAAACGACATTTATTTTGGAACGGAAAGAGTACTATTTCTCTTACCATTCAAATTAATTTCACTCAATGTAATAAAAAAAAGTATAATTGAATAATAAATAACTTATTATTTATCACCAATAAAAAGATGCTCTAACGATCATTTATCAAATCATATCAGTTTTTTTTTATTATATCGAATATTTCACATTAATAATGATGATCCAAATCGCCAGATTAGGGCACTCATGTCTTTTAAATGTGTATCTTTTGGCCAACCCTCCTCAAGAGGTTATAAATTTAATGTGTAAGGATATACCTCTTTTGATATCTTGTACTCTCTCCATTCCAAGATAAGTATCGTCTTACACTTTGCACATAGTTTAAGAAACTCTTAAATAGGGTAATAAAATTACTTGAATATCCTCAACCAACCTCATTATAAAATTGTCCACCAATAGCATCAACTCTTTTGAGGGTAATTTTGGAAACTTTTGACAAAAAATGCATTGAAACGTGAGAACGACACTTATTTTGGAATTTCTCTATTTTGCTAAAACGACACGTATTTTGGAATGGAGGGAGTAAGTCTTTTAACTTCCTTTTATTTTTCTTTAAAAAACATTCACCCCAATGAATCTACTTAAGTGTGAGTAAAGTCTCCTTACAAACTCTTTAGTGGGAATTGAACCCAAGTTTAATACTATTAAGAATCACAACATCCTAATCATTAAACTGTCATTCAATTTCCCAAGCTTTTTAACTTCCTATTTATTCAAAAAAAGAAGAAAAAAACGATAATACAAGCGCACTCTATGTCACAGTACATGTGCTTTATTTCAAGTTTGGACTTTGGAGTGATCACTTTATTGAATCCACAAAACTTGTACTCACTCTGTCCTAAAATTATTGTTCAGTTTGAACCTTCACTTTTAGTTCAATTTATTCTAAAAATAAAAATCTAAACTGGACATAATTTTGGGACGGAGGGAGTATTTGATTTTTGACAAGTCACGTATTGACATTACCTTTTTTTCTTTGACGACTTTTGTTGGTGTGTTTAATTTTCAATTTTTTTTTTGTGTATATTATGAAATTGAAATTTAATTTTAAACACTAACAATTGAAAATCCCCATTTAACTTTAAATTTTGAATTAAAATATATAATCTTGCTCTTCAACCTCAATTTAAATCAGGAATTACTCAACTTGTAGAAAATTTACCAAATATTATAACTAGACTAAAAATGGAGGACTGAAATGTCAATTTCTCAGTGCATTCATGAATTTTTAAATTAATTTTCCAACACCAGCATTTTTCTCATTTGATTCCCTTTTCCCCCGTTTCACAATTCAATAAAAAAGGTCCAATCTAACAGACAATCATCATCATCGTCGTCGTCATCATTGTCATCATCACTTCCAATTCTAATGGTCAAATTCCAACTCCACAGGCAAAACCCACTCAAAATCTGCCATTTATGCTGGGTTGATCACAGCTGAATTTCGTCGGATTTTCCCCGAGCGCAGGGGAAGAAGAAAAGCCCTAATTTTGATCAACAAAATTCAAGAAGCTGGATGCGGAATATAATTAAATCTTGCTGCTTGGATTGGGTTCTCCACGAATATTCTCCACCGACATGGGCCACTATAATCGGCGGTGTCTTTGTTGTCGTCTCCCTTATCCTCTCTGTTTATCTCCTTTTCGAGCACCTCTCCGCTTACAAACATCCTGAGGTCAGTTTTGTGTGTTTAATTTTGTTAGTGTTTTTTGTTTCCTTTTAATTTCTGTATTACGAAGTGATTTTTGCTGAATCCGTGTTTTTCCTTTTTTATTGTATTTAAAAGGAGCAAAAGTTTTTGATCGGTGTCATTTTGATGGTTCCCTGCTATGCTGTTGAATCAGTAAGTTCCTCTTTTCTTTTTGTTTATCTGCCTCTTAATTTACTTCTTGGTGTTCGATGTTCGTCCTTAGACACATTGGGTAGCTCCGGCTGAATTATGGGTTCTTTTTTTGAGTTGGCTGAGCTTATTCATGCTTTGCAAAAGTTCGGAACTGAATGGTGGTTTATTTTATTGAGTAATTGGTTCTAACCGTTGATATTGTTCTGTCAGTATTTGTGTTTACTGGTTAAAAATGAAATATTTTTGGATTCTTGAATTTCTGTATGAGAGTAAGACCATATCGTTAGTTAATCACTACATAAGAGATGTTGTGTGATCCCTGTGTTCGGAATGTTCGTGGACCATGAAGTTATTAGACATAACATTTTATGTTAGTATCCGGATTGAAGTTGTGTACTGTTTTCCTATGTCCCGTGTGTACAAAGATCTCTCAGGATATTTTAGCGCGAGAGGCTCATCACTTGCCGTATTGTGATGCTTGTGATCATACTGGGCAAGTAGTTAATGGCCCTTTGCTTTTAGGCTACTTGATTCTTTCCTATTTAGGACATTGGGGGTGTATCTGTAACGAAATATGGCTTCATTCTTGATGTGCCAGTTTTTGATGTACTTTCTTACCCAAATGTTTTCTTCACAATTCTAACATGTTCATTCATACAGTTTATATCGCTATTGAACCCTTCTATCAGTGTCGATGTCGAGATACTTCGTGATGGCTATGAATCTTTTGCAATGTACTGCTTTGGGAGATACCTTGTGGCATGTTTAGGTATGCATTCTTTTTAGTCTGGATGCCTATAATCTTCTGTCCAGATTTTGCTGTGCAAGCTTGTTTTCTTTTCGATGCTGGTGGGATGTTCTTCTCTTTATAATTGCATAATTCAGGCCTTCTTGGCCCGTAAAAGATTTTTGTTTACAGTGCCACATTCTTTAGGTTGCCCATTAGTAGAATTTATCTTTACCGGAAGGACAAGTTTGAGCATTTTCCCTTTTTTTTGGTCTTCCTTATGAAATGCTTTTATAAATGAAATTATCTACTGAATAGGTGGGGAGCAAAGAACCATAGAATTCATGGAGAGGGAAGGACGTGCAGGCTCTAAAGTACCCTTACTTGAACATGATCATGGCCATGAAAGGGGAATAGTAAAGCACCATTTTCCTTTCAATTATTTCCTGAAGCCCTGGAAATTAAATCAGTGGGTGTACCAAGTTATCAAGTTTGGGATTGTCCAGTATGTAAGTTTGCTTGTTCACTTAAGACTCAATTTTTTTTTTTGATCTCAATCTTTATTTAACTTTTCACGAGTTCTGATTGTACCTCTCGCAGATGCTTATAAAGGCATTTACAGCTATTCTGGCTGTGATTCTTGAAGCTTTTGGTGCATACTGCGAAGGAGAATTTAGATGGAACTGTGGGTGAGATGTCAATACCTATCTAACAATCTGTAATTCTCATTACTCATTTGAAAACAAGCATTTTACTCATTGAGTGACAATGTTTGCCAAAATGGCTTACTTAAGGTATTGAGAAGTAGGAATTTTTTTTTTACCTTCGAGCAATCTTAAATCTGATGCTTTTTTGGTGTTGTGCCTTTCTTGGGAGAGGTTCTCTCAGCACTTTTTTTGTTTTTGTGTGTGTGTGTGTGTGTGTGTGTGTGTGTGTTTCAAGGGTCAACAGAAGTTTGCCGATGTAATTTGATGGAAAGGTTTAGCGAGTTGTGGGTTTTGAAGGGTTTTTCTTACTTTGATTGACAAAAAGGGAGCTTTCTGAGACTGTGATTAAATCTCTCAAAGCTCATAAGATTTTGGTAGGAATGTCTTCAGAATTCAATAATACTATAATCCATATTGTAGCTTGATACTCTTGATGGTGATCATAATTCTCTCCGCTATCCATTTTTCCAATTTTTCATGTGCTGTTGTGTGCCTGAAGTGTGTTTGTCTGTTTTGTCATGTACCATTTGAGTAATAATCCCCTTAACTTATCTTGGTGATGGTGCTAAATTCTGTGCCGTCTTTTCTGTTTAGGTACCCATATATGGCCGTTATTTTAAATTTCAGTCAATCTTGGGCTTTGTATTGTTTAGTGCAATTTTACACCATCACAAAGGTTGAGCTTGCACACATTCAGCCACTGGCCAAGTTTCTCACATTTAAGTCAATTGTCTTTCTTACATGGTGGCAAGGTCTTATTATTGCCCTTCTCTATGATCTTGGCCTTTTGAGGAGCCCCATAGCTCAAGCTTTGCAGTTCCAGTCTAGTGTCCAAGATTTCATAATATGCATCGAGGTAATTTTCTTTTCCTTTTTCCCCCCCATTTTATTTTGTGAATATTATTCTGTGTAATTACTTTTTTCTTTTTCAGCCATTGTAGTTTTGGACAAAGGTGCTTCATATTTTTCTTTCTTGTTAATTTGTTTTGTCCTTTGGGTTGGTATTGATTTTCTTGGCTTAAGTCTGTAATAATTATTATATTTCTGGACAATTATTTTTATTTGGAAAATAATATCTACAATTTGGATGACTTTTAATCTTTCAAAATGCACAAATTATCAAGTATTATACCTAGCTATCAATTTTTTGACATTTTGAGATGATATGAATCTAAATCCAACTCTGAAATTTCAATGTCTAATATAAAACTATTATAGTGGGATGGAGGGAGTATTTTACAATATTTGTGTTAACATGTTTGGTGTAGCAGGTTTAGTTGCTTGACATTTTTCTTTTTGGGTAACTCGGGTTTGGTTGTTTTTCTTATTTACTGGGAAAATTTGAGAAGTGATAAATCTTACTCTTTCTAGGTTATGATACAAACTGTACCAAACTGCTGAGTCTTTCTAGCTTATATTTAAGTTTAACAAGCTTCTTATTGATCCAGCACAGATGGGCATCGCTTCTTTCGTTCATCTTTATGTATTCCCTGCAAAACCATATGAGTTAATGGAAGAAAGATTTCCTGGAAGTGTTTCTGTCCTTGGAGACTATGTTGGCGATTTTCCTGTTGATCCTGATGAAATTAGGGACAGTGAACGGCCAACAAAATTACGTCTTCCTCATCCTGAAGTTGCTGTGAGGGGTGGAATGACTCCCATCAAAGAAAGTGTGAAGGATATATTTGTTGGCGGTGGAGGATATGTAAGTTTTCTCCACCTTTTGAAACGACTTCTTGTGAAATTTTTGGCCTTCTGTATTGTAGACACTCAAAATTTCATTAATAATGACACCGTGAGACTGAACAAACAGATTTACTGGAACATAATGTAGGCGCTCTTTTAGGGAACACCTGAGTTTAGAGAACTCTTCTCAATTTGTAGAGCTAGCTGAAATGTATCACTAATTGAGTAGGTTTTATGAGGGATCATTTGAGTTCAGATTTTTGATATCAGGCCTAGCTTGAATTGAGTTAGATCTTGGCTACTAGGAGCTCTAGAGATAATTCTTAACTCCTCAAAGCTGTTTATTCCTCAGTGACAGTAATCCATGCTTGCTTCAAAATAGCGAGGCCGTCATGGATACCCAGCTGGTATTCCGGAGGTCAATACTTCTTAGACGTAGTTTCATCTCTCAAATGATACTCTTTCAATGTCCAGCAAGCTGCATATCATACTCCACCCAAGTCCACCATCTTGTGCATGGTCAACAAGTTTTCATGATAGCTAACCATACTTGTCTCTCTCATCCTGCCAATGAAACTAACCATAGTATTTGATTTGAGGTTCATGTCCTGTGAAAAACGATACCATCTGCAGAGTTGATTCACACATTTGGTTTAAATTCTTTGATAAGGTCAATGGTGTGGCTGATTGGCTCCACATGCTCTGACTGCTATATCAAGTATTTAATGTTATTTAGCCTGAGTATATCGTATAGGGGTTCATCTATTAATATGATACTGGGATTGCACTTGCCTTGCATCTACGTGCTTATCAACATTCTGAAAGCTTGCATATAGACACTATACCTATAACTCTATGTATAGAATAGTGTTATTTGTATCAACATTTTGAAAGCTTGCATATAGACACTATACCTATAACTCTATGTATAGAATAGTGTTATTTGTTTCCAAATTTGTGGCAGAAAAAAATTTGTCATCTGACAATGACTTGAGGGCGCTTTTTTATAACATGTTGATAATCAAATTATGTTCCATCTTTGTGACGTTGAGTCGTAATTAATCAAGCAAATGAAAATGAACTGCAACTACCAAATCAAATTAAGATATAGGGATATCTCTATATCTTGAACTGCAACTACCAAGGCGTTTTCATGTCGATAGAGAAATTGAAGATTGTTTGATACTGCCCAACTGGGATCTTGTCCTACTACTTAGTTTACTTAGACCTTATTTTTCTTCAGAGTGTGGAATCTGTTGGATGATGCATTATGCTTTTCATCTAGTTCTGATGTGATGTTGTATGCTTCAGATTGTGAATGACGTCAAGTTCACTGTTTCACAAGCCGTAGAGCCGATGGAGAAGGGATTTTCACATTTAAATAGGAAATTTCATAAGATTTCTCAGAACATAAAGAGGCATGACAAAGAGAGGAAATCTAAAGACGACAGCTGTGTTGCCTCTCCATCTCGCCGAGTAATTCGTGGAATAGATGATCCACTCCTGAATGGTAGTATGAGTGATAGTGCGAGTACGAGGAAGAAGAAACATAGACGGAAATCAGGCTATACCAGTGCAGAAAGTGGTGGGGAGAGTAGTGACCATAGTCTTGGTGGCTACCAGATTCGAGGTAGGCGGTGGGTTACAAAAGACTAGGTGCGCCGTGCACAAGTTAATCCTGCCACATATTCACATTCTAGTATGTTGTAAATTCTCGGCATGACTTCTTTTGTCAGCATGAGGGGTGCAACTGATTCTTGTATTGGGGCTGTTCACGACATTGTTTTTGCTATGGTGAAGCTCCAATACAATATGGAGGTTGGCTACGATTTTGCTTTTGCCAGATGAATCAAGTGGCCTCCCACGTAGAATGGTGGATTTGATTGGTGTGTCTTATCAAAGAAATCTGCCAACAGACTGCTGTATAGAGCTATATTCACATACATGGTTTGGGAAACCTACCAATTTGCATTAGGATCCGTTTCTTTTGGACTCTCTTCAATTGTAAATCAGAGCCAAACACTACTTTTCCACGAACCCATCTACCTATAGCAGTAAATACCAAATTATGTTACGGAGAATCTTATTTCCTTCTTGTGTTCTAAGTTTACCTATGTGAGAAGTGAATAATGTCGCATTAGAAACCGTCCCTATAATTGGAAAATGGATGAATTGGAGATCAGAAATTGTACCGAGAAAGTAATACTTTAGATTGAGTTCTGCCTACAAACAGTGGCAAAACACTTGTACCGGAGAAAGAGTGGAAAAGGCAATATAACATAATGCAGTAACATGTTAATGTGCATCTTGAAGCGCATGTTCTACTGCCTTTATACACCCTGATTTCAACCCGCAAATTCAAGGTTTTCCAGGTCTGTCGGAATAAATATCCTCACAGACCAAGACGTTCTTTCAACTTCCCAAAGCACTCGTCCTCAAAGTTTTTCATCATAGCTCTGATAGCATCCTCTTGATATTTTTGCACAATCTTGTTCCATTCAGCCACCGTCATAACTCTCCCACCACCACTTGGATGTGGCATATACCCTTCGGGCAATTGACAGCTCTCTCTATACCTGTTGAACGATTCCTGGCCTTCTTTCAGTGATTTTCTGTAATCTCGCAAAACATTCTGCATGAGCCACAGCTCCCTCTTATACTTACTGTCATCCTTTTGTTTTTGTAGTTGCTCAGCTTGCCTCTGTGCCCTAAACTGTTCAATTCTTAGGCTCTGCTCTTCAACTTTTCTCAATAGCATTGGGTTGATTTCCTGATTGGCTCGGTCTTTAACCTGAACAGCATTTTTCAGTCTTGTCATCCAAAGCTTAACCTGTTCAATGCAGAAATCAAGGTCCATGGACTCATTAGCATATCCATCACCTTTGTCAAGTGTCCTTTTGGTTTCAGCCCCATGCCCAAAGTGACAATCTTCTGGGCAGAAAACTTTTCTTTTCATTGGATCATTACAGTTGACACTAGCCAATTTCACATTCATGTCTGTACGGGATGCAAAATGCCCCGCAGAAACTCCAGTTCCAATGATATTCTGGTTCGGAAGGCCCTTTCCATGACGTTTAGTTTCAGGAACATGAACACTATCATTTTTCGGCTGCATATGATTCATACCAGCTGCAGAAACTTCTTTCTGACCACTTTGCTAGTGGCTCATGATTTCCTTTTCCTTTTGTGTATTTGCATGGTTCCTCCTACTTGACTCCCTCCATCAAAGCACCGAACCAGTTGGCATTATGCTCATCAGAAACTACATCAAGCTGCATTTAGTGAAGAAGATAAAAAGGAACATCAAATTTTATCATCTTCATGATAAAATACAGAATTATAAATCAAACAACAGGGTTTTACATGTTTCAGGGTCTTGGATAACTCATTTAAAACAGTATTTCCTAGGACTACGGAAATATTCAAAGAAAACACTCTGTTATGTGCAAACTTTATTGTCTTTCTTTAAGTAGATGTTTCAGAATTTACTAGCAACAAAAGGTCGTAAGAATGACCCAGAATAATATAAAGTAAAGCTGAAAAACTTCAACATGTCCGACACGGTTAACAATTGAAGGAACCATTTGACGTGATTATCTTACGTATAAAACTAGACAAGGTAAGCACCTTAGCATTCCATTCAACCCTGCCATGTAATTGATGCACAACACAATAATTCAATTTAAGGCAAAAGCAAAATAATAATGCTAATTTCAATGGCAGACCAATGCGAAGGATTTCCATGAAGCTATGCTAAGATATGCATAGACCAAGAATTGAAGTAATTTTGGGGAATACTTGAAACTTCTTCTGAAAAAAACGAAAACAACGGAAAGAGCAAAAAATTATAACAAAAATCTGAACCTTGTGCAACACTTTTTCTTTGCTGTCAAGCAAATCACCGGGGTTTGCTTCAGATACTGATTCGTTCACCAAAGTTTGCAATTTATCTTCTGCATCACATTGCATCGACCTTAATTCCCTACCACCACGATCCATTTCCATGGCAGAAAGCTTATCTGAAATATTAACTACCTCATCAACTGCGTGCTCATCCTCCACCCCTGAACCGTCCAAAATAGGCTTCTTGCCATTCCTTTCATGACACGGTCCCAAGTGACCAGGCAGAATGATCATTTCTTGCCTATCCAGGACACCCACCCCATTGAAACCCACATCAGCTGAACCTTCTATATGCAGGCTGTCCGTAGGAGCTTCCTGAGTCATTAGCAAGTCCAGAGAAGCATTGGATACTACTTCCTTTCCGTCATTGTCAGCCACGATGCTTAAAGCAACTTCTTGGGTATCCATCCCATTACAACCAAAATCAGTTAAACTTTCTCCACTCTTGTCACTGCCACCCTTAAACTGAAGTTCAAGTTCATGCTGATCCTGGAAAAAACTGAAATGTATGAGTTCTGGTTTTCCAAGTTCACAAGATAAGGACATATCAAACCATATCAACATCTAATGCTTCAATCAAAATCATGATTTCCTCTGACTCATTATGTCAATAAAATGCGAGGTGTTGAGCTGAGTCCATGATTTAGCTCATTCCTATTCCATGTTCAAATTCATGTTTATAAAACGTGTATAGACAAGGTCATGGCCTAAAAAGGGTTGTATGAAGATGTGAAATGAGAAAGTGCAAGAGGCACGTTCTAGCCTAAAGAACATATTGAAAGATTGACCAAGTAACCCTGTTTAGTGAACAAAATTAGTTGAGAAAAGTTTCAATCTAATCCTGCCATAAGCAATTGACAACATGATGCAAGAGATGCCAAATTCTTACATGTTTCAAACAGAACTTGCAACAACCAAAGGCATGCAGTAATTAGCATTAAGTTTATAAAATCATCTAAATCAAGTAAGCCATTCATACAGAACTTTTTAATAATGATAAATGAAAAAGCACTATTTCAAGAAAAATACTAGAGAAATGGAAATATAAGAAAACAAAACCTGTACATTCCGCAATGCCTTTATATGAGAATGGTTGATAGTGACTTCACAGGCTGCTTCAGTTGCCTCATCTTCTAGGGCATAATTTCTTTCTCGCAGCTCAAATCAATTGAATCACCAATGTTGGCTTCAGATGCTGCTTTAGTTGCTTTATCCTCCAACCCATGGTCTTCTTTCTCACAGTGAAGGTCAAGTGAATCACCAAAATTGGATTCAGATGCTGCCTCAGTTGCCTTGTTTTCCATCAAATATTCTTTTTCATGGTTCAGGTCCTCTGACTCACCAATATTGAATTCCAATGCAGTTTCAGTTGCTTTATGCTCCAGCACATACTCTTCTTTCCTGCTGCCAAAATCAAGTGAATCACCTTTGTCTGCATTGCATGCAGCTTCGTTCACCTTATTTTCTATCACATAATCATCTACCTCATAGTGCACCTCAAGTGAAGCACCAAAATTGGCATCACATGCAGTTTCATTAGCTTCATCATGCATCACATCATCTTGTTTCACACATTGGACCTCTAGTGAACCCATATTGGTTTGACAAACAGCTTCATTTGCCTTATTTTCCATCACATAATCATCTTTCTTGTATTGTACCTCAAGGGGATCACCAATATAAGCTTCACTTGCAGCTTCATTCCCCATATCATGCATCACACCAATACTTTGCCCACTTTGTAAGTCAAATAGACAACCAATTTTGGCTTCAGATGCTGCTTCAGTTTCTTTATCTTCCAACACCAGGTCTTCTTTCTCACAGTGAAGGTCTAGTGAATCACCAATATTGGATTCAGATGCTGCTTCAATTGCCTTGTTTTCAATCACACAGTCTTCTTTGTCATGGTGCAGGTCCTTTGACTCTCCAATATTGGGTTCAGAAGCAGCTTCGGCTGCCTTAAGTTCCATCATGTAGTCTTCTTTCCCCCTGTGAAAATCAAGTGAATTACATTTGTCACTGTTGTATGCAGCTTCATTTGCCTTTTTTTCCATCACCTGATCATCTTCCTCGTATTGCACCTCAAGCAAAGCACCAAAATTGGTTTGACATAAAGTTTCATTTGCCTTATCATGCATCACATCATCTTGTTTCTCACATTGAACCTCTGGTGAACCACCCATATGGAATTGACATGCATCTTCAGTAGCCTTATTTTCCATCACATAATGGTCTTTGTTGTTTTGTACCTCAAGGGAATCACCAATATTAGATTCACGTGCAGCTTCATTCCCCTTATCATGCTTCACATCAGTGTTTTCCTCACTTTGTAAGTTAAATATACTGCCAATTTTGGGTTCAGGTGCTGCTTCAGTTGCCATATCTTCCAACACATGGTCTTCTTTCTCGCAATGAAGGTCTAGTGAATCGCCAATAACTTCAAAAGCAGCTTCAGTTGCGTTGTTTTCCATCACAGTCTTTGTTCTCTTGGTGCAGATCATCTGGCTTACCAATATTGGGTTCAGATGCCTTATGTTCCATCATGCAGTCTTCTTTGCCGCTATGAAAATCAAGTGAATCACCATTGTTGGTTTTGCTAACAGCCACAACTACCTTATTTTCCATCGCAAAATCATCTTCCTCGTAGTGCACCTCAATCGAAGAACCAACATTGGCTTTACATGCAGCTTCATTTGCATCATCAGGCATCATATCATCTTGTTTCTCGCATTGAACCTCCAGTGAACCTCCCATATTGATTTGACATGCAGCTTCATTTGCCTTATTTTCCATCCCATAATCAACTTTCTTTACGTGTATCTCAAGGGAATTACCAATACTGGCTTCACATGGAGTTTCATTCCCCTTATCATGCATCACTTCAACTTCTTTCCCACGTTGCACGTCAAATGAGACACCAACTTTGGCCTCAGATACAGCTTCATTTGCCTTACCTTCCAGCTCATTATTTTTTTCTTGGCAACACATATCAAGTGTCGCACCAACTCTCGCTTTACATTCTAACATTGCAGCCGTATCCTCAATCAAATTATCTTCCTTCTCAAACTGCACCTCATGCGAACTACCAAATTTAGGTTTAAATCCTCCTTCATTTTCTTCATCTTCGTTGTTGCAATGCACCAATCTCCAGGACATATCCTCTAAATTCATCACTTCTTTTTTCCTATCTTCTACATTAGGACTTCCATAACTGCTCTCCAAATGCATCACCTCTTTATTTCTCTCTTCACCCCTTTTCAAGCAATTTTCATTCCTCTGCTGATAATCTGTCCCCTGTAAAGGAATGTCAGTGTCAGTAGCATGCTTCATCGCATTTAAAACAACCTGAAATGATTAAAGAATCAGAAAATTGTAGATTATAATCACAAATAGGATTTGAAAAGTGTCCATCAAAACTGCAAAAAATAGTTCTAGATATGGTTCCTCAGGATTTTAATAAACAGTCAATCTGCATAACTAGCAAGCACAGGCCTCTAGTTGTCAACTCTATTATAGTTCACTACATTATTATCCTGTTTCTGAGATTTATTCAAGAAAAGCATGTCCAGAATGGTTAAATGAGTTTACAACCGAGAACCTTCAAGAAGCATATTTGGATATGTTTACGTGCTTCGAAGAAAAATCTAAACTAAATAGTATAGCATACATCAGGTGACATTGCTTGAGTAGTTCACAGCAAAAGTCAGAATTTTCCAACATTATGATGGAAACTAAACATACATCTATCCACTGTCAGAATCTAAGATGATACGGTGGTAAGTATGAATTTCACTTTTAACCATATGAGTGCAACTCCCATTAGACATGAAGCTTGTATTCAATGAAAAAATGAAAAGAAAGTGCAATCAGGTTCAAGCAGAGAATCAACCTGTGTATCAGGCAACAACTTCTCTCTGTTGTCGTGTGAATCAAAGAAGTCACTTCGGCAAGCTCCTTCATTCACCACGACCTCATTTTCGCTCTTGCCACAATCTGTAGTTAATTTCTTTATCGTGCCATGATCAATTTTCGGGCCAAAATTTTCATGCGAAACAGTAATTGCGTCAGTAACTGCGTGATTAATCTTCTCCCCTGAACTTAGATTTCTTGCACCTGTCTCCTCCTCTGAGAACAAGATAGTAGGCTGATCATCAAATTCTGTTCTGTTCAAAGACGAGCCATCACCTTTTAGCTCCTCTTCAGGACTTATTAGATGCACAAACAAGTCCATAGGAGCTTCTGTGACATTCCCAATACTTTCAGCAGAACCCATGTCACTTTTAGCAGTTGAACATTTTCTTCTCTTTTCATCTCCACTATCACAATGCTCAAGAACATCCTGATTTGCATCTTTAGTCTGTGGCTTGAATCCAAGTTCCAATCCTACCAAATCAGCACCACTCTGCTGCTTCCTAAGTTTCTCTCCCTCACTATCAACCATATCATCTTCTCCTAAACATCCTGCAAGAAGCTTCTCAAAGAATTCTCTTGTTACTGAATTTTTTGACTACTGTAGCAGTACCCTCCTTGCACTCAACCATGGCATTCTCCTCCTTTTTCATCTCGAATAACTTAGGCTTTTCCTTTGGCCATGGTGAAGTTTAGGAACTCGCCGCCGTCTTCCTCGGACGACCAAGTTTGGTTTTCGGGGCAGGAACATTGGGAACAATATCTGTCTTCCTGGGTCGACCTCTTTTTTTCGTTGTTTGAGAAGCAATATCAGTCTTCTTCTGCCTAGCACGTTTTCTTGGCTTGGGAGGACTTATGGGCAGAGCAATAGAAATATTTGATATTGCAGTTGAGTTCTCCATACCCAATTCATCACCATCTTGTTCTGAATCCATTCCTTTCCACAAGCTGCAACAACTTTGATTCAAACAGAGATGTAAGCAGAGCAGCCTTGTCAATGGTAGAAAAGAAATCAGTTTAGTCAAATTGAAAAAGACTGCATTTTTGCTTGCATAAGCCATAACTGAATTATTATATCAACCCAAGACAACCCATATAAAAATACTAGATTATGACTACCAAATGACAAAAGCCAAGAATAACAAGATTATGCTGGCAAAGTTGAGCAAGAATGCAAACAGATTATGACTACCAAATTATCGACGCCGAAAAATGTAAAGATACCAACTTTTCAAGCATTATTACAGAGACGCAACAAAATCAACTAAAATGGAAAGCAAAACGGGAGGTTATTTGGGAGATTTATAAAACAAAAAAAAAAAAAAAACAATGTGATCCCTCGAAGAAAAATGGAAAACCCACCTTAAATATGGATGATGATGGTGTGAATTTCAGTCGTAGTAGTAGTAGTAGTGTTTGAAGAAGGATAGAGGAGGCAATACTCAAAGCGAAGAAAGAAAGAAGACGAAAGGGCTAAAAATATTCGCAAATGTATTATTATTGCCTGTGACAGCTACTACAAATTACAGCCTTTTAGAATGCGCTTTGGGCTCTTCATCTACCCAGAATGAGAAAAACATGAAGTGGGTGACTGCGTGTTTTTTGGAATACAGTACTACACCAAATGACAGCTTTAGAAACCAGTCTTTGTTGCAGTCAAGCCCTGGTACAGGGAGTAGTTGATGCTGAACTTTTAAGAAAAAATTGGAAACTTGCATTATCGAGGCAGGAGGCACAACAAATGAATGACTTTGACGATTCATTTCTGGTTGGAAAAATGACAAACTTTCTGGGATTGAAATTAAATTGAATGTCAAAAATTTGCTACGCATAGGCTCCATTTGTTTTCTATCATATATCCTGTATTTTTAATCATGATCTCGATCGCTGATCAAGATTCGAATAGACATATTCCTTTTCTGATTTTTTACATCATGTTTCTTTCGGTGTTGGTAATATTTGTTTGCTGTGCATTTTTCTATAACAGATTTGAGATAGATAATGAAGAAATGAATAGTTGATACTATAACAGTGTCATCTTAAATGAGTAGAAATTACATTTCGAACACCCATTCTTGCTGTTTTAAGTGTGGTTTATAGGGAAAAAAAAAAGATTTTCATTTTTATTTTTCAATGTATCTTTTGAAAAAGATTTTCAAAATTTAATCTTAAAAGGAAAAAGTGTTGATGACATTGTTAGTTTTAATGGAGAAGATAAAAAAAAATAAATAAAAGAAATAGTACTTTACATATGGTAATTAAGTATTCTATCTAATGATCCTTATTTTATAACCTGAAATTACTTCTTAGGAAAAAACACTTCAAAGTTTTGAAACTTCATTCATTCTAATAAAATTTGTGGAACATAAAATAAAACATAGTACTACAAGTCTACAAGTTATATAATGTACTGCCTATGGTTCCTATTATAAGAAATTTTAGTTTCTCATAATTTTTATTTATTGTATTGTTTTAATTAAAATAAAATTTTAAAAATATATATTCGTATTTATCGTGTTCTCTCAATAATTATTATAAAAAAATTTAGAACCAGAAAAAATATATATTGGAAATGTAAAAAATGTTCCTTCAAATTAACCGTTTCTTTCAAGTATTGTTCATATAAGTTAGGGGATTGAAAGTATCATGTTGAAAAATAATGGGTTTCCAAAAGAAGTGTCGACTGAATACAAATATTACGGACAAAACATACGACCGATTTTCTCTTATGTCATCATCCTCCGACCCTTCACAGAAGCTCAACGTCCGCCGTTCCGGCGTCACAATCTGAGAGGCATTTTTTTTTGCCTTTTCTTCTGTGTCAATTTCAAATCTGACCTGATTGAAACCCATCAATGACGGACTATTTTCCCGAGGAACTGTTGATTGAAATTCTCTCGAGGGTTCCTGCCAAATCCCTGGTTCGTTTTCTCTTAGTTTCGAAATCATGGTATTCGTTGATTAGAAGCCCTAGTTTTATTACTACCCAGCTCAAGAACGTCCGTCTAGGTGAAATCCCAGGTAGTTCTTCTCTTTTGCTCTTGAGACGCTTCAATATTTTAGGAAAGATAGAGCAGTTTATTATATATCCGGATGATAATGATGAATCGGAGGCTGTTGGTAGGGAAGTCGATGACATGGATATGGATTCTGCTACCAAATCTACCGACGTTGAATTCCCTTTGAAATCAATTGTTGGGTATCATAGACTTGTTGGTACTTGTGATGGGTTAGTTTGCTTAGCTGATGATTTTTTCTCCAGAGCAAGGGCCGTCTATTTATGGAACCCTACCGTTCGGAATTGTTTAGAATTACCATCCCCAACCATTGATCCTTCATTTCCTCATTCGTGGGTGTTAGGATTTGGAGTTGATATTCTTGGTGATTATAAAGTGGTGAGGATTGTGTACGGTAGAGAGGACTTGGATCCTGATTTGGATTATAGTTTACCTCCTTGGGTGGAAATCTTTAGTCTTAATACAGGGTTTTGGAGGAGGATAGAGAATGTTTCAATCAATTCTTATGTTACTGATTTTAAGTGGTCGCAAGCGTTTCTGAATGGTGCATTGCATTGGATTTCTTATTGTCGCCTTAGCAATACTGATGGGGTTCCAGTCAGTAGTTTGATTTTAAGATTTCATATGGATGATGAATCATTCAATGAGATCAATCTACCGCATGAACTGACTTGTATGCCTCCCTTAGATTTAGCTGTTAGTGTTTACGAGGGTCTTCTTTCAGTGATTGCCTATCACAGCGCAGAGAATCGCAGTAATTGTTCCCTTTGGGTCATGAGAAGATATGGAGTTTCAGAGTCGTGGACCAGGCTGTTTACGGTTCAATTAGGGGAAGGCATAGAAAAAGTTGTGAGGTTTAGGAAGAACAGTAGTGTTCTTGCGGTGAGGAGAGACGAGCTGGTTATCTTTGATCCCAAGACTAGTGAGATCCAAGAGCTTGGAATGTGTGGGGCCAAGAGGTCATTTTGTATTAATAATTTTGAAGAGACACTAATTTTGCTGGGAAGGCAAAATGTAGCTGTTGAGGAAGAACGATGGAGATGGGGGGAATGATTGGGAAGAAAGTAACAGAAGTGAGGGTGACATCTGTGGACAGGGAAGGTAAATCCTTACTCTTGCATCCTTCACAATAGAATAGCATTTTGGCAATTGTCTGATGTGTAACGGATCCATATATGCCTATGATAATACCTAAGTTATGTTCTGTTTGATTTCATCTTTTCAATTTATAAATGTTATTTACCGGTATTTTAATTTGCTTTCATTGCTGGACCAGTATGCAGATTTTCGAAAATGTAAACAAAAAAAAAACTGTGCCTATGCTAATTCCTGTCAGATGAAAGTGTGAATGACTAATAGGGTTTTTAAAGGTATAACTAGTTTATTTGATTTTGTTGTTTTATCTGGGGAAGATTAATTCTGTTTTAATTCACCATGTACGAGTTGCTTTGCTTGCTTTAGCTGCTTTTTTAAGTACCAGCTGTTGATTAATTATGAGTGATGATACATACAATGGAAAATCTGTAGGAAATCTTATAAGGAATGAGGTGGCTCTAATTGAAGAGCTGACCTAACTTTTAATGGATAAATCGTAGGGGTGAGGTGTAAACTTATTGGGTTGTGATTTAATGCACATCAGTCTTTGCAAGCTTTCTTTTTGAGTTGTCATAAGAAATCTCATTACTCTTTAATTATTGCTGGCTCAATGTTTTCCCGAGACCATCCCTCTTCAAGCCATTTTAGAATGACTTCGGCATATGATTTGAATAACACATTGAATCATAGTATATGTAAAAAACTAGTTCTTATAATAAAAAGATGTGACTACAGCTCATTTGTATAGAGTCGCGAAAACTGTCTTCTCAGGAACATAAAAGGATTTGTTTAAGGCCTTACCCTTTTCCATTCCCTGGAAATTTGGTAAAGCTTAAAGGAACCAAGATGCCCTTTTTCTAAAGATTTTTATTCTTGTGAAAGACTTATCTGCTCTTGTTTATTGTGTAGACATTTTGATATGCTAATTTGCAAAGAATAGATACTGGTTTCTCCGAAAATTATCCTTTTAATGTCATTTTATATTTTTTCTTTTACTGATCCTGCATTGATGTAGTCTTCTACCTAGATGAGGACACTTCATTCCCCCCTGAAGAAGGGATTGTGGATATTGAGGATTTAATAAATTTGGGTTGACAAGATGTGGATGTAGGATGGAAAAAATTGTGGTTGTGGAACAGAACCTGTATACCAAAGGTCAAAAGTCATAGTTGGCTTATCAGTATCCTCTCATGAAGACTAAACAGTACTTTATTCATCCTTCCGACTTATGTTTCTTTTCAGTTTGATATAGCTAGATGTAAAACCAATGCTAGCTCACCGCTTTGCTTATAGATACCTCGTGTTGGGGACACAAATGCCCTGAGAAATGTAATCTTAAATCACCCTAATATTGTTATATTGTCTACTTCAAGTGATTAATGTAGCATTAAGCTTAATTTTTCTTGCCTATCGCTCTTTACTATACCATTCGTAGTGTTTTTGTAACTTTTTCGCATTCTACCATATTACTCCCTCAAAATTATTTTCAGTTTGAATTTTCATTTTTAGTACAATTTGAACTAAAATTAAAATTCGAAGTAAAAAACCGGGACAGGAGTACTCTCTTATGGTCATACCTCATGATTATATTTGTTGTTGCAGGATTATTGAGGGTACGACTGAACTTTCATGAGTCTGAGAGAGCAACTCGGAAAGCAACCCTAAACCCTAAACCTTGACTGAACTTTCATGAGTTTGAGTGAGCAACTGCTCGGAATCAACCACAGCTGATGATTTTTTTGTGTCCTTTATGGTGAGTATGTAAAATGCACTACGTCAATTTTGGAGTTCAAGTTTGTTGAATATGATAACTTGGAGTTTAAATTTGTAACAGTACTTTGCAATCTTTCCTTCCCGTCTCTTAATGAGCTGGTATTCATTAGTGTACTGTAATAAGTGGGAATTTATTTGCTTGCCCATGTGATGCGGGCTGAAGCATGAAAAGAAGAAACACTATTTTGATTCATGATCACCATAAAAAAAGAAGGCAATGGTTTTTAGACAAAAACTAATAAAAATCATAACACAGACACTCGGCTGTGAAAAAAGAACTTGCAGTTCTGAAATCAATTATTAAATATCAATAAAACTACTTCTATGTAAACTCGCAGTTCTGAAATCAATTAGTAAATATCAATAAAACTACCTCTCTGTAAACGTACAGCAATCTTAAACTTAAAAACAGAAAATATTTAAAAAGACTTAAAAATTCTATAAAATTCAAAAACCTCCCTAATTTAAAATTTCCTAATAATTCTTAAACCCTAATTCTTTTTTTTTTTTTCCTTGCATCACTTTGCCCCTGGCAGTTGCTTGGTTTTTCGTCTTTTCTTTGCTCAATCATCGATTCGTTTGGTACATCGTTGGAATTTTCAGGGAGCCCTGATTGAAGAGAAATGCACAAATTCTTTTTTTTTTTTTGTTTTTTTACACGGTCTCTTGCAATTGCTGGAATGCCAGATAAAAAGAAAACTTGTTCAGTTTTTCTCCATTTAGATTATTTATACACAATACAAACGATAAAGCATGTATTTGTAGTTAGTCAATTGACTCATAGTTCAGTTTGAGGCCTTCACTTTCATTGATTTAAAACAATTATGCAATCTTTCTCATGTCAAGGCCAGCCAGTTTCATTTTGAAGCCAAAAACATCATTAAAAGCTGCAATTCAAGGTAAATGAGATACACACTGATAAATGCTTGTTTCTAAACCAGAAAAACAGTATATTCAATCAAGTGGTCAGAGTGATGCTTGTGGTTCTTTGATTTCCAATAAAACAGTAACATTTAAATTGTGTAATGATCGGTGAATGACCATCTTCCGGCCAGTCAGTCCCTCGGCATCACGATCCGTGAAATCGCCTTAGCAAGCTATCTTTGCCACGCTCTTCCCTCTTTCTATGCTCAGTCTCATCATTCTCTTCCTCTTTCTTCTTGTAGTTTTTTTTTTCCCTAAAAACTCCACCTTTGACTGTAATATTATACTCCACACTTTGATTCCTTACCAGGATTAGTCGGAAAGTGAACTCAAGAAAAAATACACAGTAGATAACTACCCTTCAGCATCTAATCTGCTACAGTATCATCTTCAAGAGTTCTGACAGATAACAGAGAACCACACATGCAAAAAAGGGAGGAAAAAAAAAAAGGGGGGTTCAATGAGAAAGCAGATTAACCTGATGTTCTGGTCCAAATAGAGGCATTAAACCACCAACAAACACATAAAATAGAAGCTAGTTTCAGCGGATGGACCATACGTTCCTCTCTATCCATTCTTTCAAATCATCGCCAACGATGGGCTTCTCGATCCCAGATTCTGACAGATGATAAACACTGACAAAATCACCAACTATAGCAGCACCATTACTTGCACCAAAGCCAACCGCGGCTTTTGCAACTTCTGCAGCTTTAGCAGCAGACATCTCAGGATAAAACCAGAAACGCTAAAACCAGAAACGCAGAAGAGCACGAGCAGCCATATCACCACATCCAGTGGCAGCATATCCCTCCTTCTTACAGTCCTCTACTGCCCCTTTACCGTCCACGCGATAAAGGGCAGGACCACACTTGTCAAACCCTCCGATCAGCATTTCAACTGAAGAACCCTCAGAGCACCTAGGCAGAAGGTGGGCAAACCACTTTGATGTTTCTTCAACAGAATACGTCCTCCTCCCCGAACTGAATTCATGGTTGTACATGTTTTTCATCTGAATGAGCATATTCGCGCTTCCTCCATGAACAGAAACAGCGGCAACCATGCGAGAATTGAGTTCTATAATGTTTGGAACATGTGATTTCGATAAATGATCAGTAGCTACAACAGCCCCTCCATTGAAAATAAATCCCGCAGCTGTGTATCCTCTATCTCTAGGGATCAGCCGATCCAAGTTCGCCTTTTTGCAGACGTCAGATGAGGGCATACTTTGCACCTCTTCACGTCTTAGAGAGCGATCCTTGCAGGAAACTCCAGCCTCCAGGCGCAATTTGGATTTGGAGATGACCACATTTGTAGTTTCCTTTATTATCGATAAAAATTTGCTAAGAAAGTACTTTCCTCGATCAATCGATGTATCCATAAGCATCCAAATCCAGTTGATATTCCGATTAATGTATGCTAAGTAACTGCTTTCCTGTAAATAAAAGTGTGCAACTGGAATTTTCTCTCTTCCTTCTGGTAGGTGCTCAGACGGATTCATGTAACACCACATTGTTTATCCTGTCTCCCCATTCAGAACTCGGGCTTCTTTTTGTAATAACAAAGGCAGTATAGTCTGAGAATCCCTCTATGACGTCGGATTTTATATTGATGGTCATTCAACGTGTGTGAGGTGGATTGGAATATAGTCAGATACAGAATCCTGCAACGTAATTGATCGATGTGGAGATATTTGGATGTGGGCTGGTAATCGGCCAGTGGCCCGTCTCAAGATAGCCAACATGATCTTCTCCACTGGTCACATTTTAGGAAAACCAATATTTAGTGGGAAGAGGAGATGATTTACTGCAGACCAAGCGCCAGCACCTGTGTGTGTCCCGTTTAAAAAGTTTTTCTATATATTTCACAAACGATTTTATGTTAGTTTTACGAAACAATGAAAAGAAGTACTTCTGCCCACCCTTATGGACTGCTTCAACTTTATAGACTATGAATCAGTGTGTTCTCCGATGTTAAAGGAACAACAAATAACAAAATGCAACAGCAAATCCATCAGTTAAAGGAAGATTTCAGGGATTACAAATTTACAATCCTCTTCTATATTGTCAAAAGTTTAGAAGAACATCGTGGGCATTTGGTTTGTGAATAATTACTTTTATCCTTCCATTTCAAGGTGATCCAAGAGGAGCTCAAGTTCTAGCAAGTTGAAACAAAAAAGATGAACCATCCATTAACTAGTCCATTGACACAGCATTCAGCTTGAAACACTGGCTATGTAATACCACTCCGAAGATAAAATAAAAGTTAAGGCACACTAGAAATTGCTAAAGGCTCCCCATCCTATCCTAACTGTGACTTGTTTCTAAAACCAAACTAGTTCCACTTAAAAGGACTAGTATTATCGGATGCGGAGTATATTAATCCTTCCAAATTAACCCAAAGAAAATGAAATTCTACAACACAAACGATAAATCAACCAACTTGTCCATTGACACAATACTCAGCTTATTGTCTACACAATATAAAATGAAAACATAATCATGCACTTAATCTTCCATTTCAAATTGACCACAGAAAATGAAGTCTATATTACAAAAGGCTAAGCATTTCACGAGTCACTCGCACAAAATTCAGCTTGAAATAATCTTTGCAATATATCTTAGATGATATAAAACAACTTTATGCGGTCACATATAGTTCTACCTTTTCATATTAACTCAAGAATAGCTGAAGTTCAGCAATACGAAAAGATGAATAATCTATCTAATTCGTCCAATGATTAAAACATTCAGCTTGAAATACTAGCACCAGTCTTACACAGGATGACGCATAACAAATTTATCCAACCTTTCTGGAGATTAAGACTTGTTTAGCTTGAATAACAAAATATACTACAACAGCAATGCAAAGTAAATGAAACAAAAAGAGATTTTTCTATTTTTCAACTCTAATCCACACCTACAGCCACAAATGGTTCATTTCAATGACACAATATGAGTAAAAGCCAACACCTAACACGCACTATTGTAATCAATAGGTCAAGATTTCAAAAGAATGTCAAGAATGTCTACTGATCAAAACTAGTGCATACAGTTCAAAGAGTTCTTCAAACCAGTAACCACTGAAAATGTCTTGGAAAGTTAATACCAGAATGTTTCCAAATAAATAAAACATCCATACAGTACAAGATAACTCTGGATGAGAACAAAATATCAAGAAAAAAAATACTACCAGGTCAGCAACAAAATTCAAACACCCCACAATTCAGATTGACAACTCAAGTATAAGTAGCAGATTGGCAACACTCAACCAGCCATCAGATTACCTCATTCAGCCCAGAGATTCCAACATTAAAAAGAGGAAAACTTTAAACAACAATTGAACATTCAGATCTTCGAAATTTTTTTTTTTTAAAAAAAGAAATAAAATATTCGAACCAGTTTCGAGTCTAAAACTGGCCAAGAAAAAAATCATACTGATCAGTGATAGCTGTCATTACATCTCTATAAATACTCTTACAATTCCTCGGAGATAGCCACGATCAGAAATTTCCAGTTTGCGAACTTCTCTCAGAAAACAGATTATAAACTAAATTAAGTAATTCATATTCTGCAAAACCCTAAAACATAACCTCAACGGAGATAAGCCGGGATCTTGATACGAATAAACAGCATACTCATGACATAAGAAATAACAACAAAGGAAACTCCGGCGGCAGCAAACGAATCCTTGACACTCTTAGCCCGATTCTTATCAAGCGCAAGGTCCAAGAGCACAATCCCAATCCCACCAAGAACGAACATGAATCCGGAAGAGAGACCTTCGATAATGTACTGCCCGTTGACCCGACCGGGCATGAAAACAACGGGTTTGACCGATCCGGTAACTCGATCCTGTGTAGATCCAATACCCGGAGGTTCAACGATAACGTCGTAGACGATGCCGGATACGACGAGGAAGTAAGTGAGGAGGATGAGGGCGAAGACGGTCATTGGGGAGGGAAGTGAGAAAGATGGGAGCTTTAGACGGAGGCGGGGAGGGCGGAGGAAGGAGTAGGGTAGGATTCGGACGATATGGAAAAATGGGTCGACGGAGGAAGAGTCCGATGAGTGATCCATTGACGCCGACGACGAGGACGGCGAGAGGTGGTCGGATTTTGGAGGCATAGTGTTTGATGAAATTCGCAAATGACTGACTAGTGAGCTGAAAGCAGGCCTTTCCCCTGAATTGGGTGAAGTTGGAAGAAGATGAAAGTTTTGAAGAAGTAGGCGTGGGCTGGGCTGGGTTATACTCTTTTATTCTCAGTGGGCTGATTCTTTTTGTTTTCACTTTTCACGATATGAAATAAAGCCTAAAAGCATTACAAGTCCACTGGAGTCCAAATGTGGAAACTGGAAAGATTTTACGCTCTTGTATAGCTTTGTGGATTTTGCGTTCTTTTGTGTATTAACTTGTAAGTTTGAAATTTGTTATGAAAAATTATGTTATGAAAAAATTTCAAAAATAGTTTCAAAATTAAATACAAATTCTCCAAGCCAACACGACAGTAGGACGGGTGGCCAAAAGCGGGATTTAAATTTAGTACTCCCTCCGTCCCATAATTATTGTCCAATTTGAGTTTTCATTTTTAGTTCAAATTGTACTAAAAGTGAATTCTAAAACTGGACAATAATTTTGGGACAGAGGGAGTACTAATAAATGAAAACATGTTTTGACACGGATCAACATAGTCATAATTTTTTTTTAAAAAAAAAACAACTAGGTAAAATAACATAGTCATGACTTCTAAAACTAGGTGCAAGATCATAAATAATAAAATAAAATAAAATGCTAAAAGAAAATTTTGTAGCATTTTTGTAAATGAGTAAAGGGGTGGAATCAAACCAACCCCGTCCCTCTGTCACTTTTGACAAGTTTACTTTTATTCTTTAGAGAAAATATCTTGAATTCCACATCTTATTCTATTATAAAAAATAAGGTTTCTCCTTCTACTTTTGGATGGACATCTCTATATTCTTTTTTTTCTATTCGAGAGTGTCACCCTGAATTTGTTTAGAGTGATTCACATCTTCTGTGATTTGTAGGTTGGACGTGATTTATCTGCCTGTGTAATTTTCTGACCATTACAGTGAGTGTGAGTACCGTGCATTACCTAAAAAAGACAAAGTATATTAGAAAAGAAAGTACATGTTGATTGAAGTTGATACAAGGATACATTTGAATGCAATTTAAATAGGTACAATAGTTTATTCACGAGATTATTAGAAGATTTTTTTTTTGCGGGTTTTAACGAATTTTATGAAATAATAGTTATAGAAATTTGGAAACTAAATATTGAAAGAAACAAAGACACTAAATCACGCACATTACAAATGTGTGTGTGTGGTTTGAATATATGTGATCATTTTTTTTTACACCTTACTCTATTTCATTGGATTAGATCCACATACCATAAAACTCCATATCAGAATATTGAGAACTATAAAAAAGCGAAATCATACTTTAATCCGTAGAACATAGATTCGGATTTGGTCTTCCAGTTGATTTAGTCAAGCCGTTGCGGGAATCTCTAACAAAGGGAGAGTCAAATATCTGGCATGACGGCTCATCTAAGGACCATAAACTATATATATTAGGGACCAAACTTAAAAAAACGTTGTAAGCCCAAATATTTAACCGTGATTAGATCACTTAAACTGCGCCAACACCTAAGAAAGTCCACACCAAATAGATCTTACATAGCTTTCTATAAAGCAATTATCATTTCCCATAGTTGGTTACGATGAGCTGGTGATACTTTTTTTTTAGCAGAACCAGGGCAATACCTGGCGGGCATTCCCCCAATTTTATTAATTTAAAATAAAAAATTACCCGAATCCAAAAGAGACCGTGGTACAAAAGTTCGTCTAGTAAACTCCATGATGGCTCTTAACTTTCTATACTAAGAAACTGTCTTACATGGATGTATTATTATCCCTTGACAGTTTTTTTTTCCAAAAGTTATTAAAAGATTAAACTATGAACTATTTTACAAAGGGTTATAAACCCCCACAATAGTTCATTTATCTATTCTACAATCTACTTATCGTATTCTAAGATAAAGGAAAGATCTTTGGTCTAAATATACCAGACCTCTCAAAAATCTTGGTAAGTCCAAGAGTCTATTATATTGTGTAGAGGATCCTCTAGATGTTTGTTTTGAAATACTGCCCGCTACATAATTGATTTCTCTAAAAATATGTTGGATTTGAAATCCATTTCTCTCCATGATAGCTTTGATTTCCCTTAAGGCATAATGATGCTACCAAGGGAAGGCTATACCATTTTTTAACAATTGAGAAACCACTTGATTATCTATTTGAATTAGCACATTCCTGAAGCCTTGATCTTCGCACCATCTAATTCCATTGAGAATTCCTTCAATCTCTGCTGTGATGCTAAATCCTTCACCATGTACTAACTTGCAGCTCTTATGGATCTCCCTTGCTCGCCTCTCACCACATAGCCCCAACCAGCTTGTCCTGGAGCTCCAAGCACTGATCCGTCAGTATTTAAAATTATATGTCCAGCGTTGGGTGGCTTCCACGACAAAGATTTCCATTTTTTCTGTTTTGGCTTTTTATTATTTACTTAGAAGATGCTTTCCATCTCCTGTTGCTCATTTACAGAAAAATGATATAATTCATGAAGACATAAAACATTAGATACATTTAGCCTCACCTCATGAATTATTGTTTCGGAGGAAAATTTTATGACTCTTGATCATACACTTGTTCATGCTTTTCCAAAGTTCCCAAATGATAAATGCCGACAAGATGTGTATCACAACATTTTTTATGGACTTGTTTCCTCCAGCAACATACCAAGAATTCAAGTAATTCCATAATCCTGCATTGGAAGACATTATTAGGCTTAGAAGAGATGAAAAATGATTCCATACCTTCCGCGTGGGTTTACATTCCAGGAAGATGTGTGAGGTGTTTTCTTCCGATTCAAGACAGAAAGGGCATATGGGAGGTCTTGAGTTAATCCCTAAATTCTGTAAAATCTCAGGAAAAGGCACCAAACCTTTTAAAGTTTCCAAAGGAAAAAAGAAATTTTAAGAGGAGTGAACTTATTCCAAATTCTTTTTATGAAATGATCTTCCTCTCGGAGCTGCCTTAATGCTTTGTATGCGGAAGAAAGTTCAAAGTTCCCTACTGATGTGAGCTTCCAGATTCGTCGATCTTCTTCCATAGTGAATTGTGGATTCATGGTCTCCAATTGTTGTTTAACCTGCGGCTGCAAATATTCTGAAAAATTAGACAGAAGAAATTCTTTCCGTTCAAAGAAATCTTTCACCTGGAGATGTTCATAAGGAGGTTTACTCAACATGTAAGTAGCCCAAAGCTGCACCGATTCGAGCCAAATATCAGACCAGAAAGAAGCGTTGCCTTTTTCCAGTATTACTTTGAAGTGTTTGCCCTTATCAATTTTCAGAATCCTTTTCCAACTAGTTTTTTCCCTTGCTGTATCTGAGATTGAGAGCAAAAAAGTGACCCAAATTCCTTGTCTATTCTTCCATTTCCACCAGAGTTTCGAGGAAAAGGCTTTAACATTATCACCAAGATTTCGAAAACCTAGTCCGTTTTCCGCCGTTGGAAACGTAAGCTGACTCCATGCGCGCCAATGTCGCTTTTCACCATTTTCTGTCAAACCCCACAGAAAGCTTTGACATTTGCGTTCGAGTTCATGAAGGATTGCCTTTGGAGGTTCCGTAGCAGTTAGTGTGTGGATGGGAATGGCAGAGAGTACATGTCGAATCAAGATTATCCGGCCACCAGATGAGAGGAATTTATTCTTCCATTGTGAAAGTCGAGCCTCAAAGGAGTCCAGTAAATGTTGAAAATACAAAGCCTTTTTCCGTCCCTTATAAAGGTTACAACCAAGATAAAGGAAAGGAAATTTACCCCTTGGTATTTGAAGTGTTCTACTGATTTGAGTTATTTGAGCTGCTGAAACTTTTTCGGATACCAAAAAGAAACTCTTCTGCTTGTTCTTTTTTGACCCGTAACATTTTCGTATTCCTGGAAGAAATTATTCAGATTTTCCATTGAACGCTTGCTGCTCTTTGTGAATATGATTAAGTCGTCTGCGAAGCAAAGATGAGAAGTTATCAGGGAGCTTGTTGGGACATGATACCATTCAACCCTTCCCGAGATCACCAAATCCTTCAATCTTCTTGAAAACGCTTCTAAAACTAGTATAAACAGGAATGGGGAGAGGGGATCGCCTTGTTTAAGGCCTCTTTGAAAGAATATTTTTCGTGTGTTATTACATGTGTACAACATCATATATATAGTAAAAATATTACAATAACCCTAGCCGTGATTATCGAAAATCCTAATTAGGGTTTCCGTATTTATGTATTCTATCATCCCCCCGCAATCGGAGCAGGAGATGAAATCATGTACAGATTGGTTCTAAACAAATAAAATTTATCCTTAGGTAAGGATTTGGTGAACACATCTGCTAGTTGAGACTGGGTGGAGATGTGAAGAACTCGAAGAAGACCAGCAGCAACACATTCACGAATAAAATGAATGTCTAGACCAATATGTTTGGTTCGAGCATGATTAATAGGATTGGCAGCTAGGTATGTAGCAGAGACATTGTCACACAAGATTACTGGGCGCTGAGGAAGCTTGATATGAAGTTCTGACAGAAGATTCTCGAACCAAACCGTTTCAGCCAAAGCAGAAGCAACCGCGCGATATTCAGACTCAGCAGAAGATCTAGAAACTGTAGATTGTTTCTTGGAGGACCAGGAAATGAGAGAGGAGCCTAAGAAGACACAAAAACCAGTGGTAGAACGGCGAGTAGTTGGACACCCGGCCCAATCAACGTCAGAATAAGTAACCAGGCGATCAAGAGGACCAGCACGGAGATGAATGCCACAATGAAGTGTGCCTTTAATATATCATAGAATACGTTTGACAGCTTGAAAATGCTGTTCCCGGGGATCATGTATATGCTGATAGACAAGGTTGACCGCATACTGAAGGTCCAGTCTGGTGAAGGTAAGATACTGTAAGGCACCCACCAAGCTCCGATAGAGAGTTGGATTGTGAAAAGGTGGAGACTCATCAACAGAAAACTGAAAAGCGGGAGCAAGGGGAGTTGCAAT